GGTGCTCCACTCCGGCAGGGACGAGTTGAAGAAGCAGCATGGCATGTTCAAATGGTAAAGCCTGGCGTTTGGATTGCGAATGGCCTGCACCATGAAGCCTTGATGTGGTTCTCTAGGTTGGAATCTCATATCTTTCTGTGGGCTTGGCTTTCTGCTTGGTCCCACTTCTCACCTTTTCCGATTGGTAGCTTGGGGATTGAAACCCCAGCTCCTCTTGAAGCCACATCCCAACACAGTCGATGCCCTTTTGTTTTCCGTGTCCGAAGCATCCCAAGGGGGCTGTATTCGGACCGTCTGAGGTTGTTGAGGGCTTATCCTTGGGTTGTACAAGGATGACCCCTCCATAGCCTCACTCTAAGGTCCAGATAATATCGCCTAGCGAACTGATCCGCTCTGATCCAAGAAACCATAAAGATCTCCTTGAATCGGCAAGCGCTCTAAGAGAAAGGGGGTGTTTCCCAGTTACTTGCTGGTCCAAATCCCAACTGTTCAAAACGCTGGTTGGCCCTGCAGATGGTTTATGTACTTTTGTATCATGTTCACAACCTTCCGCACAAGGGGTCTCCAAGTGTAGACTTTAGCGGCAGTTGGCAGGCGATACCGAATTCCCTTCTAGCCTGCGTTCAAAGAAACGTGTCACTTGCCAGCATCACCAAGCGACTGCCTTCCCTCATCTACAACTCGCTTGAGGGATGTTTTGAACGGCACGTGGGTTCTTGAACAATGGAAGCAGTCATTGGATTGTGTAGTTGGTCATGGGCTTCTCCAGCTGTGAGGAGATGGATGTCAAAGCTGCAAAAGGCCAGGAATGGAGCATCCATGTGGGTGGAAACACAGGGGGCCGGGCGGGTGGGGGTAGAATGAGTTTGGGCAGGATGATGGTTCCTGAATCATAGCTTTTTGCTTCAGTGTTTTGCGCTATTGCTGATTTTGCAAAAGGAGAGAGTTTGTTGCTTCAAGTAGAAGTGGTTGGACCGCAAATGGTTCATTCACCCATAGTTAGCCAAGTTGCAATCGGTGTTATCTAGGCTATCCTTTAAACAGTCACCCGTTTCCTAAGCATAATTTGCTGACTGTCCAGTGAATATTGAACGTTGCTCATGCAATAGGAATTCTCTCAGCAACTCGCCGTGATTTGGAGACAAGGGGCAGGCGGCCTCAAATTGTCCAACAACAACCAGGGGCCAAAAATAGGCCCAGTTTTCCCTTGTCTTCATCTCCTCAGGGGATCCACAGGCTATTGTGCATGGGTTACCCGCATCTTTGGCATGTTCCGCGACAGTCCTTTTCCGAGATAATTTGGAAGATCTGGGGATTGACTCTAGTGAGGACTCAGGAATCTGCAACATTGTGCCAACACTTGCGCTTGTTGCATCACTTCCCAACATTGGCACACGCAGTCCAGCTTTCAAGGCCAGATTGGAACGAGCTCCATGTAAGCCAATCCACTATTTCCCAAAAGCGGGAGTTTAGGAAGCTTTGTTTGCAGCGAACTGAAAGGGACCATAGGTATCCAGCAGGTGCGACACTTGGCGCCATCACTGAAGTTTGTTTGGTATTATGTTTGTGGCTTTTTCCGGTACCTTGGGCTTTGCTCTCAGCCTTCCATCACATGCGACAAACAGGCCAGAATCAAACAGGTTCAGCTGCTTAGGTCCCACTCTCCGAATCCCAGGGAAGGCCAGCCCTGTGAGGATGGTTTCCCTTTGCCGAAACCTGGAGGGCCAGCGGCCGGCCCCACCTTTTGAAATCGTTTGTGTCTGGTGTGCAAAGCAAAGCCAGAGAACCGGACCATGTCACTGGTAGCCCGCTCTTAGTTTGAAGGGGCCTCCAGACCCCACAAATCAGGGAGCTGGGGAGGCCACCCTACTTTCCCATGTTCTTTGGGGGAATAAACCAAACATATTGCCCACAGTCCGCCGAAAGAACTCGCCTGAGGCAAAGGCAAGGGGAAGGGCAAAGCAGCCAAGGCCCGTCGGCAAGGTGCACAAGGTGCACGAAGACAACAGTAACCAAGGGGGAGACATTGATCAGGCCTCATCCAAGTCAATCTGTTTTTTTTGGGGAGGTTCCACCCGCAGGCCCCTGCCAACTTGTAGCAATAGTAATTTGGGCGTAAAACGCATTCTGGGACGAGGGGCATTTGAATCCTCAAGGAGTGGCCCCTTCCCAAGACTCCAGAACTGACAGGTGAGAGCAAGACAGTACTGAACGTCAAGACTGGAGACTCCTTGGACATCTTGCGTGCTGTATAGGAACCAAAGGGAAAGGGGAGGGAACCCCTTGTGTTGACACAGACATGGCCATTTTCCTGCTCAGGTCCCTTGACATACCCCCAAATCAGAGAGCCACTGCATGGATCTATGACAGCGCAGAGCTGGGGCGTAGGCGTCTGCCCTCTGGGCGCCAAATAACACGTGAATCACCATTTATTTTTAAAGAAAGTGCGGCGGAACAAAACTTCTAGCAGAGGCCCGGAGAGTCGGGCCAAGTCAAATTAGGCCCTTACGATTTGGCGAAGGGTTGGACATCTGGGCTGCCTAAATGTTTGGCATGTGTGAGAACCAGCCGTTTCGGCACCAGATTCAAGATGAGATCTCCAGTTTCTCGCAATGGCTCAAAGCCAAACAAGCGAATCTTGGCTGCTCTTTTTGGGAAACCTATCCCTGACCTTGCAGAAACTTGCGAACTGTCATCATCTCACAGAAACAGTGCTGCCTCACCCCCACCCCTGACCGGCCGAACATTCGAACCAACATATTCCCTTCTCCCATGCTGCTGCCTCATTCCAGGCTACTTCCTCATGGTTCCTCTTGGCCTTACTAAAGGGACCCAAGGGTATTCCTGGAAGAGGTGCTTGTTCCAGAATTCCATGATATGGGTGCGTAAAACGCTGAGGTTCGGCCAAAGCAGCCGCTGCTCGCAGGGGGCTGAGTCTGAAGTGGGATCGGCTCTGCACAAGGCTGCGACCGGGCAGGATGCTAGGCAACGTTGCAAACATCCGTTGTCGTTTTCATGCTGGAAGTTTGGCCATCTTCAGTCCAATGACCAACATGGACATGCCACGCCATGGATCTATGTATAAATACGAACCGTGCCCCCAACCTTTTTGCGGGGAAGATGAGCAAGATTACCTCGAAGTGTCCAGGACACCCCTGCCTCTTCGAGGGCAGGGGTCAAAAGCGTTCGGCTTCAAGATTCTGCGAAGGTCGATTTTGTCCAAGAGTGTCATTGCTTGCAGTCTAAAGTTGAAGGGACGGATGGTATGATCAACGGGGCAAGGATGTGACGTATGTCAACAGCACCCTCCCAAATCGAGCTTCTCAATTGGGAGTTATTTGTGTGGCTTTTCTATTCGCCGACCCTCTCTCCCTTGGCCTTCGCTGGGCAGATCATTTTCGTGTTGGATCTGTCTTTTCTTTATGGTACCGTTTCTTGGCCGTGTGTAAGGACAACTAAAGATCATCCACATTTTTTGCGGACTTCCTCTTCGGAGAAAAACAAGTTGTTAATGGTTGGCAGTTTGACTTTTTTTGGTTGTCCTCTTCGCATCCAGACTCTGGGTTTGTGACCAACGACGATCTCTATCTTGGCCGGTTTGGAATGCGGAACACAGGCATGCCTGCAAAAGGCTCGGCCTCCCTTTCCTTGGAAACTCCAGGTGGGTGTGTCGTTTTTTGGGGTGGCCAGCCTGTTTGAGGTTGCGTTCAAGAGAGAACACACGGCACCTGCCAACTGTGGGGGGTCCCTTATCCCATTTGGAGACAAGGCCATGAGCCCAGTGTTGCCAATACTCTCCTTGTTTGGTGGTGTGCAACATCACATTTCAGCCCTTGAATCGTGTTTAGATATTTTTCCTTTAATTAGACTGTAAGTACAGTCAATTCCCACATGCAATGGTACCATTTTGGGGTAGGTGCACCACCCTTTTTAGTCTATTTTAGTAGGGATTGGGATGTTTACTGGGGGTACGGGCTTTTGACCCATGGCCACATTACTTGCGTCAGTTGAGTCAGATTCCTTGGGACAAACCCAGGTATCCCCGGAGCACTTCGCCGCTCAAGTGCGGCACCTCGTGCTGCGGACCTTCACCGAAGAGCCACTGCCTCAGTGTCTCGCGCCGGAGGGCAAATGGGAAACCACCCCCTCCAAACCCATCCAAACAATCAGTTAAAAGGACGTTGACATTGGGTGTGATTTTGTTTTCCCTTTGCAATTTTAACAAGGTGGCTTTCTGTCCGATAGACATTAGGTGTCCCTCTTGGCGCGGATTTGAGAAGCGAGTGCGTTTCTGGATATGGTGAAAGGACAACCATTCATAGTAGTGGCGAGGGCAGTCATCTTATGTTCCCTTCAACAAGTGGTGCTTTGTTGATCTGAATGTTGTTCGACCTTTGTCACAAGATCTTGCAGTTTCGCATTTGCTTCAAAAGGTCTTACATGTTATTGACCTTCTTCCGTTTCTTTTTGTCGACCATTTGGTTTCCAAGCGAACAAGGATGCACAAACTTTCAACGGGTGTGAGACGCGCAGTCGTGTGCCACAAGAGTGAAGCAGAAATCAGCGCACCGCAGAAGGGAACCCTGAAGCCTGGCCCCACTTCGCGCGCCTATGGCCCCGGCAAGCGGCTTGCCTCAGTTGGCCCAGGCCAGAGGAGGATCCCCTCACAGTGCCGCAGGCGCGGTGCAGCTTTGGGCACCCGGCACCATGGAATCGTCTCAAACATGTCTAGGTTTGAAGTCTCTGGAAGGAGCGACTAGATTCAAGGGTTTGACGGGAATCGCTAGCACATTCAGGGGCTCTACGTCGCGGCCATGCAGAGCCTGCCCCTCGCTCGGACTCACGCAAACAACGATCTTGCGCTGACCATAGGCGACTGCCAGCACCGCCCAACGACTGCTTTGTTCCATGTTCAAGACGCGAGATGCTGTCCAAGCAAGCATCCCTTTGGGGTGAAGATGGGACAACTAGCCATTTTGCCTAGGTGTGACGGGGGTGAAAAAATGTTCAAATGAAGCCGAATGGCATGAGAGACCTGCTGCTGCTGCTGCTGCTGCCGTTGCCACTGCCTTTGTGCTGTTGCTGCTATGGTCAACTAGGGGCCAGTGTAAGGATGGCTTTAAGAGGCAGCACGTGTCGCCAAACCTTTGGTGGGTTCGATTCAACTGGCTTTGACATATTGAGCTGTCAAGCATCAAGGCCCCCCTCATTTAGCTGCAGAAAGTGGCCCATACTTTTGGGTCTCCCTCCTACAGCCCCTACATGAAGTGTTGAAGATACCTCACATGTCCATGGTCTGCTCTCACTGAGTACACGACTGCAACCACAACTCTCGAGCACCGATGCAGCTCGACTGATCGCGCGGCAGTCGTTGGGGAGGGGCAAAGCGGTTGGGGTCTCTTCAGCATTTCCAGTCTATCAGTCTATCTTGCCTTTGACACTATCAGCCTCATTTCTCCACACCTTGCTAAACTTTGTAGAATCTGTTGGACCACTTGAACGGGGGCCGGTAAAGTTTGAGTTTTTATGTCCAAGAGATGGCCCAGACCTGGGGCCGACCTGAGACCGTCGCGTAGAGGATTCCCATATCACGTTCTATATTGAGGCGGCCACCCCTGGAGGGAAGTTCTGAGAGGATTTCCGCCAGCCTCAAACCACTGACATCACTGACCAATTTTCATATTGGGTGTGCCACTTTATAGATATTGCAGGGGCAGAAAGCCCGGGTGCTTTGGTGATAGTGGAAGCCCACTTCCAAAAGTAGTCTACCAAACGGGTGTCTGAGTTTCCACATGCTCCTTTGACTCGCTCCTGGAGGCACACAAAGATGACAAACCACTCGCGAAATCTCGATGCGCAAAGTGAGCAATTGAATATCATTGGTAGTCTGTGAGCCTGGGAGGCCCACCAAATCTGTGTCAACATCTATGGCAGCCGCCCGATTTTCCATGCTCCCTCGACGAAAGGTATTGTACACGGCTGAAGCTGATTCAGGACCCGACCAAGATTCTTATCTTGTCTTGTAAAGGCCCTCCTCATTTCAGGTTGCCCAACTATGGTAATTCCAGTCCACCTGGTGCGTTGTGTTTGCATCGGGACCTCGGGTTTCGCCAAGATCCAGTCCTCACTAGGCATTGGCTTCCCAGCGCCATCCGCTGACAGGTTTGAAACCCCACTCCCAGTGTTTGAGCTTCCCAGGAAAAACTCATTCGGGAAGTCAACCAGTTCAAGGTGTCCCCGTTTAGAGACTCTGGAAAAGGCAAGCAAACAAACATGCTCCGCGCCAAGAAACGTGCGTTCCAGCCACTTGTCCACTGCTGTTGGCTCTTGTAAAAAATGCCGTAGAAGATTTGCAGCTCCCCAGCACGGTTCGTGTGAAAACACATGTAACATGCTATTGGTGAGTTATTCGAAGCAGGAAATCGATATCGTTTGTACTTGGCCTGATGCCATCGAGGCCACCTCATGGCAAATTGGGCCACCTCAGGCCACATAAGGCCAAGAAAGGCAACACAAGCCAACTTAGCCCTGAACAGTCCGCGTGTCTTTGGGATCCGTGGTTTGAAGAGTCCCGGCATTTGCTCCGACAAAGGTCCTGCCAATCCTTCCCATCTCGGGGAGCTTCAGTGCTGACGAGCTCGATGAGCACAGGACGCGTCCTCATCACATGTGGCTATCTTGTGGAAAAGGGAGCCCCTCAGAAAGAGTTTTCAGACTTTGAGACCCGCATGTTTGAGTCATGCTTTTGGCGATTTGACCATCGAAGAGGGCCCTTGCTGCGAAACCATGAGTCAGCAAAGGCAGACTGAGATCTGCAACCAAAAGCATAGTGCCTTTTGACCACTTGACTGGTAGTTGGAAGCGTCCTAAACTTGGGGACCAAAAGGGCTGCTTCCTTTAGGTTTCCATTCAAAGCAGCCCCTAAAAGGGTTACCCTCAACCAAAAACACACCCAATTGTCCACGCGGAGTTCTTGTCCCGGCTTCGGTCTGGGCATTTCTGGGCCCCAGCGTGTCATGCTCCTTTTGCCATGAATCTCCCGGGACGAACGCAAAGCCTATTGACTTGAAACGGCCTCCGGTGTCACGGTTTCGTACCAATTTAAGTCGTCCTTTGGACAAGCATACGCACATACAGACATACGTACATACGTACATAAATGCATTCATACATACATACATACATACATACATACATACATACATACATACATACATACATACATACATACATACATACATACATACATACATACATACATACATACATACATACATACATACACATACATACATACATACATACATACATACATACATACATACATACATACATACATACATACATACATACATACATACATACATACATACATACATACATACATACATACATATACATACATACATACATACATACACACACATAATATACACAACATACATACACATATACATACATACATACATACATACATAGATACATAGATACATACATACATACAGCATACATACATATATATATATATATATACATGCATCCATACATACACACATACCTACATACATACATGCGTTTACACACATTTACATACATGTACCTATATTTACATACATACCTACGTACCTACGTACGTACGTACATACTTGCATGCGTACATACATACAATACATTACATTACATTACATGGTATTACATGGTATTGCATTGCATGACATGACATGACATGACATGACATTCATACATTCATGCATACATAAATACATACATACATACACATATACATATACACAAATATATACATATACACATACACATGTGTATATAGATATATACATGCATTTACACACATTCACACACATGCATACGTACGTACATACATAGCATACATACATACATACATACATACATACATACATACATACATACATACATACATACATACATACATACATACATACAAGACATACATACAGCCGTACATGTATACATGCATACATGCATACATACATGCATCCATACATACATACACACATACCTACACACATGCGTTTACACACATTTACATACATGTACATATATTTGCATACATACCTACGTACCTACGTACATACTTACATGCGTACACACATACAATACATCAGATTACATTGCATTGCATTGCATGACATGACATGACATTCATACATACATACATACATACACACACATATACATATACATATACATGTACATATACACACAAACGTGTGTATATAGACATATACATGCATTTACACACATTTGCACACATGCATACGTACGTACGTACGTCCGTACATACATACATACATAACATACATACATACATACATACATACATGCATACATGCATACATGCGTACATGCATACATGCATACATGCATCCATCCATGCATACATACATACATACACACACATACATACATACATACATACATACATACATACATGCCTACCTACATACATACATACATACATACATACAATACATACATACAAGAAGTACATACAGCCGTACATGCATACATGCATACACACATGCATCCATACATGCATACACACATACCTACATACATACATGCGTTTACACACATTTACATACATGTACATATATTTACATACATACCTACGTACCTACGTACGTACGTACGTACATACTTACATGCGTACATACATACATACAATACATTACATTACATTACATTGCATTGCATTGCATTGCATTGCATGACATGACATTCATACATACATACATACATGCATACATACATACAATATATACATACATGCATACATGCATACATGCATACATGCGTACATGCATACATGCATACATGCATCCATCCATACATACATACATACATACACATACATACACATACATACTCAGTTCTACACGGACAGTAGGTTCGGCTGGTCTAGAGTTTCTCTTCAGGCAAGCGTGCCCCCTAGTTGGGCAGTGGCGCACGATTCCCCCCTTCAAAGTCAACTAATGCAAGAGGGACGCCCATTTTTCCCATGACAAAAGCACTGGGAACACGGGTTCCGGTTCTTCCGGTCCAGTTCGTTTGGACTTGCCTCAGCCGAGGTCTCAGCGGAAGAAGCGGAAGGATCCACGACAGACTATCGTGGCAGTACCCTCCATTCGGTTCATGCCAGGCGGGCAATCTTCTGATGTTTGTGAGGCGCCCAAGCGTTCAACGGACCCATCAGGGCAAAGTCACCTTGAAAGTAACAAAGAACAATCATGTGGATGTTTTGAAAGTTAGTTTACATTCCCCAAACAATGAGGCCTGAAAAACAACTGATTGGACGAAGCCGCGTTTGACGCTATAAGCCGCTGGGATTGGGCCCAAGGATAGGAGAAGTCCGTGGTTCGCATACCGACCCCTCTTTGGCCCCGCAGAGGTTTACATGACACCGATTTTGGTTTCGTGGTGGTTTCCTCTCACAAGCTATATCTGTTTTTGCTTGGATGAACCCATGTGAGCCAATTGGTTTGCTGTAGATCAGGACTGAATTGTTCATTTAGATGGCTGCCTAAATGTCATAGGCGGTGGGCATATTGTGTTCATATCGGTTCTTTGCCTTCCCTTGTTGGTTGAAGCGTTTTGTCAAGACATCCTCCTCAAAAGCTGGCCCCCTCCATTTCCCTAAAAGCAGGGCAAAAGGTAAATCCGACGTTGTTGGTTTTTCCCTCAGGCCTTGCGCACCCCTTGACCTTCAACGAGGAGCAGATGCTTCGGCTTTTCGTGACGGACCCGCGGAGCATGGCCCGGGGGCTCAGACGCTTCGGCGAAAGCCTTAGAAAAGGCCCTTAGACACTTCGCAGGTTCTAGTGGCAAACTTCTCCACACTTTACCGGTTGAGAAGCCACGCAAGCCCGGATCCTGGATTTACATGGCTTGCCTTTGTTATTGATACTTAAAAATATTATGTTTGCTGTTGAAGTTACGTAGTGGGAAGTGCTACAGGCACAGTCAACGCAGACAATGCACACTACTGGTCCACATTGCCATGAAACCTGTCGGGTCCCTTGAAAAGAAGTGGTCTGACTGTCACTTTCCCTCGGACTCCATGTCTCCATGTAGACCGAGAAGTCTCTCGATTCCGAGGCCTACAATCTGGCCAACACGCAGAGGAGCCGAGTACCGCTGACCATCGAGCAGTGCTGGTCTCAGCTCTGTCAGAGCTTAACTTAGCAACGCCAATGGCAAACAACGTGCTGGCATGGCTCACCCATGCGAAGGAAATCTCGGGTATGCATGTGTATATATATATATATACACATATACACACATGTTTGATATTATACACAGGTGGGGATCAAACGTTGCATGCCCTTGCAAGGTCCTGCCTCTCGCTTCGCCTTGATCAGCTGCTTGCATGTTCGTTGCACACGCGTGTCTTTGTGACATCCCTTGAAGTTGAATTGAAGGTTCTCTGTGCCATCTTGTTACAACTCCGCCCAATCTCTCCGAATCAAACATGTAGAACCGTGACGCTTAAAACAGGAACATATTTTAACGCCTCCGGCTCAGGCCGCCGACATTACAGGCTTCTTTCTTATTTGCGTCCCTTTGGAATTGTGCCCTTGCCCCCTTCCCCTCTAAGATTTTTTGCCCCCCTTTCCCTGTTGAGATCCATTCCCCCTTTCCCCCCTAAGGCCCTTTCTCTCTCTGAGATTGTTTCCCTTTTCCTCCCTAAGATGTTTTCCCCCCTCTCCCTGTTGAGATCCTTTCCCCCCTTTCCCCCCTAAGGCCTCTGCCCCCCTGAGATCTTCTCCCTTTTCCTCCCTTTCCCCCACTTTCCCCCCTAAGGCCTTTTCCCCCCCTGGGATCTTTTCCCTTTCCTCCCTGAGATCTTTCCCCCCCTTTCCCTGTTGAGATCCTTTCCCCCCTTTCCCCCCTAAGGCCTTTCCCCCCGCTGAGATCTTCTCCCTATTCCCCCCCTAAGATCCTTTGCCCCCTTTCCCTGTTGAGACCCTTTCCCCCCTTTCCCCTAAGGCCTTTCCAGATCTTCTCCCTTTGCCTTCCTAAGATTGTTCCCCCCCTTTCCCTGTTGAGATCCTTCCCACCCTTTCCCCCCTAAGGCCTTTCCCCCCTGAGAGCTTCTCCCTTTTCCTTCCTAAGATCTTTCCCCCCTTTCCAAGTTGGCATTTTTTCCCCCAGATCTTCTCCCTTTCCTCCCAAAGATCTTTTCCACCCCTTTCCCTGTTGAGATCCTTTCCCCCCTTTCCCCCCTAAGGCCTTTGCCCCCAGGTCTTCTCCCTTTCCTCCCTAAGATCTTTCCCCCCCCTTTCCCTGCTGAGATCCTTTCCCCCCTTTCCCCCCTAAGGCCTTTTTTCCCCCCGCGATCTTCCCCCTTTTTCTTCCTAAGATCTTTTGCCACCTTTCCCTGTTGAGATCCATTCCCCCTTTCCCCCCTAAGGCCCTTTCTCCCTCTGAGTTTTCCCTTTTCCTCCCTAAGATGTTTTCCACCCTCTCCCTGTTCAGATCCTTTCCCCCCTTTCCCCTAAGGCTTTTCCAGATCTTCTCCCTGTGCCTTCCTAAGATTGTTTCCCTCCTTTCCCTGTTGAGATCCTCCCACCCTTTCCCCCCTAAGGCCTTTCCCCCCCTGAGAGCTTCTCCCTTTTCCTTCCTAAGATCTTTCCCCCCCTTTCCCTGTTGGCCTTTTTTCCCCCAGATCTTCTTCCTTTGCTCCCAAAGATCTTTTCCACCCCTTTCTCTGTAGAGATCATTTCTCCCCTTTCCCCCCTAAGGCCTTTGCCCCCAGATCTTCTCCCTTTCCTCCCTAAGATCTTTCCCCCCCTTTCCCTGCTGAAATCCTTTCCCCCCTTTCCCCCCTAAGGCCTTTGCCCCCAGGTCTTCTCCCTTTCCTCCCTAAGATCTTTCCCCCCCCTTTCCCTGCTGAGATCCTTTCCCCCCTTTCCCCCCTAAGGCCTTTTTTCCCCCCGCGATCTTCCCCCTTTTTCTTCCTAAGATCTTTTCCCCCCTTTCCTTGTTGAGATCCTTTCCCGCCCTTTCCCCCCTAAGGCGTTTTCCCCCCCAAGATCTTCTCCCTTTTCCTCCCTAAGATCCTTTGCCCCCTTTCCCTGTTGAGATCCTTTCCCCCCTTTCCCCCCTAAGGCCTTTCCCCCCCTGAGATCTTCTCCCTTGTCCTCCCCAAGATCTTTTCCCTCGGTTGAGATCCTTTCCCGAGATCTTCTCCCTTTTCCTCCCTAGGATCTTCTCCCACCTTTCCCTGTTGAGCTCCTTTCCCCCCTTTCCCCCCTAAGGCCTTTTCAGATCTTCTCCCTTTTCCTCCCTAAGATCCTTTGCCCCCTTTCCCTGTTGAGATCCTTTCCCCCTTCCCCCCCTAAGGCCTGTCCCCCCCTGAGATCTTAAGGATCTTTTCGCTTTTCGATCCTTTCCCCCCCTAAAGCCTTTCCCCCCCCCCCCCCCCTTCAGATCATCTCCCCTTTCCTCCCTAAGATATTTTCCCACCTTTCTTTTTGGAGATCATTCCCCCCTGTCCCCCCTAAGGCCTTTTCCCACCCTGAGTTCTTCTCCCTTTTCCTCCCTAAGATCTTTTGCCACCTTTCCCTGTTGAGATCCTTTCCGCCCTTTCCCCCCTAAGGCTTTTTTTTCCCCCCTCGATCTTCCCCCTTTTCCTTCCTTAGATCTTTTTCCCCCTTTCCTTGTTGAGATCCTTTCCCCCCATTTCCTCCCTAAGGCCTTTTCCCCCCAAGATCTTCTCCCTTTTCCTCTCTAAGATGTTTTCCCCCCTTTTCCTTCTAAGGCCTTTCCCTCCCTGAGATCTTCTCCCTTTTCCTCGCTAAGATCTTGCCCCCCCTTTCCCGGTTGACATCCGTTCCCCTCTTTCCCCCCTAGGCCTTTGTCCCCCAAGATCTTTCCCCCCGCCCCCCCCCCCCCCCCGCCCCCCCGATCTTCTCCCCACTTCCCCCCCGAAAACATTTTTCACGGACTGAGTTCTCTTCACTGCCCTTCGCTCCCTTTGGAAATTGTTGACTTCTTGTCCCGGCTTTTCCCGTTCCCCAGCATGGGCAACATTACCAGCATTACTTGCATCATTTGCAGCAAGGTTTGCAAATAATCTGGATGATGCAAGTATTGCTGGCGATGTGCCGCTGGGGCTGCTAAGGGTGCGAAAGCGGACCTCCAATGTTTGACAAAGCTGAGTCGCGCAGGCCCGCAAAATGAATAGATTTAGTGAAGCGTCTTCATAGTCTGAAAATGTGCCCCTGGGGAGGGGTAAGAAAAGGGGTAAGAGGTAAGGAGCATTTCTTATGTCCAACACGCCGTCTGTTGTCGGCGGATATATATGCATATGGGCATGGCTTTAATTTGGGACCCCTTGGTGGACGTCATTTAGGTGGGGATTCGTGTCCACCAATCACTTTTGATGTGATTTCCTATAAATTGATAGCCACATCAGAATATGCCTTGCGTTTTGACGATTACCAGGAGTCTGGCAGAGAGGCCTCATGTGACATGTGACTTGCATCCAATGAATCCTCCCCCCTTCCCGGCCTGCAGCCCAAGGTGAAACGTGCATTGAAACATGGGAACGCGCGGATCGAGTTTTGTTTTCGGGGACACCAAAATCAAAAGCAAGTTGGGGACATCATTGGACATCATGAATGTCGAATGCTTCATTGACTTTGGACTCTCAAGTGGCTAAGTTTCTTGTGGATGCTCTTACAAAACAACAAGTCGAACACCAACCCGGGGATTCCCTTGAAGAGACGCCCCTAGATACCCAGGTGCGAAACTGCGCACCGTATCATTGCGCGGTGCCTCAGAGACTCCGATGGATTCAGACGGAAGCTCGCCATGATCCTCGTTTGGCCCAATGAGGGCGCACCTAGGGTACATGAAAGGGCCCCTGTTTCATACACGCCCCATCTCTTGGCAAAAGGTGTCACATTATAGGCCGAGTTGTGGGTGTGTGCCCGATTTCCATTTTGTGGCGTGGGTCTAGCATACTCACCCCTCAACGACTAGCGGTCAACATTTACTGTCATCTCCGGTAGAAAACAGGATGACATGAGGCTCGCTTACCGGAAAAGCACTCGGAACTATAGTGAACCTCTCTCCAGGGCACGATACCAATGGCGTGGATATTTGGGTTTTTTGCCGCATCAGCCTTGAGGTGGTTGTCCTCCGCTACATAAGGGTGGTCTAGTGCATCCAGATACCCCGCTTAATCATTTGGGACTTCTAGCCAGCCGATCCCCTAAGTATTGCAAATAGGGAACAAGGAATTCCGCGTTTTTGCCACGGCAAGCGGGTTGCATTGGACCATTGGACCTCCAGACTTTCACTCGGCGCTTCTCCCGGGCTTTCCGCGCCCAGTTGGAGCGGCACGAAGTGCTGCGCAGCGCCTTCAGCTTGGAAGATCCCACCAATCCCACCCGCAAGGCCACGGATGCACCCGAACGGGTCGGGTCGGGGGGCAGGGGGGGGGAACCTTCGGGGGTGGGTGATGAGGCAGGGCGTGACGTGTCTTGACCTAATCCCTTCGAAGAACAAGGCATGCCTAATGGTCAAGGGCGTCCCTCCCTGTAGTTCCTGGAAAAGATGTGAAATGGGGGTGGGGGTCAAAGGGTTTCCCATCTAAGCCATGAAAACCAAAACCAGCGAATCGACCTCAGTGAGTGGGTTCAACAAAAGCAGTACTAGGTCCGGAAACATGGGTGAGTCTGGCGAAACGAACCAAACACATGGTGTTGACGTCTCTCCTGACAGTAACATAACCCCCAAACCACCCACCCCACGTGTACTCCGTGGCCAGGTCATGCGGAGCCACGTGGGGGGCTTCTACGCTTTGCCGGTGGCGGACGAGGGCCAGGCACAGGCCGTGGCGAGCATGGACTACGCCACACCCCACATGCCAGGGGCGCCCAGTTGGGCTCCTGGGAGGCGACCTTTCGAGATGTCGATAACGAGAAGGACGACCTTTGCGCGGGATTTGACGGCTAGACTGGAGAGTAGTTGGGGCTTTTCTGACTTTCCAAGGCGCCAACAAAACATTGGCTCGGGCTGCTTGAATGCTTTCAACACTCCGGAAATCGACTCGGGCGCCACCGAGCCACATGAGCCCGGGGCCTCTCACTATTTGAGCGACGCTGCACGGGTAGGATTACAAGTATGCCCAAAGCCCCTTAAAGCTATCCGAATTATAATGGGTTCAATTGAGTTGCCTCGTTCGATTCCCCAACCAAAAGACCCCATTGGGGCCACTTCAGATCAGATGAAATGCTTCTGGTTGTGTCCCACGCGCCCCTCTTTCTTGACCGGGGTTGGAGGGAAAAAGTGAACCTCGCAAGAACTGGTCCGCCTTCTCTCCACTGAAGCACTCACTGGGGGCTCAAACCTGAGGCTTGGCATCTCCGGTATCCGGGTGCTGTACACGCCCTCCTACGACAACTTCCCGGCGCTGCACGCTGGGAGCTCAAGGTGGAAAAGTGGTTTCAACATGGACTTGTCCCCAGCCTCATCGTGGATTACTTCCTCTTTGCAAATGTTTTTGTTTGGAGTGGGGGTGCCTTAAAAGTCAGCTACCAGACACACACATGCCCTTTATTCTGTGGTTACTGGGAGTCTGGGTAAAGGGAATGGGAAATACTGATGTTCCAACAGAACACTGTGGTGTGTGGGGCGCGGGGTGGGTCGAACAACCGCGTGCAATTGGACCCGGGATTGGTGCTCCGTCTCAGCCAAAACTGAAAGCGTGGATTTTTGGAAGGGATCATTGGAAGCTACCCTTCAAGCTGACGGCAGTAGCCCTTTTCCCTAAGAGAGCTTTCCTTTGAAAAATTGGTATTTGGGCTCCATCTGAATCTTCAGGAGCATATGGGACATTCCGACCATCATAAACTGCATGTGTGATTCCTTTCCTCTTGTGCAGCAGATTGATCAAGACCTCTCCACCATCGTGACTACCGGGGAATTCTTTAGGTGCGGCTGCTGTTCAGGCTTGACGCCGGATTTATAAACCAAGCAGATAAACTGGGCTGGGGGGCCATCCCCACAAGGGGAGAATCGCTCTAAACAACGTGCTTGCCAAACAATCAACATGGGGTCATCAATCTGGGGTCAAGACCAAGGGTTCACTGGCGCGTCATGGAGGAGCTCGTGCATTCAACCGTTGACGAGGTCCCGGAGACTCCTGGGACACTTTGCTTGAACATACAGTTTATACTTCCACTATGTGTCAACCCCTGTGAAGATTCGTGCCAAAAACAAGTCCTCCGCAAAAAGGGGGGTCGAACGCTCTGGGCCCAACCCTGAGGTCAACATGCACCACATCCTCGCATCAGCCTCGGCATTGGCTTCACCCGACGGTCAATCCAGTCCCCACCCTCCCGCGGAATTGTTGTAGAGGCAACAGTCCCTTTGGGAAGCCCGTCTTTGATTTCGGATGTTCAATGCTGTTGACTGTTAGAAGTCTTTGAACGTTATTGTTTGGCCCGCCAATGTCCTGACACCAAACCAACCCAAGCCGCCAACTTGGAGTAAGGGGGTAAGGTGAAAGCTTGTTGCTGACGTTCTGGTGCCAGTCGATAAAACCCGAACGGATGACTCAGTCTGCAATTATCACACTCTGGGCTGGAGACATTTGGGGTTTATACAAGTGAGTCTTGAAATTGATAAACCCAAACCGGGGGGGGGGGGGGGGGTTTTGGTTTCCCCTCAAAACTAACCACACCCATATATCTTAATACATTCAAGCCCCCGAATTACCTTGAGCAATGCCACGGCTGAAGCTGAGGCATTGGTTCCTTCCTTCCGTCCACAGCGCCTAAAACCCTTGTTTGGCTGGGTACAGTTTTTTCCTCCGTGGTTTAGTAGAGATCATGGTGAAGTATTTATCCCTTCACGATTGTTTTCCCATCGGGGGCATCATTGGTGGGTTCTCTGTCTGGCTGGTGGAACCCAGCATTAAACAACCTCTTGGTGATTGACTGGGAGGTGTCCCGGTTGGTGGGTGGTTCTTTGTTGCGGGGTTACCCCACATTGAGGCACTTGGTTCACCCAGCATGTGAGGAGTTTGCCACACTATTTCATCAATAAGCCCACAAGGACCTGTTGACGTCAGGGAGTCCCAGTTGGGGGCAGCAAAATGAAAACCTTTCATTGCAGGCCTTTGGTTGCAAATGGGGATGGTAGTTATAAACAGCAAGTTTGCCAAAATACATGGGGCCGAGTCACCAGTACGAGTGAGCCATGAGTTTCCTCGTTTGAAAGGGGGTGCAAAAGCGAGGCGGACAATGACGCGCTGATGACCTTCTGGCAGGAATCCTTCCAGATTCAGGCTCAGGGGGTTGCAACCGGGGGCCGGGGGGGGGGTCCTCCAATTGGGAACCTTTTGAATTGAAATTCAGGTGAAGCTTTGCTTTCCTTCGAAATCAGGCAAACTGCGGGCAAGGGGTCTCCTATTAAATAAGTTACAATCAAAACCCTTGTGGTCGCCTTTTCAATTCTTTACCTGGTTGTGGGTAGACCATTTTACCACTGGGTGTTGATTCTGACCCAAGTGAGCGCCTTGAGAATCAGTGCAAAAAGAAACTCAAGGCCTTCTCAGTGTTCGTTTGAGGGAAAATGGTGCAGCGACCTTTGTGTTTTGGCTTGTGGGTGGACCTTGGTTTATGGGTTACCTTACAAAGACAAAGTAAGCTTGGTAGCCACCGGGGCTGGAGAAGCTATATGTTTCGTGGCGAACGTCGCAGCGGATCCTCAGTTTGTTTGTGTCTCAAGAGAACACAAGGTAGTGCCGCTTTTAAGGACCAGCGCTAGTTTGCGCCCGTTGCTGGGAAGCTATTTACTTTTGACATGTTTGGGTCTGCACGCTGAATTTGCATAGTTGTTTTGTCGCACGGCTCCATTATTCCGTGCTGTTTGCATTGAAATCACCCTGGCATTCTACGTGATTGACTGTGTTTTGCGGCGGGCTTTGGGAAACCGTGGTCTTGTTTTTTTGGGATGTGCGGCACACAAACTTGGGCGCCAACGCACTGACTTCCGCTGGAGGGCGTAACATGTCATTTGGCACCACTCGGTCTAAAAGTCGGGCCCCGATGGCCTTTGCTGTTTTCCGGCGAATCTTTGTTAGTCTTGCGAACAAATGAACGGGAGCAGCAGCATGGCACAGCCGAAGGAGCAGCAGGGACAGCAAGGCAAGTGCGCACTCCATGGGTCCAACCTGGCCCCTCGGGTGCCTTAGAAACCAATCATGTCGTAGCCAGGAAACCGAAGCTGCAGACGTCGTCCACATCACACCACCAAAAAAAGCGCTGCTACAGTTCTACCGTTTGAACAGCCGAACAGCGCCAAAAGTCACAAAGTCGGCGTCTAAGATGGTGGTCACATGTGTTCACATCAAAGCTTTGTAATAGCCCCCGTATTTGCCAGCATGTGAAGGGCGGATACCTTTTGGCTCCTTGGGTGGTTTGGAGGGTAATTAATGGAAACTCTTTGGGAGAAAACTGTCGATGGCACCAGGAGTTGCTGTACTATGGCTACTCCAAGCAGGCGCGCTCGAAAAAGCCCGGCAAGGACCATTGTTTCTCCTGTCCACTAGAGGAGGTCTGGATGTTTTTGCCCACTGCAATGTCGACCCTGGACTAATCAACCTGACGAATTCAGGAAGGACTCCCTTGCAAATAGGGCGCCTCGTCAACCAACCAGGGGGCGGATTGCAACAGATATTTCCCTGAGTGTCTCCCCAAAATTGAGAAGCCCCTCATGGTTGCAAATGCTTGCCGATTTGTTGGGGATGGGAACAATGCACAGCGGAAACTGACATGGAATCCCAACAGGGCATGGCTTCACGCCTACCCTGCTTTCTGAGACAATCTGCCAGAAAGAGTTGCAACCGCGGCCCTCAATCATAAGCACAAACCAGGAAAGAAGAATGTAGCGTCACTTCCAAATGGAGCCTGTTTGGTAATCTCACTTGATGAGCTGGACGGGTATGGATAGCTGGAAGGGTTTGGGCATCCAAACTCAGATCTATGGATCAGCATCCACTCCGAACAAACTGCCACAAGCATATGGCTCCAGACAAGTGCTACCTGACTGGTAGACTACGCTAGAGCACGGTTCATTTTCAGAAACTTATCATAAAGTGATTGCAAGTTGCTCCACCCCAACGTGTTTGCGCTCAGGCAGTGAAGGACCGCCTGCCTCAGCTGCCACACGCCCAGATCGACCTCACCTTTGGCTTCTTGAACCGGGCTGTCAAAACGGGAATCCTCAGAGTGGGTGGCTTCCTTTGGCTGTCGGAGCTTTCGGAATTCCTCAAACAGCACGAATCATTCCTGGATTTTGCCGGCATTGAGAACGTCCGGGGGAATTTTTCGCATTTCTTTTGCGGTGTGGGCGGAGTGGGGCAATGATGATGCTCTCGTGACCGCAGCGCTTCGCTAGAAGATGTGGGGCAAGGGGTGGGATGGAAATGATGATGCTCCCACGACTGCAGCATCTTGGCAGGGGGGGGCAATGAGGATGATCCCGCAACGTACTTTGGGTGGGGTGGGGTGGGGCAACGATGATTCTCCCGTGATTGAAGCACTTGGCAGGGGATGCGGGGCGGGGTGGGTGGGGCAATGATGCGCCCGTGGCTGCAGTACTTTGGCAGAGGATGTGGCAGCGCAAGCTTGACAACCTGCCCTTTCAAGAAGTGGCTCACTTCTGGACACCCTCACCTCTGCCACTTGTGTTCCCCCTAGCGCGATCAGTTCATAGGACATATTCATTGGCTCTGCCACTTGAAACAAACTTTGGGAACGAGGATTGAGGTCAACTCCGTGGCCAGTGCGGGGGATTCAGGGTGCATCAGGCAGAAGATCTCGGTCTCGTACACAACAAAGCGCGTGGTCAGATTCAATGACTGGTCCTTGATTCTATTCAGCATATTTGGCCGATACACTCCACAGATTGTCATGTGCTCTCCTAAACTTTTATGGAGGGGTTTCGACCCCCCATTGCCACAAGAGGTTTCGTGGGTCTCCTGGTCCCCATGTCTCCTGCTGGTCCTGGTCCCTGGTGTCTCCTGGTCGCCTGGTCTCCTGTGTCTTGTCTCCTGGTCCTTGGTATCCTGGTCTCCTGGTCTCCTGGTCTCCTGGTCTCTTGGTCTCCTGGTCTGCTGGTCTCCTGGCCTGCTCTCCTACCCGAAACCGACCCTAAACCAAACTACACTCACCCTAAACCAACCCAAAACCAACCTACAAACCAACCTTGAAACCGACCCTGCGCAACTTTTAAACCAACCCTAAACCCGCCCTAAACCAATCCTAAACCCACCCTAAACCTACCCTAAACCTACCCTAAGCCAACCTAAACCACCCTAAACCCAACCTAAACCTACCCTAAACCAACCAAAATCCACCCACCGCAAACAAACCCAACACCCTCCCTAAACCCACCCTAAACCCACCCTAAACAGACCCTAAACCCACCCGAAACTCCAAACCCACCCGAAACCCAACCAAAATTAACCCTAAACCAACCTTGAAACCAACCCTACACAACCTTAAGCCAACCCTAAACCCAGCCTAAACCAACCCTTAACCCAACCCTAAAGCAACCCTAAACTCACCCTAAACCCGCAAACCAACCCTACACCTACCCGAAGCCAACCTAAAACCACCCTAAACCCAACCTAAACCTACCCTAAACCAACCAAAATCCACCCACCGCAAACAAACCCAAAACCCTCCCTAAACCCACCCTAAACCCACCCTAAACAGACCCTAAACTAAACCTAAACCCACCCTAAACCCACCCTAAACAGACCCTAAACTAAACCTAAACCCACCTAAACCAATCCTAAACCAACCCCAAACCCACCCGAAACTCCAAACCCACCCGAAACCCAACCAAAATTAACCCTAAACCAACCTTGAAACCAACCCTACACAACCTTAAGCCAACCCTAAACCCAGCCTAAACCAACCCTTAACCCAACCCTAAAGCAACCCTAAACTCACCCTAAACCCGCAAACCAACCCTACACCTACCCGAAGCCAACCTAAAACCACCCTAAACCCAACCTAAACCTACCCTAAACCAACCAAAATCCACCCACCGCAAACAAACCCAAAACCCTCCCTAAACCCACCCTAAACCCACCCTAAACAGACCCTAAACTAAACCTAAACCCACCCTAAACCAATCCAAAACCAACCCTAAACCAACCTAAGCCAACCCCAAACCTACCCGAAACCCAACCAAAATTAACCCTAAACCAACCTTGAAACCAACCCTACACAACCTTAAGCCAACCCTAAACCCAGCCTAAACCAACCCTAAACCAACCCTAAACCTGCCCTAACCCTACCCTACACTTACCCTAAACCACCGTAAACTTAGCCTAAACCATCCCTTAACCCAACCCTAAACCAACCCTAAGCCACGTAAACCGGCACTAAACCCAGCCTAAGCCCACCCGAAAACTACACTAAACAGACCCAAAACCAACCTAAGCCAACCCTAAACCCGCCCTAAACATGCCCGAGGCCTACCCTATTTTTTTTTAAACCATAAACAACTTTCAAGCCCCAAACCAAACCTAAACCCACCCTAAACCAACCCTACTGACCTTCAACCGACCCTAAACTCTAAACCAGCCCTAAACCCACCCACCCTAAGCCAACCTAGAACCACCCTAAACCCAACCTAAACCAACCCTAAACCAACCTAAGCCAACCCCAAACCCTCCCAGCCTAAACCAACCCTAAACCAACCCTAAACCTGCCCTAACCCTACCCTACACTTACCCTAAACCACCGTAAACTTAGCCTAAACCATCCCTTAACCCAACCCTAAACCATTCCCAGGCCAACCCTAAGCCACCCCTAAACCCACCCTAAACCCACCCCTAAACCCACCCTAAACCCGCAAACCAACACCTAAACCTACCCTAAACCAACCTAAATCCACCCACCGTAAACAAACCCTAAACCGTCCCTAAACCAAGCCTGAACCCACCCCAAACCCATCCGAAACCTAACCTACATTAACCCTACACAACCTTAAGCCAACCCTACAGGCATTTAACCGATGCTAGATTCGTTGATAGAACTGCGCTTGTATCTGAAAAGTTGTGATTTTCGAACTGGAGCTGCCAAAGTGACCTTCGCGTACTGCGCTTGTATTGGAAAGTGTCCATTTTACAGCTGGAGCCGTAAAATGCGCGCGCTGTTGCCCGAAAATGATGTAAATTACAGCGTTTTTGCACCCCCAGGCCAGATAATTTGTTTTTGATCCTGTAAATAATTTGTTTTTGATCCGGGTGTCGATAATTTCTTTTTGATCCCGCAAATAATTATTTTTTGATCCTGCACCCAGGTTTCGTGGAGTTGCGTGGACCCCTTTAAAAAGTTATGCAAGGGGAACCAAAAGGAAGCCAACCGTTTCCGGGGTCTCCTGTCAGAAAACACCCGTTTTGCCTTTTGGCACTTCAAAGCGAATGTGCAGATTAGCTCTCAGCAAGCTGAAGTTGCAGTTGCAGCGTCCGTAAACATAGGGACCCTTTTGCAACCAGGTTGACGGGGCTGTAGTAGAGCAAAGCAAGTCTCCCAAGTTCCACCTTTGATCCACCTCTTTTGTATTTCTTAGATGTGTTGGTCGTTCTTTTTTGATTGCGGTGCTTCTTGGCATGGACAGGGTCGACCTCCATGTTTCAGACTCCACCTTGAAGGTCCAGAGAACTAATCATGTGACGTCAAAATAGCGGGTAGTCCCCCTAAAGCCCAGGGTTTCCTTTTGTAAAAAGCGAGGTTTCGGCCTTGTTCGCCAAGGCCAATCCAGTTCACAGACTTTGCCTACTGGCAGAAGTCCCTGTTCTCCAGAGGCGCAGCAGCTTGGCCTTGGTCGATCCATTCATAGAATGCCCGCGTGTCCACTGCCCTCAGCCGTCGGAACTTCAACAGTATTCAGACGCAGCCTCTATTTTGCGGCCATGGAGTGGGGAGTAGTGTCTGGATAGGCCATGGATCCTAGGATTGTCACCCAGTGAACCACGGGCTCGGTCGTTTCAGGGTGGTTGGATTCGGGGGTCGAGATTGGGTCCGCTGCTCACTGGATGCTGGCTGGGGACCAAACTAGAGAAGCTTCCAAAATGTATCGTTCCACGTTCGCTTTGTTTGAACCAACTCCTCATAAGTGAGGAAACAGGTTGGTTTGTTCCAATGGTCGCTGCCCCATTCTTAGCCCCCATGCCTTTTCGGCAACACCGCTGTGAACAATGAGTATCCCGGGAAAGAATTGCAAAGCACAGCTAGAATCATCCTTGCCCTTCCCAACAGCGCCGTTGTCGGAGTTGTTGTTTTTGTTTCCATCAGTAACGCTGCTGCTACTGCGTGTTGGGGGTGGTTGTGGTGCTTATGTTTTTTTCTAGTGTTTGTTAGGCTGGCGTGTGTGTGTGTGTCATGTGTTCTGGGTGATTCTGTTTAGTTTTGGCCCCAGTGTTGTTGCGCTCAGTTGGCGATAGTGGTTTTGTCAGTAGCGGTGGGTGTTTGGACTATGCTTGTCCGTTTTGATTATGGCTAAGATAATTGTTGTTGTTATTGCGTTTGTTCCCGTGCACCTGCTGCGGCTCTCTGCAGCTGCAGCTATCATCCTCAAGCGCTCAGGCGGGCCTATGGCCAGGGTAAAATGGGGCACGCAAAATGACGTCAAAAACAACGTCCAAAACTACGTCAAAAATGACGTCAACACAACGTCCGAAACCTCCTGGGGCAAGCACTTGCCCCCAAGCTTTCTGCGGTTCTTCGTGCGCAAACTTCTGCGCGCAAGTTCATGCCTCGTTCCCCTGGACCGGGTAGCACTTTTCGCTGAGCTCGCGCGCGCCTTGAGCCCCAATCTCACGGGTGCAGCGATGAGCTACGTGTATGCGCCCAGATGGAAGCCACAAGAAAGCCCGCTCCGGAACATGAATATGTGCTCCCAACCAATCGGTTCGACTCAAAGCGACCCATAGTATGTGTTATTTGCTATTTCACCGGCTCTAGTGCATCTGTATTTGACTGGGTCTGGCATTTGTCATCTGCACCTGACTGGCCGTCTTCCCTGGAGCAGGAGGGCTTTGGAAAAATCTAACAACCCCATCTGACGGGTTGTGTGTGTGGCGCTGAGCAGACGCAGTTGAGCGGGTGGTGTCTTTACGCTAGTCTAGTGTCCCCGGGAGGGGTTCCTAGAAGATGTTGGCATCAAGCGCCGCTTGCTTCTCCAAATCGCGGTGCCATTGGGTTTTGGCCACCAAACTCATGTGCTTTGCACAGAAAACAGCACCAATCCATCGTCGCGCGCAGCGCATGGGGATCCAACAAAAAGGATGTGTGTGTGTGTGTGACTTAACAACACCTGGTGTGACTTCCTTTTTCTGCCCTGTGCCATTGGGAGATGCCACTTTCCCGTTGAGACTTAAACCTTCCGAAGGCCGGGTGCCTTGCGCTGATTGCGCTGCTTGATTGCGTGCTGCGGTTGCTGGACTCAGAGCCGCTATCAACTTCGTCGCTGTGACGGGCTGCCGCGGCCGCGGCAGTGCTTCTGCTGTTCTGGTGCTGTTGCTACGGCTTCAAAGAAGTTCTTGGTTTCTTGTGTGTTGTGCGGTGAAGTGATACTGGTCTAAGGGTGATGTGGGTTGTGTTCTTGAGATTTCTTGAGGTACGGGGTTGGTGGTTGGTTTCCTTCTGGCTTACCTTGGGCGCCATCCAGACAAGGGTTTCATGCTTTGAGACAAGCCTTCGTGTCTTCACACGTGCCAGGCCTTCTGAAGCCTGACCTGGCATACTGGCCTGCCACTGAGCCACTGAGTTGCTCAGATCATTGCAGTGTTTCGCACTGGCCTTGTTGTCAAGGATGATACCCGGGATGTATCCAACATATCCAACCAACAATACAAGGCTTAGGTCAAATGCAGGGAGCATGCAGCAAAAGCAGGACGACGCAGACCAAAGCATGGCTTTGCTGCCCTCATATCATATAGATATTGAGCCCACAATGCAAGCCCGAAAGCTTTGGTTTTGACAAGGATTCTGGAGGAAGACGCATTTCCAAACGCAACAGAGCCCCTACCTTCTCCACGTTTTACTTGCGCTAGCGTGTCTAAGAATTGGACAAAACATGAAGGACCCCCTTCAAACGTGCCTTGATGCAGCCAGTCTTAGGGCTCTTCTTTGGAAGCTCGAGCCCTTGACAGGGCACGGGATTCGCTCACTCAGGGGTCGACAAATTACGCACTCGCAGCCTCCTACAGTACTGGCCGCAGTCCTAGTTGCCAGTCGCCAGATTGGTGGTGAGCTGTGGAGAGGAGAGGTGTGGTAGCCCGACTCAAAAAAGCGATGATCAAGTGTCCGCGCGCAGAACGTTTTCTGCGGGTGTATACTGTAGGGAATCTGAAAGCATGCAAGCACGGCCCAAGTCGCATCGAATTAGTTTCCCGGTATGGTTCGTGGGAAGTGAACATCAAGCTACTCCCCCCCGTCCCAAAAAGTGTTGTTTTGCCGGCAATCGGGGGCTCCGCGAATTGTACGTATGCCCTCCCAGGCAACAGGTGTTTGCCACATTGGGAGTGTCCAAGACTTGGGATCCTTGCTGATTCGTTGTAAGGGAGCACCAACAATGAATAAAGTGTGGCCATTCAGTTCTGGTTGGGGACATTGCCACGTCGCAATTGTCATGCAAGGGGGAATGCGCTTGACTTGAATTTCTATTTGTTGCATGCTTCCGGATGGGTCATGCGCTAGTTTCGCTTTCCAAGCTGAGGCCGGAAAACGGTCGAGCCTTTGGGTATGGCGGTGAGGTTGAAAGCACAAGACGAGCAGCTAGTCCAAGTTATATACCAGGTGCTGCCAAACTTAGTCGATGGCCTCTTCAACCTGCCAATCGCAACCAATTTGGCGCAACTCCGCCAAAACCCAACAGACGAATATGCACCCCGTGTGTGTGCGTGTGTGTGTGTGTGTGTGTCATAACCAGGATCGCATTTACGCGCGGGCCTAGCTGTTTCTCGTCAATTCCAGGTCCCGAGTTGTTGATGCAAGCCATGTGAATTGCTTCGTGTGAAAACAACATCATGGTGGAGAAATGATCGAGCCAGGACTGAGTAGTAGCTCTTTTTTTGATGGCACCCCCTTAGCAAATGGAAGCTACTGACTCAAAGATGGGCCCTCTGGTGAAGTTGTTGAAAGTCGGATTGCAAAGAGTGCATCCTTTTTCTCTAGCCATGGTCGGATGCTTTGTGACTACCTGCCTCGCATGGAACCCCTGCGATGTTTCATAAACCTCACCGAACGGGGGGCTATGGGAACTCCGTAGTGAAACATATCCTAAGGGGATTTCTTTTTGCAGGGCGAAACATTTCAGGGGGTCAATGGAGGAGGGCACCCTGGATGAGCTCAGGAGCTGCAAGGTTTTTTTGGCTGCGTGAATTTGATCGGTGGGCTTGTCCCTGGTGAGGATGGGGTTCTTAGGACAAGATCTTCGATTTCTTTCGGCAAGGGCTGCAGAAGATCTGGCGTGGGATGCTTTGCTCTGAGGACATTCCGGTAGATACCCCACGACCACGAGTATGGGTCGCCGTTGGGGATAGCCTGGGGCCCAGCCATAGCCTTCTGCCTCCAGCGTTGCTCACCCGATGTAGACAACCCGTACGAACATGTTTCCAATTTTAGGCGTTTGGCAAATGCTCACTCCAAACTGGACCCCTTTCTGGTGGAGCAACCACGGATGTTTGCAAAAAGACCAAAGGATATTGAGAATGTGGTGTTCGAAAAAGAAGCTGAGAAATGGGTAATCAACCCTCAATATAATTGTCAGACCCCAGGGACCAGAGGGGGATCCGGTCAGGAGCCTGACACCTCCAAGTGTCCCATGCCCTAAGATTCATGGAACATCCTGGCAGATTTGTCACATGTTATTCACCTAGTGGAGAAAAGTCCCGAGGAGCTTTCTATACTTAGCATGGCAAATGTGTTTTATCCAGAGTTAAACATCAAAACGCGCAGCGTCTGCTAGCTCGTTCCAATCCGAATATGCAATGTGAGCGCTGATGGATCGTCATGCTGGGTGCCGGTTGGAAAGCAACATTCAAGCTTTCATGTTTTGAAACCTTGATCATTGAACCATCAGATGTATGACGTGCTGGGTGTAGCTGCGCAGCATGAAAACGTGTGTGTGTGTGGGTGCGTTTGACAATAGAGAGCCCCGCAAATGGCTGGTGTCCTTTTGGCCTTCTTGTTAGAAAGCCATGTGGACAGCCGTGAATAGAAGCAGAAAAAATGGAGAGCTTGTGGCTCTTGTGCTTCTTTTCTGGTGTTGAGTATGTTCCTTTGAGAAGAGGTTTTTGGCTGCGACTCGCATCATGGATTGTGATCATGTTGTTTCGTTATGTTAGGGAACACGCATCCAAGTGGCATGTGCCATACACAGGGCGGGGCATTTATCTCAAAGTCGGTCGACCTTTTGACCCTTTTCCCCGGTGTTGATTCGTTGTTGCCGTCCTGAAAGATTCACCTTTCATTTCCGGGCTTTCTAGACAAGGGAGTCATACCTGGCAGTCTGTAAATTCCGGCAAGCATGCGGGTCCGCACATTTGGGCTGATGATATGATGTTGACAAAGAGTAGGGGCACCTTTGACGCGGTCATGACTGAAAGCTCAACAGAAAAGATGCCATGTAAGTGCCCTGCCTTGTTTCATACCCTCTGTCCCACAACCATTGGGACAATGGGGTTCCTCAAAAGGAAAGTCTTCCAGAACCCTCCTGTCAGCTTGCGTGATTGGAGGAAGGGTATTCTGCAGATAGGAATGTGAACCACACACTGATGCGGGTCATGCAAAAAGTTCTGCCTCGTGGCTCACACTCCCAAAGCGCATGCATAGCACTGAAGGAGCTCATTCAGCCTGGCCCATTCCCTGCTTACGGGGATTATCGAAGTCAGATATTGTGTGTAGACTACCAGGGCCACTTGCAGGATGTGTGAAATTGGATGTTTCCCAAAATGGGGACTGCTCTTTGGGACTTCTTTTTTAATCATCAGCATACCATTGTTTTCCCGTTCAAACCATCCCAACGGGAGGGGAGTCCCTACAAAGCGACCACCCCGAGGTTGCAAGATCATGCTGGACCAGGAGCTGATCCAACCGCCTGAAACTCAGTTCAGTAAGCCCTTGACCCAGAAGGGTGACTCTTTGCTCCAGGTGATTGTTGTTGTGTTCCCAATTGGTGCTTTGACTGGTACACCAGGTACTTCTTAGAGGCACCTTCAGGGCATGTACGGCAACCGGTCAAGTCGTATCAGCAGTTTTTTGTTTGACCCCAACGAAGATGATGGCACGCTCAAACTGATCCTTCAGAGGTTGGTCAACAGGGCATCCACCCCAAACGTTTTGTTGGATGACTCACTCCTTTGTTTGGTCAATGTTGGACGCCGGCATCCTGCGCAACGCACAGTACTAGACTTGTTCATCGATCGCGTTGCGTCTTGGGAACAGGCCAACACGTGTAGATGTTGCTTGTTTGAAGGTAGCCTTCTCGGGAGTGGTAGGGACACAGTGGGAAATTGGACCCATTCGGGATTCATGAGCATTGCTTGGCAAACAAGAGCAACCTCACAAGGTTTGCGACCTTCCTGAAGATTTCTTGGAAAATGGGCGTGAATTCACCCCGCATTTGGGAACAAGTTCTGCTTTTAGCCTCGTCTTGCCGAGGGTGATGGACGTGAACCCACGCCAGGGGCTTGGCAGCGACTGGCGAACTGGTTGACCGGTTTGGTCGCCAATGTAGGGTGCACTCTTTGATCAGCATGAGTTATGATACATAATATTGACCTACTTAGATCAAGGATTGTCCAGCTTCACAATGAAAGAGCATAAACATTTCAGCCATTTTGTATTTTGGTGTCCTGAAATGTTGATTTCTTTAATGTTCTCAACCAAAGCCAAGCATCGGGGGCGAGTCTAAGATGGTGTGATGATCTAGCGCATGCGGGTCATTCTGGGCCTCATTACAGGGCTCTTCCTGTGTTGCCAAGGCATTACGCCGTTCGCATCTGTGATCTGCAACTTTGCGTCAGGAGCTCAACATATGCATCTGGGACAGCCACTGGCGATGCGGTGGGCAAGGGCAGCACTTTGGGCAGCCTTTTCAGTGCTTGGTAGGTTGCATAGGTTGCCAAAGATGGGCAAGGGTTCAGGGTCCAAAGCGGAAATTCTACATCCCTCAAACTGATTTCATGTTGGCCAACTCTCCCTTTCTGCTTCTTGCTCAGTGCAAAGGGGTCCAAAAAACCAAAGTTTCAATGCATCTCTCAGGCTCCCTCCTTGGCTCAGGTTGGCACTGATGAGGGTAAGCAACCAGCGTGTGGTTTACGCGGGGGCCCCAGCGGCAGACGTGCTACAGCCACTCAAGGTTGAGTCAAGCTCGAGGGAATTTGCAGACCGTCAAGATGAACCGCCTTTTTGTCTTTTTTGGTGAAGGATTTGGTCTTGGGGGGTTTGAAACCTCAACATCGACACCCTTATCAGGGTAGGAACGCGGGAAGAGTCGATGGGCCGAAGTCAACTGTGTTCTGTTTTTGGTGTGTTGCAGGATTGGCAGACATACTCTTTCAAACATGTTCCCATAGTGACTGTTGGTTTGTCATCACCTCTGGTTTCCCTATGTCACGCATGTGTCAACCAGGTGGCCACAGCCTTCGCGCTCAGAAGCTTGCCTGCCTGGGCTCTCAGATTCCCAGATCGGTTCGGTACCGAACGTGTCACGGCCGGGCGATGGTTGTCCTTTTGTTTCCAAGGCTTTTCGTTGGATAAAAGCCGTGGAATTCCTTTGGATTCCTCAGGTTTGCCTTGGAGTGGGGTGCTTTGGACCCCTTTGGTTTCCGTTGTTTCCCCTTGGTTGACATACTCTTAAAACGGACGGTAGCTCCCATCCGTTTTCCTGAGCTTTTGCGGGTTTCTACTTGCTTCCTTTGGTTTCTCTCGTCCGTTGGCTTTCTTTTTCAGTTCCCTTTGGTATGTTTCGTGCATCGTTTGCATTTCCTTTTCGAAAGGAACAGTACGCTCCTGATTCTTCACCTTGTGCCATCCTTTGGCTCAATGTCAACAATCTGCCGTGGCAAAGGGTTGGGTTGAGAGTGAGGAAATGGTCAAGACTGAATCCCGCAAAGAGGGCGGCGCGGGGGCGCGGGGCACGTACGCACAGCGCCAACTTAGCACTTCGCACAACGTATTGGAGGCAGAGGGAGATTCCTGCGTGGCTCAAACGAGATGCGGTTCACGTCACGCCCCGGCTGTTTAGTCAGGAACGCTGCAGAAGGTCCAGCGCCAAAGGTAGAACGGAAACAGAGCGAAGTGCAACGCTTCACAATGGCAGCCTCGGAGCACCAAGACTACACGGGATGTTTGCGGAAGCCGGTCAGAAGCCCTCCCGGGCCACCGGTTGCGCTGCAAAGCCATTCGCCCTGTCAGGTGTTGTTGCGCAGGGCAAAAGCTCTCATTCGCTTAAAGCTGTAGGCACCGTGCACGTCTCAACAAACGTATTGCCTGCCTTCTTCCTCGCGCACACATGCAAGCCAACGCCCCGCAGAAGCCAATCCGGCGCGCGTGGAAGCCCGCGGAAGCTGCCCGGAAGGTTGCGCGGAAAACTCACCAAGGTCAACGGAGATCGGGCGCAAGTAGAATTAGAACACCTCTCAAATGAGTCTTTGTGCTTAAATTGTGCGTGACACAATTTTGGAGTCGCAGTCACACTCCCTTGTTGGGCCACATCATTTGTGTGCTGCACATTTGTCACGTACTGGGAGCCCGCCCCCCAAACAGAGGGCTGAAAACCACGGTCCTTTGCTTCTTGGTCAGTTGGCTGGTGCCACAAAGTATCGCTACAGCTGCTCGGTTTTGCGCAGCCATGTGCCAACTTTGCTCACAAGAGTCGCGCGAGAACTTGTTGGAGCCGCTCAAATACGCGGTGTTGGGTAGTGTTGCTTTCCAGATTGGACAAAGTCGCAAGTGGGCGATCACCTGGTGTTGATTGTTCAAGGCGGTGCAAAACCTCATCGGCAACTTCCTCAACATGCTGCCGGCTGTCCCAGTCGACCCCGGCTTTCGCGAACACATGGGTATGTGAGCAGTGATCAAAATTAGAGCTACATTAGGGGGCACTCACCATATCCGACATTGTCATGGCTATTGGCCGTGATTGATTGTTGGTTCATTGGAGCGAAACCCACATTGCATCAAACAAAATCATTCGGCATTCTTCAAAAAGTCTGCCCCAAAAGGTTTGATTATCCCCTGATTTTGTGAGGAGGTTGCCCTAATCTAATATTATTCAAGGACTTATGGCGCCAGCAAGGCTGCCATGGGAAGGCTGTTGTTTTCCATTTTGCGGACGCCAATCATTCCCCTCGGTGGTTTGGATTGGCTTGGAGGTTTGAACCCCGTCGAAGCCAAATGTGGACAGAAGATAACCCCAACGGTTCAAACTTAAGTCACTCGGTCACTCAATGGCTCAGTGGACTTGAGAAACGCCACTTTCATTCGCACAGCGCAGCAAACAAGATAATTACGAGAGAAGGAGCTGCCCTACCAGGGAAAGCATGAACATGTTTGTCCCTTTTAGAACCTAGCAGGCCTCCCCGACATACCCTCCGAGAATCTGCTCGGCAGGGCTCTGCCTGCGTCATTCAGCGGTTTTTTTTGAGACTTGACTGGGACGGACCAATGGCCACACTTGCGCACGATCATGGCAGGCCCATTCGTGTGGCGTACGACCCCACAGAGCCGTACATGCTGGGGCCCCGGATCGACGAGTCGAATCAATCGTTTCATAGCATCAGAGTTGCTCCCCAAGACATGTAAAACGATGGATCCCTGGCCTTTGCAAAGCCATCCCAGGGACCCAATTCCGACATGTGCACAGTTGCATTTGTGAGTTTTACCTTCAAGACGCCCTGCCTTCTGGGAGAGAGAAGTCTAAACGAATCCGAGCGAGACTCGCTTTGCACGAGTGATGGCTTGTCAACTATTGCATCATTTGAGGAGGCTTTGCAGTGCACCTAAGCAACTAGTCCCAAGAACAGCAGGGGTGCAAAGCCTTCATTTTGGAGATTAAATATGTGTTTCCCTTTGCCGGGGTTTGGTTTGACTTCCCTGAAAGCAAAGTTGCTTGGCCGACTCTGAGATTGCTCGCGCCGAGGGACATCGTGTCACGGGTGGCGACATCTACCATCAATGTCCAGCGCTACAACCTCGCGCCCTTCATCCAAATTGTGCTGTCCTCAATTCTCCGTAGATTTCCACAAGCATTTTATATGTACGTGAGTCATGGTACCCTTCAAGCACAGAACTGGCCGTTCTCCGCCAACGTGCAAAGCAAGTGTCCTCATTAGCCCAGTTGCCCCGAATATGTTTATCCCTATTTGATTGTAAGGTGGCCTGGCCAACATCAAAGCCGGGGTCCGAAACAGTCTAACCATTTCAATTCGTCTACTCCCTCTCTCCGTGCCCTGCAGTTCATGCTCAAGCTTTGGGCCAGGTCAACGACACCCAGAAGCACTTTGTTACCACTGACCCCTCCAGGACGCCGCAAGCCATCAAGGCATGCCACAGCAGAAGACAGAAGGGTTGCTTGCTAACTGGTTGCAGAACCAAGGAGGCTTGCCACATTGGCTCTCAACCACAGGCGTGGCTTCTAGATTATCTCAACTACAGGCGTGTCTTGGAGATTCGTTTCAACCGCACCGGCTTGATGTTTCAATATTGTAAGTGGACCCGAACAGCATAGGATGGCTTGTCGTTATCCCTTTAGATGCCGTGACTAAGACATACATCGAGAAGGGCCGCGTCAAATGCCTGTTTGGCTGCGTGCAAACAAGTGCCGCATTGATGACAATTCCCACGTCAACCAAGAATCATTGAGAGCTGGTGTTTGTAAGGGACGCAGAGCAATCCCTGTTTGTATACCGCATATCTAAGCCTCTAGATAAAGGGCTTTCAGATGAAAATTATATATTGTTCACCGTGAGCGCAAATGATTGTGTGTGTGTGTGTCAGTGGGTGGGTGGGTGGGTGGGTGGGTGGGTGGGTGGGTGGGTGGGTGGGTGGGTGGGTGGGTGGGTGGGTGGGTGGGTGGGTGGGTGGGTGGGTGGGTGGGTGGGTGGGTGGGTGGGCGGGTGGGTGGGTGGGTGGGTGGGTGGGTGGGTGGGTGGGTGGAGTGCCATTGCCTGGTGGAATCGATTTGCTATGCTGGCTACATTGTTTGCAGTTTGTGAGAGGAGTAGCCACAGATGCTGCCATTTGCTTCAAGTTGCTTTCAGATTGGAGATGGTCTTCTGTCATTACATTCCCACTCTGCATTTCTCTCAACTCACCTGGCTGCTGACAGACCATCCCCTGCCCTGAAGGGCTACGTACCCCTGCAAAAGGTTGGGGGCTGAAGCCTCGTCGAGCCTTCTACCAAACAAGGCCTTGATTCTTGAGGAGGGTCTTTCCAGGTGGTTTGTAGGGACGACAACACATGTTAGGATGATCGTTCCGGATCGCTAGCCGCTACCAGGAACCCCGTCTACCAGCCCAGGGCCCAGCAACGCTTTGCGCGGGCCGCTTGGGGTCATGGGTTGGACAGGATTGGTTAAGCAAGTTCCCGAGAACCCCTCTTAAATGGGAACCTACATGATAATTGTCACAGCGGCTTGAACATGTTCGGACCTAGTTGCCCAGCTGTGCAGCCACTGCCTCCAAAACTCCAGGCGCGAAGCCACAAACTAGGGGTGGTGTGAGTCAAAGGTAACTCCAGCCATGTGTGTTGTTTCTTATTGGGTGGAGGGTGTTTGAACATATAGAGGACTCTGTTTCGACTACACCCAACAACCAAAACGTTAAACACACATCTATCTTGTGTTGAAGCACCGAGGCATCCAGAATCACACCAACCAAAACAGGGACCCCCACCCACCCACACGTGCCCGCACGCACGCACGCAAGCGCCCCCATCCCCCCCACCCCCCCACCCCCACACCCTCACACATACACACACACACACCCACGCACACACACACACACACACACACACACACACACACACACACACACACACACACACACACACACACACACACACACACACACACACACACACACACACACACACACACACACACACACACACACACACACACACAGACGCACGCACGCACGCACGCGCGCGCGCACGCGCACGCGCACACGCACACCCACACACACACACACACACGCGCACCCACACACACACACACACCCACACACACACACACACACGCACACGCACACGCACACGCACACGCACACGCACACGCACGCACGCCCGCACGCCCGCACGCCCGCACGCGCGCACGCGCGCACGCGCGCACGCGCACATGCCTCACGCGCGCACGCGCACACGCGCACACGGACGCGCACACGCACACGCAAGCGCACGCACACACACACACACACACACACACACACACACACACACACACACACACACACACACACACCCACGCACGCGCACGCCCACACGCACGCACACCCACACCGACACCGACACCGACACCGACACCGACACCGACACACACACACACACACACACACACACCCGCGCGTGCGCGCGATCGCGCCCGCACGCAAGCACGACCGTTAGGCTTTAAAGACTTTGTCAATTCAATTTGTGTTGAATAGGGCCAACCACCGCGTGATAAGTGAGATCACCGTCGGGACTTTTTTGTTGCGCATCATGCATCACAGATGCAGTTGGTTGGTTTCGCGCAGAGAAGTTCTTCGCATTTGCCTTTTGCCATCTTTAGGTTTCGATAGCTCAAGCTACTCTCTGTCCTTGTACATGCGGAGTTTCTCAGCTTGGGCCTACCGGATGCTGAGCATAGTCCCATGCAATATATCTAGCATGTGTCTAGTATATTAATTATTCATATAAAATGCCTGGACATTGCATTGTTGTTCTCACGCACGGTTGCATTGCTGTTCTAACGCTGTCCAATGCATGTCCACAGTATGTCTAGGCTTTGGCCTAGCAAATGTCTACATGTCGAACTGCCCCACATTGCTTACATCATGTGTGGCGTTTGCTTCACATATTAATGAGCCTACTATGAGCTGAGCACACTTCCATCACATGTGTGGCATGTTTCCAGCGCTTGTATGTGTCTAGCGTGTTTCCAGGATGGTTCTAGCATATTTCTAGTTGACCTCCAGTGTGAAGTATGTTTGTAGCTGCGCCGTCCCAAGCCCCCACAAGCAATCGCATTTCTTGAACGAACCCTTCAAACCATTTCGGGAAGACCACAGTTGCTGATATAAACTTCCAGATTCAGATGAGGAGCTGGAGGTCAGGGGGTGTAAAAGTTTCTAGTCTTTGTGTGGTTAAATTGTCTCCGCTTGTTTCTTTTGTTTCTACACACAGAAAGGCAAGAACGCAAAAACAAACAAAGTAAACAATGTTGCTGACCTCGACTCTCAGATGAGGAGATGTAGGTCCCCCCCCCCCGCCCCCAAGGAGGTGTTTTTAAGCGGCGGTTTGCAGGGTCCCCAGAAAGAAGTGCTTGTCGCTCACCGTTCTCCCAAGTAGGCTTGCCCAGGGAGACAGATTCGGGTCCAAGGTCCATGGTTGACGTGGTTCCGAGAGACGACGACAGCGATGAGCCGGCTCCTCGATGCCTACCGGGCCTTTGGTAGGGCGCACCAGGAGGTACTGGGACCCCTACCTTGCTATCCAGCTAGATGTGAAGCCCGGACATCAGAGACTTGCAAAACAAAAAGTACCTTGGCTTGGCTTCTGAAAGTTGTCGCTTGGCCTGTGGATTGCAAATTGGCTTCACCGAGTTAACATGGGCTCAACGGGTTAGGGAAGCTATGGACCCATGAAATCACTGGGAAGGCGTGGAGGTTGCCTGCGGGTCCTTTCAAAACGCAAGGAATCCTTTTTCCGGAGGCAACCTGGGCGGTCCCCAAGTTTGCGCGACAAAGTGGACTTGTTGGATGTCAGCCGATCCCGACCAGACATTTTTTGGCGCAGCAGGCCAATGTGGGGCAGGTGTCAAGACTGTCCCAGGGTCATTCGTAAACAAACATGATTCCAACACCGTGCGCAGATGAACCGCCGAGTGTTACTGGATTGCTTTGCCAATCTTTCAGCGAAAGTCAGAAGGCCAACCCTGGGCTGCGCCAGGGTTGGCTTGAAGGGCGTCTTGGACATCTTCCTTTTCGCCAACACTAGGCCAGCGCCACGAAAATGCTGGGCGAGCGGAGGGAAAGCAGATGCTTGAAACCATGAGAGCAACAGATAAAATAGCCGTCGGTAAGGGGACTACCCAAAGGACTACCCAAATGAATCGGTAGCAAGTAGTGTGGTTTGTTGCTGGTTTCTCAGCAACTGCCCTGCCAAAGTCATTGGGAGTCTATTCCTGGAAATAAGGGCCAGGAACCTCGAGCCATGTCAATCCGGGGCAGGGCTCTTGTTTCCATCAACTGGTTCCTTCAAGCGATCCTGCCAATTCAAAGGTGGAACCTGGGTGAGTTTGAGGCAAATAGTCCATTTGCTCGACGCACCCACCTGAAGAAACTTTTCTGTGGCAAACCTCGTAGAATCACCGTGGCCCCACAGCTGTCACAAATATGTTCGGCCTTTGAAAGGCCTGATGTGTGAGCCTAATGGGCGGGGGGTATTCTTAATTCCAACCAGTTAATCTTATAATCAAAGGAGCTTAGAAGTACTGTAGTACTGGCGTAGTACTGGCGTAGTACTGGGGTATGTTGCTTAAGAGTAGCAAGAGAAAAACAAAAAAAGGCTGTCGTGCAAAAGTGGAAGTAGAAGAGCAGAGAAAAGAAGAGAAGGAAAAGAGAGGCAAAGAGAAGAGGTGACAAGCGTTCAGATTGCATGACAGGTGCGGCACTTGGGGATAGAATGCGCTCAAAGTGACAAAAAGCTGCGGAATGCTGAGCCTGTCGCGCAAACTCACGTCGCAAAAAGCGCGCGCTCCGAACCCGGGCGCTGACTTTGAGCCTGGCACGAATATGTATTTCTGGTTGCAAACGCGCTGCGCCTGGCACGCAAACTCATGTCGTGAAAAATGTGCGCGTCTGTGCCAATGCCAATGCGCCCGGCCCCGCACCAGTTCCGACAGTTCCGAACGCGCGAAAACAGGCGTCGCGCCAGAGGTGGTTCGTGCTTCTCGGCACACGCGGAACACCGCAGGGCGCTCAGCACCATTGCCCACGCGAGTGCCCGTCACGGTCCCCATGTTGCGTTCCACATCTTTGAAAACGCCAAATTGCAGCTTGTTTAACACATCAAGGCTTGACAAGGAGTAGTCCTCCAATCAAGACTCTCCCCAGCACATGTCCCTAAATGTTGCTTTGAACAACATCATACTCATTCGTGGAACATGTACGCGCTGTTTTGCCCTCCATCAAGGACGGGCTTCATCTCCAGGAGACTCAGGACCTGAAACTTCACTTGTTTGCATGTTGCGTTCCCCAGAAGGAGCCCGCTCTATGACATGGCCCGGGCACTCCAGGCAGCAGCTAGGGAGTGCAAGGCATGTGCTTTTGGATGGTGCCGCGAGCACGATTTGGGCTTTACGTGCAACCGCAGGTGGACCTGCAGATTGTCGACACGACGCCGGGCAGCGTATTCCTTACAAAATCAGGAAGCGAGGGCACCCTCTCCCCTGCTTCGCTTCCCTTCGCTTCGCAGTCTTCGCTCCGCTCTTCTGCCCACTCTTCACACTCTTCGCTACGTCCTTTGCTGGCCTTTTTTCCCTGTTCTGTTACCCGCTCTGAAGCTTTCGCGCTCTGACTGCATGTTTTGCGCATGGTTCCTCGACGCGGCTCTTCACGCAGAGCAAGAAACCGCCTAGCACGCAGGGCTGTTCGAGTTTTTGACCGTCACTCTGTCTTTTAGGCCTGTTTCTCCCCTGTCAACCCCTAAGCGTGAGCTAGCATTGACCTTGCGCGGGCGCTGGCTCTCGTACGCCTCCCCTGGCTTCAAGTTTCGACGGTTCGCCCCTGCCAGTCACAGGAAGCACCTCGCCTTCACACGCCACAAGTGACTCGCTTGTACGTGCTGGCTTCTCACTCGATTGCGCGCGCCAGAGTTGTGAAGGGTAAGTGTGTTTTATAGGCCTGGGTGTTCAGACTGGCTGTACCACTCATGCAACTAGCTTCCTGCCTCTTCCATATTTGCACTCACACACGCAGGCTTATTTGCGTGAGCTCCTGGGCTCAACATGGTCGGGCGAGTGTAACGTGGAGCGGGTGTGTTTGCGCGCAGCGGAGCGCTGATCATCGCCATCGTGTCGCACCACGCCGAGAGTCCAATTTTGCTACATGAAGAGCTGCGATGCTCTTGCGCGCGCGAAGAACAGAGTATCCACAGGGTTTCAGCAGTTGATGCTGCCCCGCCTCCTCAAGCTACATGCTTAATGCGGACATGAATAATTAAGTGAAAAGCGCATTCCCACCTCACGAATTTGTTGAGCGATTCGGTCCATGTCAATCGCTTGGGTGTCACGGCCATGGAGATCTCCACAGTTTTCGTGGCGATGGTCTCCCACAACTAGAGTTAACAGACGCTCTTCGCAGTGTCGCCCTCCACCTTCGCGGGGCAGGCGAGGGAGGTCGCGTTCTTCCAGCCCTTGCGTGTCTGTCACTAATCGTTGCGCACTTTTTGAGCTGAGGGCAGCGCAAGAAGGGCCCGGAGATGGCCCGGCAGCAATCCCTTTTGTCGGAAGGCCTAGCTTGGTCATCTCTAGGGCCCACACACCCCCTCGAGCCAGCGCGCAGCAGGAGCCGCTGCGTTGGCTCGCGACGCGAACATCATAGCGCCGCCCAAGCCGAAGAGGCGGCGAACACAGCGCCTCCGAGCGAAAAAACAAAGTTGCCGTGAATCAACCCTACTTGTTCAAAACCCAATTCTCAGTGATTTGCGCGGTTTGCGTGTTTGATCGCGTGGCTTGCGGACGGCAGATTCCGTAATTTATCATAGTTTTGATTTGGCCCCGCCCCCCAGCCAAGATGCACTATAATTTTGCTTGGCGCAAAGTCAGGCACAGATTTCGTGACAGGCGCAGCACTTTCACGGGGTCAGGCGCAGATTGCGTGACAGGCGAATTGGAACGCGTCGTTCGCGAACCCCAACGGCGCGGACGCGCAAGCTGTCGCGCGTTATTCTCGCAGGCGCAGCACCTTCACAAGGTTGGGCGCGCTACCAAGTTATTCTGTTGACGGATAGCAGCTAGATCCACTATGGCTGGACATAGACAGACAGATATTGCTAGAAAGAAACATAGACGGACAGACGGACAGATGTATAGGTAGCTGCATAGATACTTGGATCTCGAGAGAGATAACCTTCCGACAACCAGCTCAGCCGGCTCGACTTGGGGGAGGGGGGGGGATTCCATTTTTCTAAATAATCTTCAGAGCCTTGTTCCGTGGCTGATGTGCGCCATGAGAGCTCCGCAAAACTGCATGACAACACGTGTGCGTGCTGCAGTTGATGAGCTACATTTTGCTTGTGCGGCTTTGTTCTGTCATTGTTCAGTGAGTTTGCAGAAAATTGCGCCTTCGCTTTCCGTAGGTCTGTCAAGCAATGCCTGAGGGAACTCTTTCGAGCTTTTAACCAGACGTTGCAGTTGGGAAAAATGAATGGGACCCGCTCTATTCATGTAGAAACCTCTGAACATGGCCCCCCTGCATTCCCCTACGAGGGAGGTTTAACGGCAAACTCCAATGCAAAGGGAACGGGGAGACAGCAAACCCTGGCAGGGAGGGCCGCATCTTCCGCCTGGATGGCGTTTTCAACAGCTCCGCGCGGGCCTGAGCTCCATCCAGCGAGCTGGGTGCCAGGGTTTTTGCGAAGTGCCTTGCGCAAAAGGAATGATACATTTGTTTGCGCTTTGTTGGTCCCTAAAGGGGGAGAATTTTGGCGAGCTGGTCCTGATTGTTTCTTGAAGCTGAAGCCCAATTGAGGCGAAAAAGAAAACCCGTTTTGTTGTATGTGTCAATGTAAGGCAGGGTTCCAGTTGTTTTGGACGTATCAAAGAGGCTGCACCGCCGCTTGCAATTTGAGGGGCAGGAGTGTGTTGCAGGAGCGGCCGCGCAAGTCAAACATATGGCTGCGCAAGTAAAGCGCAAGTGAAGCGCAAGTGACGCAGTGATGATTCATCATCATCATCATCATCATCATCATCATCATCATCATCATCATCATCATCATCATCATCATCATCATCATCATCATCATCATGGCCCAAAGATTAACAAGCTTTCGCGGAAGTCCCGCTCAAGTCGCGCGCAGCCCGCAGATGCCCCCAAACTGCTTGGAGTAGGAGTGGCCCATTTCTGTATTTTGCACTTTCTTTTTCTGCAGATCCCAGCAATTTTGCCGAGTGAATTTGTTAGCAGAAAATTTGCAGCGGTGTATACACATGGGACCTCATACACTTAAAGGGGCATGCTATTGGGGGACCTCATGCTTATGAAGACCGCCGCTTGGATTTGCAATGAAAGCAACTTGGGAGAAGAGTTTTAATACTCAAATGCGCCAGCGTTCTGACCTGCCACAGGCCGCGAGGCCTGTCAAAAAGTCCCTGCCATGGAAGATACCCCAAGCACACAAGCTCAAAAAACACTTGTTTGACAGTTCTCTAGCAGACCTCAATGTAGACCTGGTTTGTCCAAATGTTGAGGACTGCTCATGTTGTATTCAGCTGGGTGGACTCACTGGTATTTTACTCCAGCCGGCACTTCCAAAAGAAGACTTGCCCTGCCTGCCCGGCGCTCCGATTTGGATCGCTCAAGCAAACTGGCAATGTCCATTGTTTTGTTTTTGCCGATGTTCAGCCCTCATCCTTTCGCTGGTTTCTTCCCCCTTGTGTAGACCCTGTTCATTCCAAGACCCTTCAAATTCTGCAAAAAAGTGCAGTGGTTGTTAGTGCTCACCAAGGTGCTGACCCAGCAGACTGTGCCCGGCCCAATGTTGTCAACTGGCCGATGGAGACTGCGCCCAAAGCGAAACCTTTGCCCTTTGTGTTCCTTTTCCCCGCGTTTGATACGTGTTCAGGCAAGGTTTATGTCCTGATCCTGAGGCCCAAGTTTAATCGCACCGCTCACCTGTGTTTGCACCCTTTGCAAAATAGTTGTTCCAAAGGAGGGGTGGTGAGACCCCAATGTGTGCTGAATGCTTCCAGCAGTTGGCCAGTGGCGAAAGAGCTTCTGTCAAATTGATTGAAGGCAACGTGTCGAAGGTGTTCAGCAAAACATAGCAAAGCGAAGAACGACAGCAGTGGTCCATGCACGCAGAGTCTTGCAAAGTCGGACATCGCAAGTTTTGGCCAAACAGCATACTTCTCAGCAAACAACACAAGGCATATTTTGAATCCTTCACCGTACTCCACACATTAACGTACGTGCCATACATGCCCCTCGCATGGAGCACTATGTCTGGGTATGGGTCAATCCTGCCCCACTTTTGTGCCCGTTTCGACCGCTTTGAACCCATCAGCCTATCCCCAACAAACACGTTTTTAATGTTGTGCGCGACATGTTCAGATTTTGCACATGAGACCAAGAAAGGGTCATTGGGAGTGGTGGAAGGCCTTTGGTGATATGAAGAACGAGTGGCTAGGGGATCTTGAGGATGGCCACGGAATCCACCACGTTGGCTGCCGATTCACTTTCCCCCGAAGTGGGGGGATGACTGTTTATGTTAGCCACAAGCCAGCCAGAGACACAGAGTGCGATTCGTCTGGTGAATTTCGGGTTCTGATCAGGCGCCACCCAGTATTTGTCAAGAGTTCCTTGGCCAATTTTAGCTGTTGTTGATATGCCAGCATCTACGTTGAAGGTCCGATTCGCATGGTGCTTAGGTGCGGCTGATCCTGATGCACACCAAGGACTGTAGTGCAGCAACATATTCACGTATCTGGGAATATCAAATGGGCCCTGGACTCTTGATCCTTCCAACTCAAATTGTACCTGGTGTGAATGGTGTTCAGTTGACCATTACCAGCTAAGGGCTTGTTTCAGGGGGTCATGGTTTTTGACATACGCAATATTTTAGGTCACCCCGCACGAGGCAGGCTCAAAGGGAACGTGGCTTTGACCTACCCCAAACATAGCCAATGTAAGCAGTGAGCGAATCATAGCCCTGTTGTTGCCTTGTAGATCCCCACGATCCCTGCTTTTGTACACATTTGCCATCGTTGTCAAGAGCACCATCATGCATACCAGAGGAGTGGTACCTGATTTCCAGTCAGTGGGGACTTGTGCAGGCAACAACACACAAACTAAGGAAACAAACACGCGTATGCACAACTGGCCTACGAGCAAACAGACGCAGAAACAGCCAGCAAGCAAACGCGAGTGAATCAAGACATTTTGCAAGCTAGCAAGCTAGCTAGCTAGCTAGTACGAAACGGCATTGGCGATCTGCGGCGCGAGCAAATCACTGATTCACTGTTTGTGGCCGCTTTCCTGAGGCTACAACCCGGCCAATGCAAATGTGTGGCTGCGATTTTGCGCCAAGTAATTGTTGGAATCCAATCTTGGATGCTAAGGAGTCCTCCCAACATGGGAAAAGACCAGTTCGGATGCGGCGTCGAGTAATCCAAAGTGGAGGTTTGTTGCCTTTCTGGGGCTGCCTTTGGTTGTTGTGGAGTCAGATTGAGGTCATGCCGTTGCCCCTTGCTGAGCGTATGTCATGTCTCTATGGCTGCGTTTCGATCTCTGAATCTCTGATCGGCTGTTCATCAAGCTGGTAAAGCAAACCGGGCAAAAAGGACCATCTCGTACCCCAGCCACCGGTCCATTGACATTTGTCCAGATATTTTGCCACAGAACCCATATTTTGAAAAACACCCGCGTACCTCTGACAGCCTCGAGATGCTAGGCAATCACCACCTGGGCGGCGCTCCACGCCTCAATGCCGCAACCTGGCCCGAGAGTCTTTTGGGGGCAAATTTTTGGGTACCCTCCCTCCCACTAATATGGCACCTGACAGGGAAACCTCCAAGAGGAAATTGATCTTCCAAGTACAGTACCTCCCCACAGGTGTGAGAGGGAGGAAGGGTAACCGTATCCTGGTTAAAGGAGAGTGGTTCAACAACTCGGGTGGCACCTGTTTGAAAAGGAGTTGGCCCTGGCAGCCCCTTTTAGGGTTGAGAGGTGGTACCCGTTTCGGGATTGTTTGTCGGTTGGGGGCCGATTTGTTTGAAAGGTGACGGGAAACTGGCCATTTGGCCCCACTTGTAAAGGGACGGTAGTCGTTTTGGGATTCTAGTTTTGAATGTGAACCCATGTTGGGATGAACATGAAATCGAACCACCCATTTGCGGGTTCCCCATTTAGAGACGGACCCATTTGCGTACCAAAGCCTGTTGCACCCCTGTGGGATGGCTCTAAGAGCGGGCCACGTGTGACCTTGGGCAATATGTTCTGGGCAAAAGACCGCGGAAATTGCCTTGGGGAGAATCCAATCAGTCTTCGGTCCCTTATTGTGTTTGCTTATAATGAACATGTCAAACACCGGGAGGCAAACCGACCCTTTGCAGAATATCTTGAAAGTCGTTGAGTTGGTGCCCATCTTGGTTCATGGGTAGATCCCCATGCGATGTGTAGGGAGGAGATGCACATCCACATGTTAAGGTCCCTTGTTTGGACATTCCCCTGGTCGCTGCTGGAGGACATGCATCTACGTATACCCAAGATGAAATACGCGATTTCTAGTTTGGGGGGATAGGAGAAAGGTGGTCAAGCGTGGACACCATGGCATTAGCTCATTCATTGCGTGACTTGGATTGGTGGTTGAGGCGTTATGGGGTATCAAAGAGTAGCAAATCTGTCCGGCTACCAATACAAGCCAAACTTGGGTTTATTTGGACAGGTGATCCCGGACCCATGCAAACTTTCATTTGGGCTCATGTCAGGCCAGTGATTTGTGTTCCGCGCCTCGCACGACTGAGACCTTGATATGTATATATATATATAATATATATATATATATACATGTCTTAAGCCTCATGCTGGCCAGCCAGATTACGCAGACAACTAAGGGCTCTGAGTGGGGGGGGGGGGTAGCATCTGCCAGATTGAAGTGAACTGTGATTCACCTGTTCTCTCAGGGGTGGCAGATTGCTATGCCAGTTGCAGTGTTTTTCCAACCTGCGGGGTTTGAGGATTCCTCGGATGCTGCCGTGCGGAGCCGAGTCCCACAGATATGACATTGGTCGATCGGACGATGGCAAGGACTTAGAAGACAGGCCAGAATGTTGGCCCCAGTTTCGCTTTGGCACTCTTTCATGTAGACCGAGAAGGGGCCGGACTGGCTTCACTCCTATTTGCGAGGGAGTACCCACCTGACACAAACCAGAATGGATTGCGCGATCAAAACGGGCCATTCCAGGCTCATGACATCATGGAGGTTCTCGGCATCTTCGAATTATTGCAAATGCATTGCAGATATTCCTCGTCTTTTCACCCCACGTGTCAAATGGACATGCTCATGAGAAGCACGTGATTACTTGAATCATTGAAACTCATGCAAGCCAAGGTTCATGGCAGGACTGATAGATATCCTTGTTGAACCGTCCAAACTGTTCGGAACTACCTTTGCTGTTGGCGTCCTTTGGGCCACCAAGCTCTTGGAAGTTCTGGTCTTTGCCCGTTGCCGTTTTGTTTGGCATTTTATGGGCAAAGTCTTTGGGTTAGCTTAAGAAAGCCTGGGTAAACCCGCCATACCTGGCTCCTGAGGCTGATGGAACTGGCGCAGGAGGCCAAGGAGGCAGCGCGGCATCACAGTGGTCCGCGGAAGCTGCGCTCGGTGAGTGGTCAGGGGAAGATTGGGGAACAATTTGTTGGTGACAGTTGAGTATGTGTCAAAAGAGGGGGACCCACTAAATGGGTGGTCTTCCTCTTGGCTCCCCTATACACCAAAAAAGGGTAGCCTCAAAGAAAGCCAGACCCAAGTGGATTCCGGCAGATGTTTGCTCGCACGCCGTGAAGGCGCCTTTCTTGGGGTGCATCGGGATTCAGCCTCCCGCTCTGTTCTCCGGTCCCGCTCCATTTGGTTCCCTCGAGTCAATGAATTTTTCAACGCGCCTCAGAAGGTTGGGACAGACCACATCGGCCTTTCGGACTAGACGTGTAGGTCTTGACGGTTTGTCCACAATTCACTTGGGCAGAATGAGCAGACGCTGCACTTACATCGTTAAACTGGAACAGACTGGAGGCATTGCTGACGATTGGTGTGATGTTCTACGTTTCCAGGAGCAGAATGTGAATATCTTGAGGACACGTGCCTTTGAAGCAGCCGATTTGGTCAACGGAACGCCACAGCCCTCACGGCCAGACTTTCTCTTGATTGCTTGTTTCAAAACGAGGTCCCATGGAAACCATCAAAGGGAAGGGTGTTCATGCGGGTCCTAAACCTTCCTTGTGTGTGTTTTAGGGAAGCCTACAAATTCTCAGAAAGGCCCCGACGCAGATCAGCAAGCAGTCGCATGCTGAGGACAAGGGCGTGGTCCTGACTCACATCATGGTCCGCGGCAAATCAGGCCATCGATCGGTCGGGATCAGAGCGGTCCCAAAGCTCCGTAAGCCGGCCACACACACCCGCACGGTATGCGCACAATCCCAGCTGGTGTCAGAGGACTGAGAGTGAAAGCAAATGCTACGAAGCATTTTGGCCATCTTGCATCTTGCAAGAACCAAAAGTCCAGTATTGCCAGAAGTCTTGCCAATCTGTTTCTCCTGATGAATCCCACATCAAAGCATCACATTAATACTCCTGTTGGAGGTTACAACGGCCGCCATGTTTGATACGTTCTTTGCTAACTGATATAGCTTTAGGGACTGGCTTGCCCATGCTTTGCTAAGCTGGACTCAAGCAATGCGGGCCGTTGTCAGAGTCATTGCAGCCATCCCTCAAGCCCGACAAAACGACGCCTTGCCGAAGCCCCGCCTATTTGCCCAGGCTTGCCCTCCATCGCTGCGCTGTGCAGTGGGCCCGAGGCCACCGACGGAAGCGCGCGACTTGAAAACCCCACCGAAAGGGTCCCTGGCTTCGACACCCTGCCAAGTATGGCCCGTGCTTGATTTCGTTGAGCTGTCCAAGCCAAGCTGAATCCAACCTGCAAACTTGGCTGTTTGAGTCATTGAGGGCCGGAACCAAAATACAAACCTCCAGTTTCAAAGGAACCGTTCGGGCGGTTTTGGGCCAATCCTGTCAAGAAGCAAGTTGACCATTGCCTGTTGCTTCTTGAATGCTAGCTGTCGTCAAGGTTGGTTTGAAAAGCTGTGGTCAAGCCGCACCCTCCTATGAGCCACAGCCCCACTATTTGGGTGGGCTTGCAGATTCTGTTGAAGCCTGGCAAAGTCGGTCACGCTCTTCTTGTGGCACTGTCAAAATATCCAGCCCATGAGCAGTTTTTGGCGGGGCATGAGGGACTCACTAATTTCAGCTGGACTCACTTATTTTCCCATGTCCATTATGGAAACCACATATGTTGACCGTGGGTGATACCAATCTGCAAAAGCAGTTGCAGGCTCGATTTGCGTCTCCTGTTCCTATGGCTTGCCCTTTCTATGTCTCTGAACTGATTTATGAACATGAAAGAACCACCTCATGTGTACCACCTCGTGTTCCCTAGCCAGAGATAAAGACCTCTCAAATGAACCGCTGAGTCACATCAGTTGCTCACGTTCGGATCAGTTCCCGTGCTTTTTTGTCGTGCCCTTGATCAGGGCCCTGGCATTTCCGAAGACCAGCGAGGTGTGAGAGCCTCTCGGCGCCGCTTGGTCTCATTCAGCATCCGTGGGAGCGAACTGGGATGTGAGTGATGTATAGTTCTAGGATGTAAACAAAAATACATATATTGAAATTCTACAAACTTGCATGTGACTCCAAAGCGTCGGCATCCCACAGTTTGATCTTGAAACAGCGGGCAGGGTCCAACTGGTTTACCCATGTGCCAGCACGCCCCCAAGCGGACCGGAAATCCAAGCTTTCAAGCCCAAAGTGCTCTCCAAAGAGTAGCCCTGTCGTGCGGTCTGGGCACAGGTGTGTTTGTGGGATATGTTGTTAGCATGCCCAGATGGATGGGTTCAACTAAGATTGGAGTTGACCCCAAAGGAAGCCATATTGGGCACGCCACGAAAACGAAAGAGCTCGGCAACGAAAAGTGATGGGCGGAATGACTGAATATGGAAATACAGGTACGTGTCCAAATGATTTGAAAGAGAAACCTAGAGGAAGCCAATCACGGCCAAGTTGCAAAATTCATAGTATCCCTCAACCCAAGAGGCTCATGTGAGGCATCACTTGGTTAACCCCCGCATGAGCCCCTCACGGGGGAGGGGCGAGCCAAATGCCGAAGGCCAGTCCAGTTGGATGCCTTGACGAAGCTAGGGGGAAATTGAGCAAGATCGCGAAGTCGCCCAGTTCTTCCCAAACAAACCATCGCCTTCCAGCTACTTCTTGTGCGTTCCTTGCCAAATGCTAGGTGGCAAGGCTAGCCCTGGATCGTTGCAAGTTTGAAGGGATATCAGAAGCGAAAAAAAGGCGCACAACAGTTGCAAGCATTGTTCTCCCATGATCAGGGGGTCAGTATTGTTTGGTTTCATACTACTCCACAACCCCATTCTAAACTTTAGACCGCCAACATTGTCCTCTCCCTTTTCTCCTTCTTCCTCTCTCCCTTGTCTCCCTCGTGTGTTCGGTCGTCCTCTCTCCCTCCCTCTGCTCCCCATTCCCCATCCCCCCAAGCCTCTCTCTCCTCAATCTCTCTATCTCTCTCTCTCTCTCTATCTCTCTCTCTCTCTCTCTCTCTCTGTTTCTCTGTCTCTTTCTGTCTCCCTGTCTCCTTCCTGTCCACGCCCCTCTACAGAAAAAGGGTACCCTAATTCTAACCTCTCTACTGGAGGACCTAGTCTCTCTCTCTTTCTCTCTCTCTCTTTCTCTCTCTCTCTCTCTCTCTCTCTCTCTTTCTCGCTCTTTCTCTCTGTCTCTCTCTCTCTCTCTCTTTCTTTCGTTCTCTCTCTCTCTCTCTCTCTGTCTGTCTCTTTCTCTGTCTCTTTCTCTGACTCTGGCTCTGTCTCTGTCTCTCTCTCTCTCTCTCTTTCTCACTCTGTCGCTCTCTCTCTCTCTCTCTCCCTCTCTCTCTCTCTCTCTCTCCCCCGCTCTCTCCCTGTCTCTCTCTCTCTCTCTCTCTCTCTCTCTCTGCATTGCAGCGTCACGTCCCCCCTGAGTTGCCTCGATGTCCGGGCAGTGCCCCTTCATGACCCTGAACTGTCATCTCACTACTGGCTTTCCCCTTGATTTCCCATGATGTCCTGGTCATGTCCCTTCCATTCCTTTCAACTCCCCCTTCATGTCCCTGTCATTTTCTCGGTATGTCTGCTTCATTTTCCATGTATGTCCCGTTCTTTCGTTGCGAGTCATTTCCCTACATCTCCCGTCGTGCCGATTGGCTTCCTTGTGCTTTGTTTCCCTTTCATTCCCTTTGCACTCCCCTTGTTTTCATTTCTGTCCTTTTCACGTCCCTTTCAGTTCCCCTTTGTTTCCCTTTCATTTCCCGTTGCTTTCCTGTCATGTCGACTTCCTATTTCCTCCCCTCATTTCCTTGCACTTCCTTGCATTTCCCCTTTGCTCCTCAGTATTTCCCGCAAAAAGCACGGTTTTTCCAGCGTCTTCGCAAAGAGGACGTCCAAAAACACAGTGTTTTTGCAGATGTTCGGCAAAAGGAGGCAGCAAACTTAAACCAGCAAAGAGCCGGCAGGGGATTCGAGCCTGGGACCCCTCTTTGGCCACGTATCAAACGTCGGGTGGGGGGGGTTTAGGGGGGGGGTTATCCTCTATCCTCTCTTAGGTGTCCGACACGCCGAGCAATGTCGGCGGATTGTTCAGGCCCTCATAATGAATTCACAATTTGGAAGAGTGCGTGCTTTTGACACACAGCCAAATCAAACGCACAAAAGGCCTGGAGCAAGCACATGCTCGTATTCCCAGTTCTTAGCGGCATCTAAAAAGGCCTAGATGAAAGCTATAAGAGCTTTCCCAGATTTCTCAGGCCGATGAGAATCAAATCAAAGGTTTGTAAGAGCAGTTTGCGTCAACTCCTGAAAGAGTTCAGAGGGAACAAGGATTGCCTGTTCCCATGATATCAAGCTCGCAAAATGTGGTTTGTGGTGTGGCGAATAAGGATGTTTGTGGATCCTTCGCTGCGGGCGGCTAGAAAGCTATCAGACGGTTTCATAGCTAGGGGCCATGACAGTTGCCCACACCAGAAGTTTGCACCACGGCACAGGTGTTATCTTCGTTGAGTGCTGGCTGAACCAAAAGAAATGTGAAGTTTTCAGGCACTAGGTTTTAACAGGAGGATGGAGCTGTGCAAACTTGGGCTGCAGGGTAGGTGTGGGCAGAGTTTGTTGAAGCGATTGTAGTGTGTTCCGTTATGCTGTGTTATGTTTTACTTGCACATAGGCGGGCAGGCAGGGAGACAGACCCAGGGACATACACACCTACATACATACATGATACATACCTACATACCTACATACCTACATACATACCTACATGCCTACATACCTACATGCCTACACACCTACACACCTACATGCCTACATACACAGAGCATACACGCAGAGCATACACGCAGAGCATACACGCAGAGCATACACGCAGAGCATACACACAGAGCATACCACTGCGGCACTCAACATGTCGTGCTGCATGGTCCGTGTGGCTGTATCTGTTAATGTGGGTTTGGCGATCTTGTGCCTGTAGACTACATGCCCCTACAAGGGGCATGGCATTGCCTTTACGTGTTTGTTCCTATTTTGGCGAAGGCGGGGCATACCCTCCGGTCTCCGGTCTGGGGCATACGGCATTCGCGGGGCGAGGCTTCAAGCTGCACTCTGCCTTGGAGATGGGCCCAGAGCTGAGAGGGCGACACGGCTCGGTGGGTGCCGTTTTCAGCGCACCTCGCTTTTTACACAGTCAGGAAGGACTCTGGACACTCAGAGAAGCGGAGATTGAGGGGAATGCTGAAGAAGCTCGCTGTGGGGTAATCGCACCCTGGTGAAGATGTCTCTTTCTTTCTTTTTTCCGGGGGGAATCCTCCATGTGTACTTGTCCCGTCCTGGCTAACCTGGCAAACTCTGCGGACTCCGTGGACGCGCCTAACGGGGGCCCATGATTTTTGGTACAAAGCAACGCCTGGCCAAGTGAAGGGACCGAGTCTTGCCGTGCCCGGCTGTGCCCTTCAAACTTTCGGTCCTTTGCCCCACCGAACTCGAAGAGAACAACCATGACAACCAGTCGCAGGGAACGTTCCCAACCACAGGTGGAGTCCTGGGTTTGTTTTTGGCCTTTGCAGATCCCATCTTGGGAAGACTTACTCATGTCCATGGGAACCCAGCCTATGTCCATCGGCGTCCGGAAACGTTGTTCGGGGCAAAAGTTGGCCGAGGCAACGAATATGTTGAAGGAACCTGCAGGGAAACTTGCCTCCCAGTCTCTTATGAGGGCACCCTTTTTCGGCCTGGTTGAAAGGAAAAACAGGGCAAGACCCACCAGCTGGGCCGGTTGCAGGGGCGTCCTTTTGTCAAGACACATACCACAACGGCTTTGCAGCGACTTTCGCCTGGCCCTTAGGCGCTGACATTCCACAGAACCTGATGAAGTCTGCGATCTTGCCAACGCCGCAGCCCAGAGTGTCACTCCTCCGGGCTGGGGGTCAAGAAGAAACATTGCAGGATTTGGAGGGTGACCAGGATCTGGCTTGCTTTGGGTAGTTGTAAGCAGCAGTGAAGAATGTTCGCGGCATAGTGAAGAATGGTTGGGGCATTTTGAACTGCCAGGATTCGTAAATTGGGCACCCTTGCGGCTTTGTCAGGGCGATTTCAGTTGCACCCAATGACATAGCTTCCTTTTCCAAGCTTCTCTTCGGGTACCTTCAAACTCAGCAAAGAGAATGCGAAGGGGTGGGTGAAAGTTGTTCTGAGCTTATATAACTTTGCCAGGGTCAACATTTGGGCATATCTTACAAGTGCATGTAGCTAGAGTGATGGTTTACCGGACCCCAACACGGCTTGTTTGTAACGGGTTCCAGCTTGTACCCATGTGTGCTCCAAACAAGGACACGTTCGTTACATGCCGTCTAAAGTCTCCCCAGTGGTGGAACAGATGGGAAGATATCAAGCTCGTGGTGGTACAACAAGTTGGTTTCAAGCACATCCTTTTGCAACCAGGCCTCCTCTTCATTGCAGCAGAAGAGAGCTCAAAGGACCTTACAGACGCAGCATGTTCGAGGCACGCACTCTGACTTGCTCGGCGGTTTCACCAAAGATTCATCGTTTGCGCTGAAGGGTCAAGGCCCGACCTGGTAAGTCAGAATTCAGAGTTCGGCTGGGGAAGTCGAGCAGGCCGGCTTGTCTCAGAGAGAGTTCTCCTCTCTCCGTGACCGAGTGTTCCAAGGCCTTTGCAGCCGAAGGCGAAGCAGAAGGCTCAGCCCAGATGGCAAGAGCTGGTTAAGGTGGAGCAGCCAGCGGCTCCCGCGCCTGCGGCGATGTCCATCCTGGCGCCTCGTCTGAACTCGGGCGCTTCGTTGGCATTGCATTGCTTCAGTTCCACCAGTTGGATTGGGATGTTGCAGGGCATTGCCCCCCAGGCCCCAGGATCCTGAGATTCCACCAAAATGGTCCTGAGACCCAAAAGACCGAACCCAAAAGCCGATGCTGACTACCAGCATTCGTACTGTGTGGGAGGTGCGGGGTCCAAACCACTTTCCCCTAAAGCACAGTATTTCCCGCGGCTATGCCCTTTCCTTGATTGACGTTTTGCCGTGGCAACAGAGAAGGTGTTAGCCCGATATCAGCTGGGAGGTGATCGGCCTTTGCTTGATGCAAAGGATATGAGTTGGAGGCATGTGACACACTGAAGTTATTGTTGCTAGTTCCTCTACGCTTTCTTTGGGGAGGCGCGGGACCCCGAGAGTTGCCAATGGGACCACGCAAAGGCACCGAGAATTTGCGAGACGTAATTTGAGGAAAGGGTCCGCTCCTGTCCGTGAAATCAGGCCTCCCATTGTTCCTTTGCGGGTGGAAGACATTTGGAGCTGACGGGGAAGCTGGAAAAACAAATGCAAACCTGATTTCCTGCCGGGAAAACCCGAGAGAAAGCCACGATGCAGCCACCGTTCAGTGTTTATGGTTTGACTCGGAATCGCTTGAAAATACAAAGTCCCTACGAGCGTTTAGATATCTTTGCATGCCCCCTTTTTCCCACCGAATAGGCCGAATAGGGTCGATATGTAGCCTCCACCACCATAGTCGCTTCTCTCAGAAAAGTGTGCCGCAACAAACAACACCAAGTCTGCATCAATTCCGCATCGATCAATGAATAAGAAACTTGAATGAAGCCTCCGCTGGCCGTTGGGAGAGCGCTAGCTCTTTCGAAGCTCCCGAACCTTGAGGTTGAGGTCTTTGAAAGTTGATTTCATCATCCCCTCCCCAGCACTCAGGCCCAACAATTCGGCTTTCCTCGACATCGATTCCTTTGGGTGGCCATGGATTTGTGCTCGTCTGAGGCTCCAACCCCCCCCGTTTGGCCCTCAGTCTGGACTGGTCGACCTCCGCTGCATTGGGAACAAACGGGTTCCAACAAACGGATGTTCACGCTTGCGTCGCAATACGTGTGTGACACCCCGGAACCCCTTCGTTGGAACCCACGTGCAGTCAACCAAGGGCACTTATCTGGTTTTGTTTGGTGCCGGTTGCGAGTAGTTTGACCAATTCTGGGCTTGTTTCAAAAGGAGACCAAACACATCTCATTTTGAATTGCCCAGGGAGCCCGCAAGAAGACGAAGGAGTTGTTGAAGTTTCCCGGCCTCCTTTTCGACACCCCACTTAGGTGGAGGGACTCCTGAAAAAGTGCGGAGCCCTTCTCAGTAACTTGACTTAGCCACCAAACAGTGAAACAAGGGTTACTTTGGACAGTTGCCACCGTAGGCATACGTTGTCCCTTCAGAGCCATCCACAGGTGAGCTTTCTTTCAAAAGGAACCCTCACGGCAATGACTTCGAGAGGCAAAACGGCCGGTGAACCCCGAGTTAGCTCCATGGCTGGCAAGGTGAAAGAGACGAGGCAGGCTCCCCGCTTTCTGGCGAGCGGGCCGGAGGAGGTGTTCTGTGTTGCAATGGCTCTGAGTGGAAGGACTTCAATAGTTGTGCGGCCCTTTGACAAATTTGGCAAGGGCATCAACATGAGCATGGCTCGATTGGGAAGATGTTCGCTTCTTGTAGCCTCTATCAGAATTTGAGTGTCGCTTGAAATGGGTCCCCTAGCTTGTAATGGCAGTCGAGTATAGGGAAGCAGTGCATCGTTTCGATCAAAGTTTCAGGGGCTTCCCAAGCTGGGGCAACCGCAGTTGGGGGGCAGTGGGTCGCTTAGGGATCGCGCAAATGGTTCGCTTAGGGATCGCGCAAATGGGTCGCTCCGGGATCGCGTTTTGAAGTTGGCGTGTATGTCTCATGACATTTGTGGCGTGTATGTCTCATGACATATGTTACTACGTATGCTGGCGAGTCCATGTATTATGTGGTTGTGTGCATGCGTGTTGACATGTATGCCCTGCGGCGTATGTTCGTAGGCGCGCGTATGTTTGCATGTACCACAGAACAAATTGATTGGATTCTGCACGCCTTTGCTGGGCTGGTTCAGTTGAGCGGGTGTGCTCACCCCCCGCCCCCAGAACCAGATGAATTTGCACATTAGGTTACAGAGCAGGCTGGGCTGGTTCAGTTGAGCGGTAGTTGATTGGATTTTGCACGCCCTTGCTGGGATGAAGCAGTTCAGCGGGTGTGCTTGTCATGCACCCCCCCACTCCCCAGAACCGGATGAATTTGCACATTTGGTTACAGAGCAGGCTGGGCTGGTTCAGTTGAGCGGGTGCTTACCCCCACCCCACCCCCCACCCCCAGAAAGAGATGAATTTGCTCTGCGGTTGTGCTTATCATGCCCCCATTTCGTTACAGAGCAGGCTGGGCTGGTTCAGTTGAGCGGGTGTGCTTATCATCCCCCCCCCGACCCCACCCCCCACCCCCAGAAAGAGATGAATTTGCTGGGATGAAGCAGTTCAGCGGGTGTGCTTATCATGCCCCCCCCCCAGAACCATGTAATTTCGTAATCCGGTAAAAGAGCAGGCTGGTCTGCAGCAGCTGAGCGCGTGTGCTTATCATGCCCCCCCCCCCCCCCCAAACACCCCCCAGAGCCATGTTACTTTGTAGTCCGGTAAAACAGGCTGGTCTGCACCTCTGAGCGCGTGTGCTTATCATCCCCCACCCAACCCCCCCCCCAGAACGGTGTTATTTGTAATCCGGTAAAAGAGCAGGCTGGTCTGCAGCAGTTGAGCGGGTGCGCTTATCATCCCCCCACCCAACCCCCCCCCAGAACCATGTTACTTTGTAATCCGGTAAAAGAGCAGGCTGGTCTGCAGCAGTTGAGCGGGTGTGCTTATCATGCCCCCCCCCCCAACCCCCCCCCAAAGCCATGTTACTTTGTAATCCGGTAAAAGGGCAGGCTGGTCTGCACCTCTGAGCGCGTGTGCTTATCATCCCCCCACCCAACCCCCACCCCAGAACGGTGTTATTTTGTAATCCGGTAAAAGAGCAGGCTGGTCTGCAGCAGTTGAGCGGGTGTGCTTATCATGCCCCCCCCACCCAACCCCCCCCCCCCCCGTTACTTTGTAATCATAAAAGAGCAGGCTGGTCTGCAGCAGTTGAGCGGGTGTGCTTATCATCCCCCCACCCAAACCCCCACCCCCGTGATCAGTGAATGTGATCCCTAAGTGATCCGGGAATGTGATCCCTAAGTGAGCGTGTATCCCTAATTGACCGTGATCCCTAAGTGAACCGTTTGAGCGATCCCTAAGTGACCACTCTGCCGCAGTTGGGGCACAGACGTCAGGCTCCTTGAACCTAACACCTTCTTCAGAAGTCCCCTTAAGTCTCGCAGAATTCCCTTGACCCAGGTCACCACTTTGGCTAGGCACAACAGGGTTACCGCGGGAACGTATCGCGACCGATGGTGGTGTGACAAAACGAAACAGCGCCATCTAGGGAACGGTTTTAGAGGGAAAACCAACATAAGTCACAAGCACTTTTGAGCAATGTGCCGTCCTAGTTTTGATTCACACCCCCGTTGAATTCTGAATGACACATGTGGGAATGGAGGTGACTTTGCCCAGCACCAGTTGTTTGCCAGTCGTCTCAACATGACCAACGTAAACAGCGCAAGCCCTGTTTTCACCCATGGCAGGCGGGCATCTAATTTGCAGACGGCGTAGTTGTGTTCCGACCACCCTAGTCGCCACAGGAAAAGTCGATGCTTTTCTGGCCACTGGCCGTTGTATAGAAGCCCTCGGATCAGGCATGTCCCAAATGTGTCATCTAGCATTGTGATGGTGATGGCCAGTCACCGAATTGCCACAAGAAGGTAAAAGCCCTGGGTGCCAAATAGCCAACGAAGCCACAAGGGGAAGGAGTACGTACTAACCTATTGAGGTCGCAAGTGTGTTTTTGTTTCGTCAGTGGGCTAGTCAAGGGCCAAAAAGTCCAAACTTCTTCTGGCCAATCAACTCAACGGCTTCAGATTGTTGCTTTGTTTGTCCAGATGCCCCAGCCCCCATTCAAGCCAATCTACTTTGGAAAGCAACTCTTGGGTAGTAAGATCCGTGCCCTGCCAGACCAGCAGCGCTGTCTGTGGAGGAGGAGGCCGATTTCGATTTCAGCATTGCCTTGGATGGAACAAGTCGGATTTCTTTGGATTTGCGGATGATTCATACCACGACCAAGACATGCAAGTATAGTTGCGACAAATCAGGCATTGTTTCTTGAACGTTTATACCCAAATCAAGCACTCAAAAGTCGGTTTCGTTTCCGACCTACTGCAAACTGGCGAACGTCAGCGCAGTTTGCGACCTGCTGTTCGCTGCAGGGTGAAGGGCTAAAAGGTCAAGTTTTGTTTCGCCAGTCAACTCAGCATCTAAGGTTGCAGTGTTGCCCTTCCAAGAGGGACAAGCATGTACAAACGCCCCTTGACAGTGTAGGAGTCCTCTTGGACTATCAAGGCAATAAGAAAAGTAGCAGAACACCTCTGCAATGGTTTAAGGGTTTGGTATGTGTGCGGTTCTATTGGGTGGAACAGCAAGATTTGAGCCTTGAACACGTGCCTGAACTCAACAACCAGTTTTTCCGGACCCCCCCCCTCCCCGGGCCTTTTTCCAGGCTTCCAATGCACACTTTGGCCAGAGACCACCTGGAAACTTGCTTGGCAGCTTGTGGCCAGCTCTCCAATTCTCCTTTTGCTTCTGCCATAGTCTTTTCCTTTGCGTGTAATCAGATCCGACTTGATTGGCAAGGCCGGTCTGTGGCTGGATACAGGAGAGTAGCAATGGGGACACTCAAAACGAGTTGTTTGCCGTGGAGCAGCAAGCAACCCGACGATGGGGTCCCAGAATGCCTCACTCCCCCAGTTTCTGGACTGTCTCCTCTCGGTGGCTGATGCAGATGTGGACTTCTCCTGGGCCAACCAAGCCTTGTGATAGATGTAGCTTCGAATATGCGTCACACGATGTTTGATATAGGACTTTGTGAAAGCTAATTCAGCAAACCCTGCTGTGACTCTTGAGTTTGCAGTGAGTTCCTGAGAAATGGATGGCTGCCGAGCATTTGTGTCCGGAGCTGGTAAGCTTTGCAGCCTGAAAGAAGCCGTTCAATTCCCGGAAAAGGAAGGCGAAATGGGGAGCCGCATGGATCACATCGATTTTTCCAATCCCTCTGGACAGGACCACAGGGGGAAGGTTTCCCCTCTGCAAAAAAAAAGGCAACCAATAAGCGGAGCCAAAAGGCAGAGGTCGACTCGTTTCAGCTACTCGAATCGAGTCGAATCAAGCCCTCAGGTGGCCCAGAGACGAGCAGCTGGGGTCCCAGAGCTCGTTCGACCAATGGTGAATCTGTGCTAAGATGGCTGCTTTTTGTAAATTTTCTTTGTTGAGTTCACAAACAAATCAACAAACTCATGTGGTTGTCCATGGTTTGTGTTCATGGATTCCCAAGAACCATCTGTGTGAATCAAAATGAGTGCACCAAAGTTTGTTGTTGCTTGTGGATTCCCAAAACTATGTGTGTGAATTGAGTGCTTTTCAAAAGCTTCTGGCTAATGCTGATTTCCAGTCGGAACACCAGACTGGTTCCGAACCCAGGTGATGTATTAGTGATCCTCCCCAAGATGGGACGTGCGGCTCACCTGTCCGACGTTCTTGCCGGTTTGGGTTTCTCAGCCTTTCCATCTTCAATCAGTTCCTTTAGTTGGAAGTCAGCGGCGAAACGCCCCTTGGACCTTTCCCCACGAACTCACGAAAGTCTTATAACATGAAGGCACTGATTAGGAGCAGTCAACTAGGTCCATCCCGGAATGTTCGACCTGATACAAAAAGCTTCAAGAAATATTTGTCCGAATTTGAGGAAACTCCCGAATTCAAGTTGGGGGCATCAAAGCCCTGTCAGTGTCTCGGGAATGCCCGCGCTTTGAGCGCAGCCATTTGAGGAAGCGCAGAAGCGGCGGGAGCGCAGCTATCATGTGGCGGCTGCTTGGGCGGGGAGCCCCGAAACAAAGAGCCCTCTGCTCAAAGAAATTGTGTTGCCAGCTGAAAAAACATCCCGAAAAGGGGGCGGGGGTTGGCTTTCATTTACACTTCAAACTGCTCCTTGCACCCTTTTCACACCGACTGGTCAGCATGGCAAATGCTTGCCGGTGTGGAAATGCTACAAGTTTGCAAGATAGGTTGCAGGTACCTGCCCAAGATACCCTCAGCTTCAGCAGTTGCTCTCAGACTGGATACCCATCAGAGAAGAAACCATGCAGCTGGCCCATCAGAGCCTAGAGAAGATAAAGTTCTTTTGTTCTTTTTTGGACCCAAGGCTTGATCTTCACACCCGACATTGTAAAGGACTTCGTAGTCCTTTCAGAAAAGAGTTCAGTCAAACGATGCACACTCGAAGGTTCCCAGATCATAACCCTGAGGTCGTTCCACTGGGATCTTGGAAGCTTAGGCCCTAGCAAGGGTTTCTTGGGTGTAGAACCAAGAACGGGGTACTATGGTAAGGGTACACTCTGGAATCCTGATGCTTTCTTGAAAGTTTATTTGTCGCCTGGTTTCTCGGAGTAGCCCTAGCGTTGAGGTAGAGCGAGTCAATACATGTTCGATTATGTTCTCTTCATGTGTGGTTCAAAATGATTCATAGCAGTGCACGTCTCCATTTATGTTGTTTTTTGTTCGCTGGGGTTCCACCTCTGGGTTGCATTACTTTAGGGCAATTGCTCCATGGAACCCTCTGCAAGGAGGGATCCGAAAGAAGTACGTCAAGTGGGGCTTTTGGGCGGATTCTCACCCCCGGCATGGACCAAACCGAAGGCCCAGACCCAGAAGGAGAGCGAGTTGATCTCCCTTGGCCTGGCCCGGGCCCTGATGCCCCGGAAAAACCGGAAGGATTCACGAAGGTCGGGGAGCAAGAAACAGGGTATGGTCCTCTCTTTTCTTTTCTTTTTTTGGGGGGGCACCCCTTTGCAATTGGGTTTTAAGGACCCCCCAAGACAAAGCATACAGCTTCGTCTTAAAGTGGGATGATGTGATATGGAACCCCAACATGGGCATTTTCTGACAAGTGGGCTGAACCTTTTTTGGGTCCTGACTAAGTCCTGACCCCAGAGAAAGATACAACATGTCACCGGCAGCCCACGAACCTTCGACAGACCGGGCCGCCCACAGAGCATCGCGAAGGTTGCGGGATTCACAGGGAACGTTTTAGTGGTGTTCAAATTCACTAGTCGGATAACTGGAGGGTAGTAAGGGACAATCCCAGCTATAAATGGTTGCCGCCGCCTTTTCATTTCTTTACATGGTTCTGAGTAGACCATTTTAATACTGGGTTTTGATCATGACTCGCTTGGGCGGTTGGATGTCATTTTCTCCATATCATAACTTAGGCCCAACCCCGTACGGACCAATCTCACGTGGGATCAAGAGGTTCAATCACTGTCGGCTGCTATCTTGGGTATTCATGGTCAGCAAGATGCTTGCGGGCTTGACTGCTTGGGTTTCATGCAAGTGCTTCTTGCATCAAGCCCGATCCTTCGGGCTGTCCTGGTGGGGCTTCTAACAATGACTGGTAGTGTGGGTTTTCGTGTTGGGCCCCATGTGTTCAGTACCACCCTGTCGTTGCAGCTGCTCTTCTCTGACATGGGATAACTCAAAAAGAGCTTTCGCCTCTTTCCCTCGTGGCTGCTTGCAACCAAAGCCCTGGGAGAAGTAGCGGGGAATGTTCAATTTAAAGCGTGGCGACATGTGTGTTGTCTCCGGGTTGTCCCGCGAAAAAGGAACGTACTGGCCCCCCGCCCTTGCAGCCATGTTTGTTTCTTGTCGCCTTGGTTTTGGGGAAGAAATATAACCTGACAACAACAACCATTTGGAGATAACAATATGCACACAAAACACACACCTACGACTACACCTACAGCTACACCTACACAGCCTTGCATGAACAAAATATTGCCATTCTGTCCGGCTCGTCCCCTTTGAAGTGGGCTTGCATGTGCCACAATCGGCATGGGAGGTGCACCCTTGTTCAATGAGCCGCCTGCATAACAGGCAAACCTTCCCTACACATTGAGTGCCGCAATTGACGGCCAGAGAGCAGCACTTCAGAGGTTGTCCAGTGAAACCGATTTTTTCTTTTTGGGCAGGGATTCCCTTCAAGAATCGCACGACCAAAAAGGTGCCTTTCCTTCCATAACTACTGTGTAGCAACGCATGTGATGGGAATGGGATTTCGGCGGAAGCTGGAACACCTCAAAGTGGGCAACTGAGCTGTAGAGCGATGATGCAAAAGTGTTGCTCAGATTCTTGATTCAAGCAAAGGTTGTAGCAGCCGCAGACACCTTGCCAACCTGGAAGCCACTCCGACAATGCATCCCAAGGGGGAGAGCACTATTTGTCACCTTCACCAACCAGCTACATATTCCGCTGGCGAACTCTTCCATCACAGTAGTGTCCAAACTTTGTCAGAAGCGAGGTCGTATGGCGCTTTGCGCGCTCTGTGGGCCTTTGTGCAATGACCATATGACTCTTTGAGGGAAAGGGGAACCCGTTGCATGTGCCACTCCGAACGCCACACCCAGATTTCTAGCGATGACGTCGGCGCTTCCCTGAGGACAACCCCTTTGATGAAAGCGAGGCCTTTCCCAAGTCTGCGCGGGCCCCAACTTCGCAAAGGAGGTGCTACAGGTCTCGACTCGGATGCTCCCCTCGAGATTCCTCCTAGAACTTGCAGGCGCTTGCCAGGTGTCCCTTCCAAACTATGCAGATTGTATTTCTTTCAAGGACTTTGTTGGGCAATATCCGTCTTCCGGGCGATGCTTGGCGAGTGCCAAGTAACATGTGTTTGCTTGATTTCGCCAAACCCTTTCTGAGGTGGTTGAAAGCGGCCCATGTTGGAGGTGCCATATTCGACAAGCCTCTTTGCGCCGGTGCCGCAAGTTGCGGCTGCCCCCGTGTGGAATTGAGAGGCAGCAACCCTCTTGCAGACCCTGGCAAAGTCTGCCGGCAACACATTGGGTCAACTCTCATGGTTTACCCTACATTTTTGTGCGTACTTACTTCTCTGCTGCCGCTGGTGCCATCAATGGGGGTTGACGCAACATCGTTTTCTTGGGTGGGGTTGGGGCGGTGGAGAGGGGGGGGCAATAGCGATCGCCGCCGCCCTTGTTCCCTCTCCTGCGCCTGCTTCTCCTGCGCCTGGAAGCATCTAGATGCTGAGGGTACAGCCCACCCTGATCAACAAATGCTTGCGCAGGAGGGAATTTGTCTGACACAAATTATCGTTACAATCTGCAAGCATCCAGAATGCCCTTGAGTCCTGGATTTGCGTTGATGTAGACAGCTGCCAAAGGGTCCACATGCTGGTCGCTTTTGCTGGCATTTGTTCTGCTTTGCATTCACCGCATTCTTTGTTCATAGAAGTTACAGCAGCTTCGCAAGCTTGATCTCCTCCGGCTGCCACAAATTGGCTGATGCCATCTGACTGCTGAGCGATCTCACACCATTCAGAATGGTACTCATCCAGTGTGCACACACTGCACTCGAAAAGCGCTGGCAATGCGCCAGCAAGCTGAACAGGACGTGGCAACCCCTGCAGTCGCAATACAATCATCTATGTATGGGCTACGGTTAAAGAGCGGATGCACGGTCTGATCATCCCGGGCCTAAAGCCTGCCATAGCTCAACAGTGGCATCAAGCTCGTCCATTATGAAACGCAGGGCAAACCATGGGCGTAAAGCCAACACATCGACACCCTCACAGTCTTGGCAAGCGTCCAACAGGAAAGCAACATTTTCATTGGGTCATGTTGGCCACAGATTGCTTGGCGCTTGTAGTTGTCAATCTCCGCATACCCCTGGAAGACAACATGCCTACAAGACCGGGCGCCTTAACAGTGGTTGAGGGCATCAACGATCTCGGGGCGAGCAGTGAACACTGCTATCCATCAAAAGCGTATCAGCAACAACTTAGCTTCGACCCCCGTTTTGACGAATACCGAATTCCCCTGAAGGGTGTCATTGCGTGGCGCTCGTTCTCGTTTGGGGGGGGGGCCTCATTTTCCTGGTGGGCGAGTCAATGCATCGAAATAGTTGTGGGCCTAGGCTTGGCCTGGCCATCCACTTGGGGAAAATTCTGGAAAACACTTTCAGGTACCAGTTCCCCCAGTCATAATTCTCACTACGAGCATGCAGGGCGTTGAACTAGGGAATCTGCCAGAGATAGAAGCTTAGGGTGCGTTCCTTTACCCGGTCTTGTCCCCTCGCCAGAAGGACCTGAAAGCCAGCCCCGAGGTTAGAAGACGCGGTTTCGCAGCTTATGCCGCCGGCCGCGGAAGCTGAGGGTTGCTCCGAAAGTTGCGAAAACTCACAACCTGTGGACAGAACTTTGGACCCTGAAGTTTGCCTCTTTGAATTCTGGGTCCATCAAACCTAGGTTGGGCTGAAAGGACGCCCCTGCCCCATTGCGTCATCTGGCGTGTTTTGCTTTGGTGTTTTTGACAGTTGAACCAGTTGTCCGTGGGTCCAAAGGAGCAACCCTGCTGCTGTGCCAATCTCGGCACCGTTAACGAGAGTATAAGCCACCGGTCCACGAGCGTTTGGGTCAGAGCCCTCTGGGACCAAAGTCGTTCTGTTGTTTGACTGTCAGCAAAGAAGTTACAAGAACAAACAAGCTGGATGCACACCCATTTTATTTGTTTGTTGTGTTTTTGCGTCGTTCAGCTTCCCTTTAGAAACCATTCAAAACAGGCCCTCAGTGCAGGCAACACCCTTTTGTGCCCTCATGTTTCGCAAGATGTGCATAGAGCTGGCATAGACTGCTTGCCTATGACAGTGGTGCCTGAGGTAAAAGCCGAGCGCAATGGCATGAGTCGAGCAAGGGACAAGAGCCTAAGGGGAAACGCACGGTGTTTGTTGTCAATTCCCTGAAAACGGACAAGTAAACCAACCGCAAAGTAAACCCTTTGCAGGGCGTTCCTTGATGATCTGTGTTCCTCCATTGGGTTCCCTGCCCTTCCCTTCACATCAGGCCAGAAGAAGCTGCCCTCTCGTTCGCCACCTGAAACCAATGGAAGTGCGTCCCTTTCCCTCCAATCGAAATTCCCTATCCGCTTCGAGAAGTTTTTAGGGTTCTTTTTCCAGCTACCCTTTTGGTTTGGACCAGTGCATCACTTTTCAAAGTCTGTGGGGCCTGGATTTCGCATATTCGACTCGTCTGGCTCGAAAGACGGGAACTCGGCGGCCAATCCCGGGCCTCAAACCCGGCGGGGCCCGGGTTTCAGGTTTGGGGTTTCGGTGCGTGCCGTGGGTTATTCCAGTTTTGGGTCGCCCCGCCAGCCGAAATGCAGGTCCAAGTCCGGTGGGCCAGCGGTTTTAGCCACGCTTTGCCGGAGCATTGTGTGCAAAGGGAATGCCCAGGGTCTGTGTGATTCTCGGCCAGTACAGGTTCCAGTTTGCCTTTACAGATCTATGATTAATCTCCATGTTTTGGCGCTCTAGGCAGTTTGACGTTGTGGGGTCAATGTGTTTCTTTGGGTGCGGGCAAAAAGGTCGGCTGACGCCACCAGAGCTGCTTGAGTGGGAAGAGTTGTCAACAATTTGGTTGTGAGATGCCCCCCAAGGGTCCCAACGGGGACCAAGGAGGATCGCATTGCACCCCATTCTGAATACGCCACTACCAAACATACGAACGACCCCTTTCGTGAGGCAAATCCTTGACCATAATAATATGAATGTGTGCTCATGTGGATGATTTCGAGTTCTCCCGTAGGGAAGTTAGACAGTCATCAATAGGCTTGGTGCCGTCGTTTGACCAATGCAAATATCAGTGTTTGGCACCGATGCCCCTTCCCATGCCCTTTTCCCTTGACAAGTCTTAAAGCGATCTTCCTCTCGGTTTATTTTTCTGCTGGGCTTTGATAGGATGCACAACAAGTTGGAGGGCTTCCTAGCAAGCGGGAGGTCTTTGAGAAACGGTGGGGGACAAAACTTTGTACTCCTCCCTTGACACCCAACAATGATGTCATGTTGAAAGGAATCTTACTCGGAGAAAAGGACTCTTTTGGTACTGCGTCTGTCAATTTGCAGAGTAGACCTTGGCACCCTAGGGCAGTCACTAGATCTTGACCAGAACACCTCTCCAGACTCTGGCTGGAGAATCTTACCCTTCCAACAAGACGACTTGGAACCCCGGGAAATCGGAAAATCCACACCCCGCGAAGTCGGAAACGAATCGCGCAGGGCCGGTGCTGGAAGCATGGGAGCCGCAGCCTCAAAGCGCCCCCTGGCCCCTGAGCCCTGCCAGTTTTGCCCAAAGGCCCGAGCCCTCAACAACCGCTGATTTCGCGCGGAAACCACAAGGGAGGCCTGCAAAGGTCGTTAAACAAGGGGTTCATGAATGGGTGCCCCAGTACATCGCCTACAATGATCTCCCCCAGTGAAACATATCCGTGGACTCAAATCCATCTTCCATGGCCAGGTTGAGGTGTTGTTGGGCCAATTTGCGCCCAAAGAAAAGAGATGCTGCGCATCAGCTCGACGCATCCACCCCCTCTGCCCCCTGAGGTGGTCGACAGGACCGATGAGTTTAGGCTCGGGGCTCGGCGGACCGGCGATGTTTGCATGTGTGTTCATTGGTTGCTCGGATTGCTCGGTTTGTTTGATTATTTGCATGTGGCAAATGGGCACCCCTGAAAAGGCTGTTTGTGGGACTGGCTTCTTGGCGTTCGCACAAACATGGGAATGCATGTTTGCTATTCACCGACAAGAGGTTGTCATGGTTGAAATGCCATCTAATGATAGTTTCACCAAGTCGGCAACGCCCAACAACTCAAACATCCAAAACGCTATTTCGAGACATCCATTCAGTTGGACAGATGAACCTTGGCTCCTGTTACTTCCAGGTTTGCAGATTCTTGGCGGAAGCACGCTCATTTCTCACAAACGTTAAACCTCCGCGTTTCTTGTGAGTCACATCTCCTCGTTTCTCACGAGGGCATCAGGGGCTGGTTTTTGCACTGGAATGATCCATTGATTCATCCAGCCATCCACCCACCCACCCACCCCATCCATCCATCCATCCATCCATCTATCCATCCATCCATCCATCCATGAGCTTAAACCCAAACCCTAAAAGCCCTAGACCTAAACCCTAAACCCTATCAACCCCCCCCAAACAAAAAAAAAACTGGACCTAAACCCTAAAGCCCAAACATAAACCCCAAACCTAAACCTTAGAAGCCCTAACATCCCAAAGCTAAACCCCCAAAACTGAAACCTAAGCCCTCAAACTGTAAAGTAACCTAAGCCCTAAAACTCTAAACTAAAAGCCCCAAGAACCCACCCAAAGGCACTCCTTTCTCACAGGTCCAACCTTGTTTCTCGCCACAAGCAAATCGTCGCACGATGGTTCTGCGAGAAACGAGCAACGTCTCGTGTGAGAACTGAGGGCAGGGTGCCTTTGCGCCCTGAAAGTTCGGATGATGTCTGTGTTGCGAGCCACACGGCTTTGGGCTCGGGCTCCTTGAGCTGGAACAGAGGCCAAGACCCATTTGGACATCACCGGTTTGTATCATTTGAACAACATGGCAACAGGCAAAAGAGCCACAACCAACAGAGCCAAGCCTGAATGGCACAAGTAAAGATCTCAAGCACGGGGGTAAGTCTGGTTTGCACGCCGTGTAGCCAGGCTTGGCAACATCAAATATGATAGAATCTTGTATGTTTTTCATATGTTAGTATTGCACGATGTTACCGGGGTACTATTTTGGGTTGGCCCCATATTGGTTTTGCGCTTGATAGGCACACGTCCGTTTCTGGTGGTAAACAGAAACATGAGCGACTGCCTTTATTCGCCGACGACTAGAGTACCAGCAAAAAGGCCAGAGACAATTTCGCGGTAACCTCTGTTTTTCGGCGGGAAACGTGGCGGAGGATAGCCCCGAAACGAGATGGGCCAACACATTCAGGATTTAAGATGTTTGCAGTTGGGGGCATATCGAGACTCATTACAGACTGAGCGGTCGCTATAGACGCTTATTGAATTCGAATTTGTTTTGAGAAAATTGCTTCAACTTATGAGAACTTGACAGCCATAGTCCTCGGTGAAGACATTGTTTCATTTTTTTAACATGCGGGAGATCATGTTGCTTATCATTTGTTCATCATTGTTTCATTATTTGTTCATCATTTCGCAAGGGTGCTCGTCAGTCGCGATTTGTGGGTCAAAATGTAGCCTTCTTTCCAACGCTACTAGACATTGTTGCAGGTATCCGTGCGAACTGGAAAAATGATGGACACGTGATGAAACAGTGATGGAACAAATGATGAGGGCAAAGTTGCAAATCCTTAGGAAATTCTGAAAACTAAGGAACATGCTAGCAAATCATCATGTTTCATCATGTCCTCATCATGTTCTCATCATGTTTCATCATTTGTAGGTTGCGTTGTAGCCGTTTCGCAACGCTACTATACATTTTTGCAGGTATACGTGCAAACTACTGGAAACATGATGGACAAATTGATGAAACAAATGATGAGGGCAAAGTTGCAAACCCTTGGGAAATTCTGAAAACTAAGAAACATGCTAGCAAATCATCATGTTTCAGCATTGTCTCATCATGTTCTCATCATGTTTCATCATTTGTTCATCATTTGTTCATCGTTTTGGCGCACTACTACAAATTTGTGCAGAAAGCGAGGAATAATCATGAATCCGCGAGAAATGATGAACAAATACAGAAAAAATGATGGGGCCACATGATGCCAAATCGATGAATACATGATAGAATAATTATGTGTATTTGTCTCAGTGTTTGCCTGCCCGAAGATCTTTTAAGCTTCAACACAGGAAGGAAAGCCTATCCTACAGCGCCCCGGATGCAGAAAGCTGATGTAGACCACATCGTGGGCGCACTCTTGCAGACTAAGCGAATCATCCAAAAAGGATGGAGTGTGAGATTGGTAATGTTAGGCAGAAGGCTATTGGCAGGCCCCAGCTGAGAAAGCAAGCGAGTGGACCTTCAAAGAATCCAGGGCACATCACTTTTCAATGATGCCACGCAAAAGTCGCGCTACGAGCGCCAAAAGCGAAGGCAACATACGCAAGCACAAGGGTGCTTTAGCTCCTTCTCAACTTCATCACTGCCGTAAACCCGGAAAATGAAAAGTTGTAAAGGGGGTATCCCATAAAGCCCCCGTGAAAGCCAAAACGTAGGTCCGACAGATTGCAAAAGCTTATCGCGAAAGTGCCTAAAGAAAGTGGACCCCGCCACGAAAGCCCTGCGAAAGGGCCCGCGGAAGAAAACCCATGGTACCGTGTTTGACAATTGAATGATTGCGATCGCAAACACATGGTGCAGCGTTGACAAGCGACATCAATGACCCAAAAAGGGTACTGGCTTGGAAAACAAGTTGAGAACGCCCAACTGCGAAAGTGTGTAGCCAGTGATTTCCGTTGTATGCATAGATTCATGTAATCAGTCGTTTTGGTCCTATAATCAACTTGCATCTTGCCGCGGGCGACTGTTTGTAGGCAGATCTTGCGGGAGGCTGCCAGCAAGAGTGGTGCAGGCGCAGCGCGTTCCGTTGTCGGAAAGTGACTCCACAGTCCAAAGATTCCCTTGGAATGGTTTGGGTCTGAACCGGGTTATTTCAGTGCCTTTGTTCGTTTCAACAAGTGCTAAAAGGGTATCGGCTTCAAAAGGGTCACCCATGTTCAAGGATGCGCATTGTTTGGTGCTCGCTCTCAAGTGTTTCACACAGAACGTATTGAGTAGGACCGAGCTTCACGCGCTACCATGGGTGACGTGTGTGGCTCCTCTGTTCGCGTGTCCAAGGCCCCTATTCAGATACAGGTAGCCCTTGCAAAGTCCTGAGCAGAGCAACACGGCACCACGGCACCACCTGTTCTTAGTGAATGGTGGCACCCGGACGGGGAAGTATTCCTAGACCGCCAAACAGAGGGGAACAAGTCACTTGGCGTCGAAAGGACCCCCAAAGAATCAGTTGGAGCCGGAACCCTGGGACTCCAAGATTCACCCTATTCGTTTATAGACATTTGTGGGCATTGATTTCAGGACAAGTTGCAACCGCCCACAAAGGGAGAGTGTATTGGTATTGAAGGGTTGTTGGCATCGGTTTTGTAGCTCGAAAGCTGATTCCAGGAGTCTCTGGCACAGAGACCCCCTCCCTTCGAGGTGTGAGCCTGGAGGCGACGCCGCAGGCGACGCCCGGGAGCTCAGAGGAACTGGAAACCAAATCGTTGGTTTCCCGAATTCTGGACAGCTCCGTCTCTCATTCCAACACTCTGTACCCACGCGGCCTCTACTCGTCAAGGGCAAGGCCGGAAAGGGGGTCAAAAAGCCATGATTTGGAGGTTTCACCCCCCTTCTCAAACAAACAGGAAGGTGGGCAAGAACGGTAAGCTCAGATTGATGGCCTGGTTGTTTGCTCCCTCATGAAGCCCGTTTGGGGCAGTTGAACCTTGGAGTAAAGTTGCTGATGTCCACTACGGATTCTATCAAGGAGGATCACACAACCGAACGATCCCCCCGTGGATATTTCAGATGGCCACCCTTATTGGGGGAAAACTGATTCATTCCCAACGAACACTACCAGCTTGCTTCAAAAAAGTTGCACCCATTTATTCAACTCCGCAAGGGGTCCTGTTTGGGAACCCAGTTGATGAAGCCACGTTTGGGGTGGCGCCATGATTACATCGAGCGATTCATCCGAGAATCCTACTACAAGAGGGGTTTGTCAGAGACAGGTTTCACATCCGTTCAGGGTCCCCTGAAAGGGTCGAGCCATTGTCAGTGCCCCAAACTTATCGCATCCCAGCTGTCTTGTCTAGCGGCGCCATCAACCGCAGAAGCAGGTGCTGAGTGTTCCCATCCGGCAGGTAGAAATCAGTTTGCAATGCGCTATTTTTGGGTCAAGATCAGTGGGTCCCGTGACGGTCGCCTTTTCGGGTGATGTTACGGTGTGTAGGTTCCAGGTTGGCGACGCGTGGCAGTGGATGTGTTGCTTCTCAAGCAACGAGTGTCAAACCCCTGTTTCTTGCTTCCAGGCCATCAGTCCACCAAAGAGTGTCCTGAACTCCTGAACACACCGTTTTTGAAGCTGGTTCCCTTCAGCACGGCCGCGAAACCGTGAATGAATGCTGCTTTGCTCCAGAAGCTTCCTTGGCTCACGTCTCGCAATTTCATGTTGCGTTTGGAGGGATCCAAAATGACTGTCTCTCGCATTCAATTGCTGGATGCGTGACCCAGTGAAATGAAATCGTCAATGCAGTCTGTTTTGGTCGATCCGGCAAGTTCCCCCTAACTAATTAGTCAATGGTCAAGTACATGAAGGGTTTCATACCAGGGCCTTGGCGTATGGGGCGTATATTCAGCTTCTGACACAGACCCTGTCCAAGTCGCTCAGGTCCGAGCTGAACCGATGGTCCGCCGAGATCGGCGGGGAAATCCATGAAGCATCACAGAAGGTATCGGAGCTCAGGACGGGCACTGGATTTGCGCAAGCTGCATTTTTTTTGGTCAGGTTTAACCCTCGAGAAACATGGTGAGGAGACTTCATACAAGTTCATGTTGCATGTTTCTTTTTTTTACTCTGCTCCATCTGGTGAATTCTGGAACTGTGCGCAGAATCCGGCCCTGAGCCGCAGGAAGATGTCCAAGCAGAAGGGTATTTTCAACGACAAGACAAATCAAATCCAGGCCGGGCTCGGAGGATCGCTGCAGCGCTTGCACTGTGCTCCAGTCTGTCAATTATTTGACTCCAACCAACCTACAGCAGCGTTATGCATGCACCAGCGGCAATTGAGGAAAGCACTTTTTGTCATGAGGTAGTTTGAGCGAATGGACACGATTGTTTGAGATTGACCCATATATGAATATGCGGCATGATTCGAAGGAACCTGGATCGAGAAAAGGCAGCTGGATGTCAAACGGAAACGCCGTACATGTGTCCATATGTGTTGGTGAGTAACAAAGCGTCTTGATCTCCGCGATCCATATTCAGCATCAGCTGCAGTGAAGGCGATAGCGTGGCACGCAAATTTTGCCATAACTTGGGAATAGGAATAGCTGCAAGCCCCAAATTTCCATGTCAGTAGAACATATAACACCATGAATATTGGCGGTGGTAAAATGTTGATGTCGGGCACTGCTCGCTCCTGAAAATTGGCATCAAACCAAAAGCTTCAACTTGTGAAAGAGAAGTCAGGAAGCTTTGTTGGAAGTCAGCTCCATGTGCGGGGTGCGTTGAAGGGCACACAAAAATGACAATTCAAATGCCCAAGCCGACCTTTTGCCCTGGCGTCCCCACTTTGATCTATATCCAATCACGGCCCCAGACGTTTCACCTGTCCTTTGAGCAATCTTTGCAGTCCAAGGACATTCCAATCACGGCCCCAAACGGTTCACCTTGCCTTTTCAAGTCCTTTGAGCAATCTTTGTAGTCCAAGGACATGTTCAAGTTTTGGACAAGTCAGATCAATCTCCGATTTTCGGAAGCTGCCTATGTATTCGCAATTGGCCATCCTGGCTCTCAAGTTTGTCAGGAGCTCACCTACACGGTAAAGCAGAGTGTGCAGGCCGGGCAAAGGCCTGACTAACGGCTCAAAGGCTGAATGTAAAGTTTGCGAACCCATAGCCATTTTGAATCGACAGTCGTCATTTGGTATGGGTTCCAGTCAGTCACCACTCTGTCAAAATGGACCTTACTGGATGGTTGACCCAATGGTGGGCGAGGAGCCTGCTGACAGACTTGTCCATGCTGTTTCCAAGTGCAGGTGTTAGAATCGTCGCAAGTGGTTTGTCAGGACGTCTCCAGAAAAGTTCCTTGTTTCAACCACAAAAGGAAGCAGGATCAAAATAAACTATCAGTGTCCGTAGTGTACTCTACGTTTCACACATTGGGTGCCATCATCATGGCAGCTGAATGCTTTTGTTGGGTGCATGTCATTGCGTATCTGTGTGTCTCTTGTGTGCCACCGTTTCAAAATGCGCTACTATTTTGGCTCACTTCTAGTGTCTATTTGTTTGTTTCCGCAAAGAGCACGTTTGTAAAAAGCACAAAGTTTGGACCCTTGTTTCAATCCACTGGGGTTGGTTCCTGCAAAGGGCTCAAGGATTATCCTGTGGAAGGAAAGCTGCCAGACAGTCCCTCGAGGCCTACTTGCTGACCCAATCCATCCAAGAAGTGCGTTTTCGTGTTGATTTGTGAAGAAATTTCCTGTTGGCTTCCCTTTCCAAGCCATCCAAAAAGGCGGAGGCTCTTCAAAAAGCAAAAACAAGAGGTGCAAAGCCACATGTTTTCGAGTCACACCCGGAAGACGGACGCTCGGTGTGCCCAGTTGCTGAACCAGAAGATCGAGGCGCTGGAGGCCAAGGCCAAGAGCTCCGGGCCGGAGCCTCAGATGACCCAGGTCCGTGGTTATAGGTAGGTTATACAAATATATATTTAATATATATACAAATATATACATATCTATATATTACAAATATGTATATGAATATATACGTATATATGTGGTTGTGGTTCTTGTGACGTGTGAGATGGCTTTACGGCTATTGTGACTTCTGCTTCTTGGGGGTATGGTGTCTTTGCTTCATACTGAGGTATGGTTATGAATGGTTGTGAGGGAAGTTTGTTTTGCAGTGACCTGTTTTAGGGTATTGGTGATTAGGGTTTTGCGAGCTTCGGTGCTGCATGGGGCATTCACGAAGGTTGCAGCGTTGGATTCGTTGCAAGTATTGTGATAGGCTCATTTGGCCAATGCCGTGAATTTGGGCAAACAGGTTCAGTCGCGCCAACCACCAAGATGATCACTGATCACTTGTTTGAAACCTGGTCAGGAGTACGGCTTTCGATCAGAATTGGATGTGCATGCATCATGCCGGGGTTGCACCCGGAATAAAAATGAGGTTTGGCCGTGTTCAGCTTTGGGAGTGCTGCAGCATCGGGAAAGACCTTGCTTTCCATTTTTTGGTGTGCATGTTGGATGAGTTTCTGAAAACATTTTTAAACATGGTTTCCTCAGTGTTGCCCACCTTCTCAAAAGTGGTGCCGCAAGGCCCCATGTGTGACACACACACACAAGCACTGAATATGTGTGGTTCCCTAAACGTTTCGGTTGATGTTTAAAGGACTATGGTGATGCTAAACAGGACATACCTTTTCATGGCAGTCACCCCAACTAAGGAGGATCAACCCCTTTTTCATGGTCATCTCATTTAGGCAGCACCCAAATCGCCACGTGAATGCCGGGAGCTCAGGAAGAACAAGAGCTACCAGGCGCATGCCTCGACGCTGGTGGAGACCTTGAAGACCAGGCGTTGGAAATGGCTGTGGGTCAAAAATAGGTACCCAAAATGGCACCCTGGTAAATGGAAACAATGACTACAACCTGTGGTCCCCTGGTGGTTTAATTTTGACTCATACCCACATGTCCATGTGAAGGAAAGCAAAAATGGCGCACAGATGAGTCAATACTGGAGCCCAAATCGAATGTACTCGGTTGCCCCCGCAAAGTTGAAGGTGGTTCCTGTAGGAGGTATGCCTGTCGTCCCAAGAGTGACACAAAGACAAGCCCGTGCCTTCCATCGGCAACCCTAAAGCCCAACTCGCGGTGGGAAGATGGAAGCCAAGATCTCTGGTTGGTGACCCCTGGAATTCCATTTATGTGTCAAAAGCCAGAGACCCAATTGAAGGAGTCCCTGACTTTTGACACACATGCGATCTATTCTCCCTTTGTGGAGAAGACTTCATCAATGGAGGGGGGGCCCTATCATCAGCCAGTCGTGGATCCGGCAGGCTGCTACAAGTGACCAAGGAGTTCAAGGATGCCTTGGAGGACCTTGGGTGTAGATGTGATAGGGGTAGTCCTGGAATTGAACGATGCTAATGGCTCGGTAGAGTGTGTATCATAAATTCGCAAAGTTGGCCTTCCGCATTCTGGGATGGATGCCTATAGTTTCCTTTCAAAACATCCAGCCGATCCAGGCCCGGGCGCGATCGCTTCGATTCCGCGCGATCGCTTGCCAGGACCGCACCAAAGCATTGGAGCAGCAGGCGCGGGAGTGCGGCGGGACCTGGGCCATTGGTTGGATTCCCCAGTGGCAAAGGGTTCTGTTTGGGGTGCCGGTGTGGTTTGGTGCTGGTGGGGTTGGTCGGGAGCTGTGTGCTGGCTTGCTAGTAACGGGTACACAAGTAAGGGGTAGGGGCAGGCTGGGGAACTGATGTTCACAGGGGAACATGTTGGAGGCTGTTGAAGGGTTTAATCTGGGCAAACTACTGCGCTTCATGCCGGCAAGACTAGAGCAAAGGGTCTCTTGTAATTACGACGGAATTGGATGGTCACCTTTTCACCAGATTCTGTCAAACTAGTTAGACCCTTCCAAAGCAGTGAGTTTCATGTTGGATATTTGCAAAATTTGCTCCAGCTGCCTCGAGAAACGCACACGCACGCGCACACACATGCCCAATTCGCCAGGACAAGAGAAGGCAGATGTACTCTTCTGGAGCGGGTTCAGCCTCGAATCCCTTCGCTGGCCGACAGAGGTGCGCATCGGTGAACGGCCAACGCTTGAAATCTCTGACCTTGGAAGCAGTACGTTTGTACCCGGCCATTGAAGTGACACTCTCAAAGCATCCGTTCAATTGTGAGCAGCATCCACCCACGTGCGAGACCCCCCCCCCGCCACCTGTAAATGCTCACAGTGCGAGTGAACGTATTTTCAAGATCATTTTCCCAAGCAGCCCGCATGCGCTGGCTTGCCATACAGCCGTACACATCTGTTTGCCATTCTTGTATTTGTGTATGTTGCAGAAAGGCCCAGCGTCAAGATATATCGCTGCTCTCGGGTCCTTCATAGCCGGGGTCAAAAAGAAAAGGCTGGGGAGCTGGTGTTTTACCTTCCCGCCATAGAAAGGCATTTGTTGCAGCTGGGCTGGAGAGAACGTTTGCGCAACCTTAAGCACTACGCTTGAGCGCAGCAAACCAAACAATGATGATGGGAATGCTACACAAGACATAGCTGTTCATTTCCTTTGACCCAAACTGCTGGATAAGTTGTCCATTTTCTTTCCCCCAGTCGTGTGATGTCAACTTGGCACCAAAATGGCACCTGACTTCCTGTCTCGACTTTTGCTGCTGAAAACGAGGCCCACGCCCAGCGCCGCGAGCGTGGAGGACATGGAGGGCGGAGGCGTGCGGAGTCAGGCGCTGCAACAAGGCGGGGGGCAAGGGGCGCAGGGGTGACAACGAAAAAGGCCGTGGATGGTGAGAGTTATGCCCGTTTGTAGGGAATGTCGGAATATCCTTAGTCCATTTAGAGGACATGGTGAATGTTCATGTCGACCCCTGGTAGACCTTAGTCCGGATGAATCAACCTGGTAGATTCAGTGGTACTCACAATGTACATCAATGGAAAGCCCAGATTCATAAGCCCCTAGTTGATTGGAGGGGTGTCCCAGTCAAAATGGAATCCTTCATTTTGGGGGGGGGGAGGGGGCAAACATGGTGTTTTACACAGAATAACAGGGATTCTCATCCATTGGAAGTAGAGAGGTCCAACTTTATCTGCGCAAGGCAATGTCGAGGATCTTGCAAATGGACTAAGGGGCAGTCGTGTCCAACGCATGCTGGAAGGCACAGCCCAAAACCCGATGCCTCGTTCATGACAGCTTCACAGCCTTCGTTGTTTCCACGAGAACTTCAGCAGCACGAAAGCAGCAAGCTATCGGCGTACTGTCCTTTGGGTTTTGCAAAGAACGTGACATTTGTCCGGGCCCCTTCATGTGAGCGAGTCGCAGAGCCTCTTTGACAGTTGTCAAAAGGTCTGCTCGAAAAGGCATACGATGTGCCAACCATGGCTTCATGACTATGCCTGCAAAACATGCGAATCGCCATGAGGTCTTCTTGTGGGTTTTCAGGGTTTTAGGCTTTAGGGTGTCTACGGCTTTATGTGTTTCTGTATTGTTTTTGCCGTTTGTTTTTGTTGTTGTTGGTTTTTTTTTTTTTTTGCGGGGGGGAGGGCTTAGGGTCTTTGGGGGTTTAGGGCTTAGGGTCTTAGGGGGGTTTAGGATGCGTTGGTTTTAGGTTAAAGCTTTTTGGGGTTAGGGGTTGCGGTTTTCAAGGTGTCAGGGTGCTGGGTGTTCAAAGAGTCGTTTAAAAGGTGTGCGCAGTAGAGTCGGCCTGCAGGTTTTCAGGGTTTTGAGGGTTTTCAGGGTGCTAGTTGTAGGGCTTCGGGAGAGGGCTGTAGGATGCTCGCATCGAATCTTGCGCTTGGAGGATACAGCTACAAGTCGAAACAACAACACCAGAGCTGTCAAGGGGGGAGCTTGAGCGGGAGTGCCAGAAGTGCCTTTTTACAGCGCCTGCCGCGATGGTCGGGAGCCTCTCAACACAATCGGTTGATTGCGAGCCCTGCACATGGCTCAAGACAAGAATACTGTGGATGGACGAAGTCCTGCACCACCTAAGATTCCCTGGAATGATGATTCCACGGTAAATACCAACAAACAAATGGTTTCCCATGTTTCAAAGTGGTGCAGGATTTTGTCTATCCACAGTAGCACTGCTGCGTAGATGTTGGAATCCTAGTTGTGAGGAGCAGCAGTCACGGCAAAGGTCTGTCTTAGTGTGAACACTGCGTGAAAACTCTTGGCTCAGCTTGCACAATGGTTGGCGCAACTTGCAGACACTTTGGAGTGCCAAAGTAGTCATAGTCGCTGGCACCACGGGAATCTTCCAGAAGCATTCAGTTCGAGCTGTGGTTGGAACTCGGCCCTTGATAGTCCCTTTTCGGCTAGTTTTCAAATATCACCCTTTGGTTTGCAGCATTAAGTGAGCTTCCTTTGGGTAGGGTAATGTGAGAGGAATCTCGCACATCAGAATCTCCTTTGGGAACGGCTGCTGGTCCAAAGGCCTGGTTGCATGGGATATCTAAAGATTCTAACTGGTAAAGGTTCCATGAAGGAAGCCAAGACCTTTCTCGCTCGGATCCTTCTGATGTCAAACTGGCAGGCTACCATAGCTCCAGGGCGGAGGCGGTGCAGAGCGTGCAGAAGACCATCGGCGAGTTGGCCCAGATGTTCCAAAAGACGCCAGGCAGAAACCAGACTCAGGTTGAAGCATTGACAACGAGGGCTTCACCCGGACTCATGTTGGGGGGCAACCCCTTTTTGTGGTTTGTGGTCATTTTGAGGGATCCAAAAGGGAAACATTTGTTGGTCCGTTCAAATGCAACAGTTTGAGCAAGAAGCCAGGCTACTTCACAAGATGGTCAGATATTTTGTTCACGGTTTTTGTCTTGATCATGATTTCCGCCAACCACATGGACCCTTTGAAGGAAACCAATGGCCCACATAATACAGTAGCACACATTTTGTTCCTGGCTGGCCTGAGTGTTGGGCGTTCTGCGCCTGTTCCCTTGGTGCCATTCAACATGGGAAGAGGTTGTGCAATCAAGTCCGAGGGGAATTCATGTGTTGACCTGCGCTTTTCCTGGTCTTCCATGGTCCTCTGGTTTCCCTGCTTTTGCCCTTCTCGCGTCCGAGGATGGCCGTCATGGTCACTGCACAGGAGGAGATGGTGCAGCGCATCGATCACGATCTGGACGACACGCTGGACAATACGAAGAAAGCGCAGGCGCCGGCCATTGAGCTCTATACAGTCCCCCCTTCCCTAACACCCCCCAGTGGTAACCCAAAAAAAGCTCCACTAAGATTTTGGGCAACCATGGCTTTGCATGTTGATGAAGAATAGGTTTACCGTTGCTGAGTTTTCGTTTATACCGATTTATATAGTATTGTTTGGCATCGCTTGGCAACTGTTTGGTATTGGCAGCGATGCACTTTGCCCTAGTCTTGCCCTTTGAAGATACAAAAGTAAACATGTACTCTTGTTGCAGGTCATCTTGGAACAACTTGTGTGTATTGTTTACCTTTGATTTTATTGCCCAACACCAACATGTCGTGTGTCCTTTCGTTCCCTGCCACTATCCTGCAAACAAAGCCAATCAGCCGGCTGCGCGCAACCTGCTTGAGGACTCTCTGCTGCAGTACTTCCACTACATTTCCTCGAACCGCGCCGCGGCCAATCGTTGGACCAACCTTTGGCGGGGTTGCAACCGAAGCGAATAGACAAATTGAATTTATGTGTGCTAAACAACTCCTGATGTTGATTCTCCGTGAAGGAAATCACAAGGCATGGATATGGCTGAAATGTGCAAAACCGGCTTGCCTTCAACACCCAGTCTTGGCAGTTTGAAAACACACGTCTCACTATTAAATGGAGCCTTTTTGGGATGGAGCCTTTTTGGATGGAGCCTTTGAGTTTGTAGCTTCAGATTGGACGCATCCCAGCTAAGAGTGGGAGCACTGCTACGGCACTGTTTAAATGCTGAGGTTTCAGTGTCACCGAGAATTCACGATGGCTTTTTGCCCAGGCGCTCTCATCATCAAGGTCTTCCTGATTCTGATATTCTTTGTGATCTTCTTCGTGGTTTTCTTGGCGTGACATGCCGAGCGAGGGTCACGCCAGAAGCGGGCGCATGCTCGGTAAAAGTTGCTGACGCGTGGCGATTTGCCTGTTGGATTTGGGCATGGGTCAATTGAGCAGCGTTTTCTTTTGTTGTTGCAGGAGTCAAAAGGAGAGGGGAACTGCATGGTGCTCCTGTGGCTACGCGTAGCCTTGCGTAGCCTCCGCGTAGCCACTGGCAAAGGGAGCTGTCGATAAGCGTCCGCGTAGCCTCTGCCTAGATCCTTTGTCTTGCGCTAAAGGCTTAGGTTGAAAGCTTGCATGTCTCAGAGAACAAGGGTGAATTTGATTTGCCTTGGCCCCGCCAGAGCTGAGTTCGCTCATTCCGCGTAGCCTCAGCGTAGCCTGTGCGTAGCCTCCGCGTAGCCTCCAAGGCGTATTTGAGGCCGCTGGCCTACATGCCTCCTACTACTACTACTACTACTACTACTACTACTACTGCTACTACTACTGCTACTACTACTACTACTACTTCTACTTCTACTTCTACTTCTACTCCTCCTACTACTTCTACTTCTACTACACCTTCTACAGTACGACTACTACTACCACTACCACTACTACTACTGCTACTGCTACTGCTACTGCTACTGCTACTGCTACCACTGCTACCACTACTGCTACTACTACTACTACTGCTACTGCTACCACTGCTACCACTACCACTACCACTACTACTACTGCTACTGCTACTGCTACTGCTACTACTACTACTACTACTACTACTGCTACCACTACCACTACCACTACTACTACCTCTACTACTACTACTACTACTACTACTACTACTACTACTACTACTACTACTACTACTACTACCACCACCACTACCACTACCACTATTACTATTGCTACGACTACTACTACTACTACTACTACTACTACTACTGCTACTACGACTACCGCTGCTGCTGCTGCTGCTGGTGCTACTACTACTTCCGGTTGCCAACGCATATTCGCGTACGGGGCCACTTATCAACAAATATGTTCCGCGTAGCCTCCGCATAGCCAAATTCCCAGGGAAAGACAGCCTCCGCGTAGGTATGTGCTTCCAGTTTAAAAAAAACACGGCTCAATTGCGCACCCCTTCGGCTTCCGCCTCGAGCAGCATGAATCTGTGAAAAGTGCTGAAAAGCTGAAGGTTTCCACACCAGCACATGGCTTGGGTGGTGTTCAAGGCCCCGGGATGTGCAGAAGCCGGGGTTGGGCAGTGATACGCGCACTCTGACTTTGCGCGCCGCCAGCCACGAGCGACGGGGCACAGTCGTCACAACTTGTTGCGGAAGTCTCCTTGGTGTCACTTGATTCTGTACAGACGCCGCCTGTGGCGTTGCTGTCATTGAAAGAAATCTCAGATAAAGGTAAGCCGCGATGTTATTGGCCAAACGCCACTATTTTTGCTTTTCCCTGTGTTGGCAATGCTGCGCAGGCAACCCAAGGAGGATTCTGAAGTACGGGTTTTTCGGACAGAGGTTTTCGCTGCCTCGAGTGTGGTCAGAGTGTTCAAATGTGCTCAGCGCGGCCGCGCTCCATGCGCATGAGCGTCCTTGCGCACCACCCTTAGGCAAACAATAGCAGGATTGGTTGTCGAGAGGTTGGGACCCAGACAGACCAACATGAAATGCCATGACCAGGTTCTTTGGACCCCGTCCCTCCCGCACTACTGGTGCTTCGGGCGCAGGGTGTGGTTGTGGGATGTGGCTGGCAGAGATCGGCCTGACACCACCAGGCCTGTTGCTCAGTGGCCACAGGATTCCTTGCCAGAACCAAAGGCCTTTGGCACATACACGTTGCTGAGGAAAGAAAAAGTAGCTCTTGTACCAGGGATTCAGTCTAGCCATTTTCGCATTTGCTGGACTCACCCACTGCGTGACGGTGGCACCAATTGCTTCGCAAGAGCCATTCCCCGCATGTGGGCGGGGTAACCTTACGCTTGCCCCTTTTCCGTCCCTTGAGGCCCTTGTGGACCCTGCTTTTCATTGTGTGCAGCAGTTGGGGGGGGGGGGTTGTCACCCAAGTCAGCAATTTACCACCCCCTTAACGCCCAAACTCAAGTTCCTTTCAGTGGCTTGGAGAACTCCAACACTCGGGGAAGTTGCCAGAGAGGTGCTCTCGCGGGCTTGGCTCGCGCGCAGCTCACGTGGAACTGAACACAGTTGTGCACGCCATACTCAAAGCACCTGGCTACTCGGGTTCATAGGGGTACAAAGCCAACCAGCGACTATGGTGGTTGGCTCTTCATTGGCAGGCTCTTTTTGTTAAGGGAGCCATGACAACTTCTTTGTCAAGGAGCTCAACCATGGCGCACACGACGTTCTATAGAAATCACCAAAAAGAGCACTCCTTCCCTGCGTGGCACCATCTCCAGCAAGACACTGGCACAGGCACAACAAGGTTGCAAGCTGGCTTATGCATATTGGTTGTGTAGTCGTCACAACCGCCACTGTGCATTGGACATGCATTTGTAGCTGTTAGCTGGCTGCCGCTATCACTTCTTTGCAGCTTAGGTGGGACGCAGTCGATTGCCGCACAACCCGATGTTTGTTCTTTTGCCAACAGGAAGCTACAGGAATGAATACTTGTTCAGTTTTCTTCTCCCCCGCCTGTATGAGTTTAAGGCAGGTAAACACGGGTTTTGCCAGCGCTGGCCTATGCCCCCATGATTCGGGCATCTGAATGTCCTCGCGGTCTCGCTCCAGGAGCGCAGGAACAAATAACGTCCACAGAAAATCGGCGGAAACCGCGCAGTTTGAGTTCACGCTCGAAGATGGGAGTTTCCTACACAGTGTTGCACGAGCAAATCAGCGGGGGTTATCTATTTTACAACAAGACTGCGAGCAAACGGGCAAACAGCAGGTTTCCATGCACCAGCCAGTTAAGGATCTTTAAGGGGAAAGTGCAAGCATGTATTTTGGAGCCCCTTTCCTTTGGGCAGAACCACGTCAAAATGTGTCAACGGCTGGATCCCCTTTGAGGTGGAGAGGAAGCCAAAACGAAGTCCATTTTGTGGGAAGGTCTCTGGTTTTGACATCCGACACAGGGAATGAAATCAAGCCCTTAAGTTCCCAGTTATTAACGGGCTCATTTTCTAGATGGGATTCCTTCATGAAAGGGGAACGCCCACCGTCTTAGAACCGGGGGGGGGCCTGAGTCAGAGATTCTGAAGCAAAGTGCAATTGCCGAGCGGTGGCCGCAAGCTTCGCATACGGCGACCATGTTTGCTGCTGGCAAGAACTAAGGTTGCCTGCAAGAGAATCACCAAGCAGCCTCGCTCAACGGAGGGATTCAGCCTCCTTACAGAACGTCGAAAACTTTAATTGGATTGAAAGTCCGAGTGACCTGGAAGGAAGGATATCCATACTCGCCTACTCTCGTGATTCCGGTGAAAGTGAATGCACGAGGCAATGTGGTTTTACTTCAAATGCTCCTATATGCTGAAGGTGATGTCATTTTCCTGTTGGTCTCGAAGGGACAGCATGTTGTTGTTCAGTGCCGCCTGAAGCAATTGGAAGACGCGCGCTTTGAGGCTTCCGTGTAACACAAGTGCCTTCTTGGGGCCGATTGATTGCAACATATTGCAACTCTGAAGCGGACCCAAAAGGAAGGAGCAACCCAAAGTCGGCGGATCCCACGCCCGTTGCGACTTGCCTTGTTGCGCAGCTGGCAGGAGCAGCGATGGCAAGGTGTTCTTCTGGCGCATCAACCAGGCGCATGCTCCATGCGAAATCCAGATGTTGTTGGAGTGTTTGGTAAAAGGAACTCAGGCTACTTTGTAGGTGCAAGCGCAAAGCACCAGTTCATGGTGGCAGCCCGTGTTGCAGGCGCTTTTGACTTGCCGTTCCTTTGCTTACGATGCTGAAACTTAGTTGGGTATTTTGTGACGCCCGCCTATGATTGATACTTGCAGAAATCTGAAAGAGCCGGCATGGATCCTTTAGCCCGCGCTGAGACTGGCTAGTGTAAGTACAGCATTCAATTCGAGTCCCGTGTGCACTGCTGACACTTTAGCCAAAAGTGCCAACACTGCTAACTTTCCTATCAGGCTCCCGACTGCCACCCATCTTCAAACCACCCCTCGAATAGAATGGCCACCAAGGCCAGGAACCGGGCTTTGCTCGCCCTTACTTTTCAAACCTTGCTCGCGGGTATTGCGCCTATAACCATGCCTGAAGGTTGCGGTCCTTGATATTGGATGTGTGTGTGTGTGCATGTGGTCCGTGTGCACACATTTCTACGTTTGCAAGTTCTGATGAATGGTTGAACAAGCAAGAATACCAAAAAGGTGCCAATTGACGCTATGTGCGCTTTATTGCAGGGTGATGTGGAGGCTTTTCAGGTTGGGTACGTTTAGATGCATATGGAAAGGGCTGGTTGCAAAGGAAGCCAAAAGAGTCCCCCATTTTAAGACAAACACATATTGTCTAGGCCTGAACTGGAATGGGGGGGCCTTTCGTGTATCGAAGGCCGGGTACGAGGGCGCCGGCGCCAGCGCTGAGCGGCTGCTGCTCTCAGTGCTGGAAGCCTTTGGTTTCTCCCGGGCCGACACAGCCACAGGCCTGGCCACTGGTTTCTTCTTTTGGCGGATCCGGCAAGAAGCCCGTTCGCTCTCCACATGGGTGTGCGTTCCTTTCATACGGCTTTGTTGCTTGTGTGGTTGCTGTGGTTGTTGTTTGTCTTTTCGGGTGTTGAGATTGAACGATTTTCCTGCATGGGCCGTTGGACCTTCAAGTCTTATGTAATTCGCCATGCCAAGCAGATGAACTAGCAACCAACTGGAGTTCTGCTGCGGACAGAAGAACTGGATGTGGAACTTGCGAATCTTTTTTGCAAACGCGGCATGCATGCTTTTGCCTGGGGCCATTGCAACCCGCGAATTAGCCAGCCAACACCTGTCCAATGCAGATTGACAACTGACAGAACCATGGTGCTGAGTGACCGACCGCATGGCAGTTGGTTTTTTCAGTTGGAGAACTTGATCTTGACGCTTAGGAGACCCATCATATTGGCACCTTTATCGGCAAGCAATGGGCAGGACGCTTTGCAACGATTGCTTCATTGTTAGCTTTCCGCAAGAAAGCTTATACTTATACTTATACTGGTTTGAAATGAAAAAAATGCCAAAAACAACTGGCCCCTGTGGGGCCCCTGTGGGTGCATGATTTTCTTCAAGATGTCAGGGTTGACTCGCTCAGAAGGCGTGCGTGCTTGAGGCCTTGCATCAAAAAATCATACTCAAGGCCCCAGTACAAAAGTGTCCAAGCTTGCTGCTTTTGTGGCCGGACTCGGGGGAGTTTCCGGCAACCCTGGAAGTGAACATGGGCAGCAGTCACTCAGATGACTACGACATAATAGTGCATGAGTTGCTGGGTCACATCTGCAGTTCAGCGGGCGTGGTCCCTGTAATGCGGGGCCTTCTGTCGCGCCTGCCGAGTTGCAAAGCCGTGCCAGAAGCAGCTGGGACCTACCTTGCTTGCACTTTAGCATGGTTTGTGACTGGTCTGGCCCAACATCCCCATCCATGGCATCCGAAAGTCGGATTTCTTGCAAAAGGACAAGTCATTGTTTTTCTATGGGGTCGCCCACTTCCAGGCGCCCGGCTTCTGTGGGCCAACTGTTTTGAGCCGAAGCTTTGGGCGTCTGCAGGCTGGCTTTGCGCGCGTTTCGCCGCCGATTTCTTTGCAATTTGATTTGTCCGAAAGCCCTGCCTGTTATACGGCCTCAATCCCAACCATGAGGAGAGAGTGCTTCCTTGACCAATGTACCCTTGGCGAAGTAGTCCGGTCCTTAGTTGAAATACACGGGGGTCGGTGACGGCGGCGCGGGAGGGGGGGGGGGGACACCCCTGATGGCTCAAATAGGATAAAGCAGAGTGACGGGCAAGATAGATGGAGTATTTGAAGGGCTCACGTGGAAACCGGCCTTGAAGCCTGCACGTGTGTGTGTGTATAGAAATAAATATATATCAGCCCATGTGAAGGAAATGCGTCCTTCGGGATTTCTTGGAAGCCGGAAACCAAATCACTTTGGTGTTGAGAAATTGCCAGAAGAAGAGACGGCCAATACATTGGCCCCTGGGTGGTGCGAACAAGGCAGCCCGAGGTGCAAGTTTTTGAGAATCCCTCCAGGCCGCGGGCAAAGGGGCCTGTGGGAAGTTTCGCTGGATTCATTGGGCCTATGAGTTTGGCGTTTTCAGGGTGGCTCGGATTCACTTTCCCCTTGCACCAGCCTCTTGAGGGTGACATTGAAACTACGGAAATTTACGAGGCCAGTTTTGGCACTTTGGGAAGGTGGAGAGTCAGTTGCCTCAAAAGGTTGGCTGCCCTTCTTGAACCATACAGGACCAACTGGCGTCAGTTTGAGACATCCGGCTCAGTTCTCACGGCCAAAAGTTTGGCCCTGGCTCCCCCGAAACATGAAACAGGTGAGTGCACTTTGGTGACACAAGCATTGAGTCATATCGGGCTTTGCCCAACTCCAAACAGTTGGGGGGACTATGAAGGTCGCTCCCGTAGTTCGGCGGTTGCTGCTGTCATAAATTGTCCAGATCATTTTGAGAGCGTTCGATGTTGCAAGTGCTAGCACAGTCATCACGAATGTGCAGAGTTTGGACAGGACAGACCCAGATCTCCTTTTGGTTGTCTTCTATTTGCTTGAGAGAATTGTTTCGAGCCATTCTCCCCGCTGGATTCAAAGGGAACGGGTCATGCCTGGTATACTTGTGATACTTGTTATGGGCGAAGCAAGTGGAAGTTGGGACGCTGTGCGCATGTGTGTGTGTGTGTGTGTGCCAGGATATTGCCTCATCAACCACTTCCCACGTCTTCCAGATCAAGTTACCGGGGGCAGGGATCGAGGTGTTTTGTTAAAGGTCTTTGTGCCTCGTTGGGCCCAAACAGTTAAACACAAAAGGGGTTACAACCCGCTACGAGTCCGAGAGCTACTGACGGCACGACGATGAGTCCAGACTGGATCTGTTTTGGGTTGCGAGAAAATACCCAATTTCACCACAAGACGGAGGAGGGCTACCCAATCATCCCATGTCCAATTGCCAGACAAATTGAAGACAGTGTCTCAATCGGATATTCTCCTGAAAAGTTACGATGAAACATCGTGGCACCTGAAAGATTTGTACGGCTGTCTGCTCCCAACATGGCAATGGGGCGGTGGACTTCCACAGTTGAAACCCGCCCGCTTGAGTCCATTTGAGGGACTTGGTACATAGTACATATATAGAGCCTACATTGGCAACAAACAAGACTTTTGCTTTGGACACCTGGGCATTGTTCCGATGTTGTCCAAGCGAAATCAAGGATATCAGCTGAACCCCACGCTATTGTTCAGGAGCCCATCGGTATGCTGGGATATCACATTTTGACGGACTATATGTTGGCATTGCTCGGAATGCAGGTGTGCAGCTCGCAACATTGGTAGCTGGGTGGTTGGGATGTGGGAACCCAACCACATTCCCGGCAAACCCGGGGCTTTCGGCCCAATTCTGGGCGACCCCCCCCCCTACCCCCTACCACCCGGCCATACCGCGCGAACTTACAGAATCTGGTTTTGGGTGTGAGTGTTTTTTTCTGTTGCGTTTCTGGATATAGGAGTTAGCGTGAACAGCGAAGGCTTTTTTCAATGGGCTGCAAAACTGGGGCTAAACTTCTACGAGCAATTCAACCAATCTATCGTTTTACAAGTTCCTTCGCACTTCAATGGTTGTCAAGCTTAGAGATTTGGGAGCCTTTTCCCACTTTCAAGCAACTGACTGGATGCCCAAACTGGTTGCCCTCGTCTTTGCTTTTCTTTAAGCATCCAACTCAGCACGAGTGTTTTTTGGGACATCCCGCGGTAAAATCCACCGGCCCCCTGCGCAACGAGGGTCGGTGGAGTTGTCCCACAAGCACCGGCTCTGTGACACCTTGATGCGTCGTGGGTGCAGGCCGAGCGGGGAGAGGCTGAGCTGGATGCGTTTTCTTCAATTTGGGGGTCTTACTCCAAATCCTGAAAGGATGGATGTGCCAAGAGCTAATTGGCTTCGTTTTTTGGCTCGACAGTGGGGCGGATGAGAGATTAGATCATCATCTGAGTAAAACGTTTAGAGAACCTTGGGAGGACTTCTTGAAAGCGAAAAACAAAGTGTGAGCCTTTGTTTTCCTAGACGGGAAAAAGTGCCTGTTGCCCTTTCGCATAGGTCGGGCACGTGTTGACATCCCAAGCTTACAGCGCATTCAGTGGGTGCTACAGGCCACCCTGGCTTCCCTCATTGTAAGTAAACCTATCAGAGACTATGGAACGGAGTTCCTTTGTGCCCAGTAGGGTAAGCCGGTCAAGCCTAGGGCTCTGAAACCGCCACCGCTGGCGAGTGACCGATTTGATTCATTGGCTGACTCCCTTGGGGAAGGACTCATTTAGAAGAGCCTGGCTGGCAAGAACTGTGAAGTCACATCAGGCACTCTTCCTGGTTTTTCAGGTTAAAAAGGGGTGTGCATCCACGTGTTTCAGCAATGACAAGGTTCAAACAGAAGAGTGTTTGCCTGGGGGGTTAGCTCCCTCTTCAATACAGGCCAAGAGATCTACAAGTCCAGGACACCATATGTTTGTCTCATCCAATCATGTTTGCTTTACCGGAATTGCGAGAACTTGCACGCAGGCTTGTCATCCACTGGCATTTGCCTTAAGCCGTGGGCTCTTCTCATCAGTCAGCTCCCTCTTTCACGTGCCCAAAGCCGACTTTTTGACCTTCTTGGTCTCCAAATGTTGGTCTATGCTAGCCACCCCTCCCCCAAAAGGTTTAGTGGGTACTTCAATGTGCTTGATTGCAAGTGAGCTCCTGCTAGACTGGTTTCGTCCTACAGGCGGGGTGGCCCTTCACCGTGTTCCTTTTTGGTTGGAAATAAAGGGAGCCGTGAAAGATATCCCAACGCGTAATCAGGCGTTCAGTGCCATTATGTTCAACCGAGAGTAAACTTCTGGGGGACGAAGCGTCCGGTGGATTAGCCAGAGGTTCAGTTCCAGGGCATATGTTGGATACTCAAACTTCATGTTGAGGAGACCAAGCCAAGTTTCTTTGTGGGTGTGCACCTTTGTTTTTAGGGAGTGAAGTTTTGGTCCCTATTCATCCCTGTTCGGCAATACTCAAATAAATTCCCGTCGGGTTGGGAATCCCACCTTTGGTATCACAAGGGTCATCTTCACAGACGCAGACTCTGCGCCAAACTTCGCAAAAGATCTCACGGTTGTCCGTTGAAGAAACCTTAGGATCCTCGAGCAACGGTGGCTTTTTGGACAGGTTTAAAGAGGCCGGTGTTTCTTCAAAGTTGGGAGGGGGTTTTCCCTGGCCAACTGCATCAGCGCTCCACCATGCTACGCTGTGATCAATCCATGTCAAGAGGATGCCTCGACATCCTGGAGGATCTCTATGTACATAGGTTGTGTTTTGCCGACTATGTATCTATCTAGCTAGCTAGCTATCTATCTATCCATCTATTTGTGCATCCACCCATCCATCCATCTATCTATCTGCCTATCTATGTATCGATTTGTTGTTTGGGTTTGACAACACGCCATCGCAAAACGATGGCAATGAGAGGCGTGACCTGCGGAGTAGCAATGAGTACATATATGTGGTACCCCCCCCCCTCCCGGTTTTGGGAGGGGGGGCTAGCATACATATATATATATATATATATATATATGTCTATATATATATATGTCTATGTATATATATATATGTATAATTGTAACATAGGGAACCCCCTGCCATTGGTTAGGAACCCGCCAGGTTCCTGCCCAAGAGCTTCGTCCTTCCCAAAGAGCTGCCCCAGTGGCTGGAGCACGCCAAAGGCGAGCAGAGAGGTCGAAATCGGGATCGGACACCGGCCGCAGCTTCCAACCTCAGTTTGAGGAAAACATAGAGATTGCGCAAAAGATGGGTCGAAAACACAGGTGGACAAATATCCAAATCCAAGAAAAGCAGATTCCTGGGACTTGTTTGTGGCGATGGTCCTCTCAGCAAGAAGATGCCCGAATCGATTCATTTCCTGGAGTTGCTTGTTTGCGAAGGACACGTTGGAGTAAAAGGTGAAATGACACCCTCGTTGAGTTCCTTGAGTGCCTCTTCCTTTGCGGGCTTCCATGCTCTCGGGCCAACCGCGATATGTAATGCTCCAAGCCGTCGTCCCTGAGGTAACTAGAACTCATGGTTGTACGGGCCATATCCTCTCACAGCCACCTGTGCGAGTTCGATGCATTTTTTGAGGAGCCTGTTCAATTTTGTTTGTGTTTGCGTGTTCCGGCAGTGTGATTGGCTGCCAATGTCTATTGATGGGACCTGTTTGTGTGGTTGATTCCTGGAATGTTGGAGCTTTTATGACGCCAAGGTGTAGCAGAGTGGTGTGCTGTGACCATTGTGTTTGGTTTGTTTGATGCGCTTGCAAATTCATTGAAATAAGCTGCCTGGACATACTGGAGAGCGACAACGAGGTACAAGAGAAATCTGCAACAGCAGGCCATCCGGAAAAGCAAATGCAGCTGCTCCTCAGTTGACCAAGAACCAACCTTGACTTGATCTAGTCATGATCCAGTCCCCAATAGGATAGCAACCATTTGGCTTGGTTCGCTTTTTCGGCTCTCTCAGTCGAACCCCGAAAGCGCCATGCGCCGGACCTTTGCACGGCAAGGGACTTGGACCGGCGGCCAGATACTTCGCCAGCACCCGGCCATCCGCGGGCAATTGAAGGCCGGGGCGATCTGGGTAAAGGTCCTGAAAAGAAATGTGGAAACACCAAAAGCGGGCCGAAGGGAACTTCCTCTTCCGATGCTTTCGGGGGGTCATGCTAATTTGCAAGAGGTTATGTGTTGAAAGTGGGATTCTTTTTGAGTGGTGATGCGTTGATCCCTTCAAGAACGGGCCCACAAGGGCTCCAACCCTGTCAAGAACAGGCTGGGCCCTTTTCGGCACGGCTCTGCAGGGAAGCGTGAGAGACAAGTAGTTTGGATTGGCTCCGACGTTTGATACATGGATAATACATGGACATTAAGACTCAGGCTAAACCACCAACATGCATGTGATTCTTTGTTTGGGGGTGAGTACCATATGCGCTTGTAAATGTTAACATGATGTGTGTGTGTGTGTGTGTGTGTGCTCTTGTGCACGTGTGTTTCAAATATCAGCGCCCTGTTGGGCGGTTTAAAGGCATGCAACATGATGCCAAACCAATCAATGTGAGGGACCCTGCTTTTAGCGCAGCCTCATTTACTTTGGCCTGGTTAGGTTCAAGCATGGATTGAAGAATGGAAACAAGATTCAGATGCAGTTTGCGAGGGTCTTAGATGAGCACAAGTCAACAGCAAGGGTTGAACATTGAGAAAATGAACAATGTGTAAATGTGTTTGTTCCAGACATCGTGTTTGCTTAGCAGATGGCGGAATGTTCTATGCAAAGGCTGCAAAGGGAAGATTGCAGCTCTCCTGGCTCCTCAGAATCCAAGCTTGGCTACTTTTAGGGAAGCCTGGCAAGACTACTTTGCAGGTGGTCAAAAAGATTTAGCCTTCCATTCCTGGCGTTTTGCTGGGGGAAACAGTTTCAGCCGTTTTTTTGTGGGAAGGGGTGGCCTGTGAAGTTCTCATTGATTCAAACACCGACTGGGCGTCGTGTCGCACCTTTAAAAGCTTTAAGCCTGGCATCCATCTCCGTCCGACTTTCATCCTGCACCTGGAGCTATGCCGGGCCCCTTGTGGCCCCTGATTTGGGAGTTCCGACCGAGCCAACACGCATTGGAGAGCTGACCACTCTTGGACCCCTTGGTGAAGATTACTCTCAAAATCAGCGAGGATGCCGCCATTGGTTGCTTTCGTACAGTCCAAAATGGCACAGCAACACCCGATAAAACCCAAGAGCTATTCCAGCTAGCCGCCCTTTTAGGTATGCTTAACCACTGCTGGCTTCTTGAGAGGGGACCAGGGCTGGCTGTTTTTCTTCCACCTGTTGCAAGCAACCCTGGCCGCCAGAGTTTCCCAGACTCTCCCTGCAAAATTGCAGGCCAGATACGAGGACTTCGTGGTGCAGGAGATCCTCGCAGTGACAGGGCTGGCTTCGTTTTGCCTGAAAATGTTGTTTTCCCAAAGGGGGAAGCCCTTTTTTATTGGGAAGGGCTTGGAGCAAAGAGATTTACTCCCGGCACAGAAGAGAGGCTCCGGAATTTTGCACAGCCTCAGTGCCAGCAACACAGTTTGAGGTAAGGTGCTTGGAATGCCTTTCAAGCGTCCGTATTTTGGGCATGTGAGGCATATCAAATTGTCCCACATGTTCGTCTTTGAGCTCTTGGATTCGCGGCAGGGGTGATCACTTTTCTCGTCTCCCAAAGCACACTGACGCCTTGGGGGTGGGTACAACACTGTGGATGGATGTGCGGACAATGTCTTTGTGGTTGGTCAAGTCACTCTTGCCCATACGTTTAGCCCTTGCGTTTTTGCTCGGGCTGCTTCCTGCAGGCTGGTCAAGGAATGTCCCGTTGGATTTTGTGTTGTACTTCTATATCTCACACAGCAAGCTTTGCAAGGTATGTTTCGGCTCCCATGTTTCTGTCGGGTGGTTCAGGACTCCGTTGTGGACTGTCTCGAAAGACGGCTCAAACTCACACCACAATCAATAAGGAAGTGGTTCTTGGTGCCTATTTTCGGGGGTGTCCTAAAGGGTTCCCAACCTCCCAACCCCGACTGCTGTCAAAGGATCTGCTCCTCCGGCGAGATCGTTGAGCTGGAAGACCTTTCTCTCAGCTCGCGCTGGCACCAGCTGCATGCAAAGTCCGAGCTGGGTGGCTTCGCGCGGCTGACTCTGGCCAAGGACGGCTTGGTTTTGGATGTGTCTTTGTGGTGGTTCAGAACCGGGGGGAGCCGCAGCCAACTTGAGCTGTGGGACCCAGGAGAACCGAGATGTGGCGGATGCGTTGGCGGTGGTGGCGCAAACTTTGCAGGCGGCCCGAAGTCACGTGAGCGCCAGCCCCAAATAGGGCCGTTTGTAGTTTGTAGCGGGTCTCTATTGCCTCCTATATCAACCGTTTTGACTATTTAACCATGTCGGTAGAACCAAAAGGCAATGGTTGTTGGGCGCTGCTCAACCGTTGTTTGTCCCCATGGCTTCCAAATGTCCCCCCCTCCATGGTTTGCCATACGTTCGAAAGTCTTCGTTTGCAGTTTCCTCCGTTTCCTCCTTGTTGGGAAAGCAGGACGCTGGTGATACACAAGCGACGCTGGGTATGTTGGACAGTGGCCGAAGGAATCGAACACCCCAAGATTTTGGTGTCCTGAATCCTATTGTATGAAAGGATTTACTCTACAACAATGGAACGTCTTGGAATCAACGGGCGGTACGCTGACACCCGACTGGCCATCAATTATTCTATCCTTCCCCCTTCAAAAAAGTCCGGATTCGTATCGGCAGCGTGACCACTTGAAAAGTTGGGTTCATCGTCCAAAGTCGAGCTTTCGTTTCCCTTCGGTTGGTACTCACAGGTTCAGCGCCACTTCTTCGGCGTTCATGGCCTCAAGGACCGCCGCGGCTCTTGGGGCTGCAAAATGGGAGGGGGCCAATGGCCAAGGTGGGGCAGAATGTGTTCAACAACCATTCGTTTGAATGGAAACCACAGAAGAGTGGTTCAACAGTGGTTTAATCATGCTGAAACAATGGGCTGGCCCACCCCGATTCTTTTTGGCTTCCTGAAATGCGTCTCACCCTTTGCCCGTTTGGGTACCTCAGAAGATAGATCATTTGCCGTGTGGGTGTCATCTACAATGCATGCAACAGGTGGCAGAACCATCTCAGAGTTGGGAGCAATTGGGGGGGGGTATTGGACCGCAAAACTGGGTTGCACATGTGCATATACATGTTAAATTGGTTTGTGTATATGTCTATGTCTACATATATCTAGATTCATGTATGTATGTACAACGTGTGTATGTGCAGCGACATACTGTAGTTTCCACAAACGTATAATGGATAGGTCGCTGGAGAAATGCATGTTCATGGAGCTGTTGAAACGTCTGCATGTTCATGTACATGCCAAGAGAGCTCGACTACCAACACATGGATAAATTGTTACATATATATATATATATATATGTGCATACATGCATGTAGGTGTATGTGCATATATATATATATATATAGACATGCATACATCTATACATATTTATGCTAAACACAGATATCGTATCTTCTCCCGGCTGAGGCATCACTTATCAGCACCTAAGCCTCCCCTGGGCGCAGCTGTGTCCCCGCTCGTTGGGTCGGCCCCTTCACGACGGCGCGGTGCTGCTCGGAGACTTGGCGCGGCAGCACGCGCCCTGCCGACTCGGCGCCATTCAGGCGACGGCCCTCGGCTGGGTTCGTTGAACGGTACACTGATGCAGGGCCATGGCATGGCATTGCATGGTGCCGTGGCTCCCCTTGCTATGCCTCGAAGTCGGTGGTGGATTGGAGTGGGTGGTTCCTAAAATTGAAACTCCAAGCCAGGTTTAGTCTCCTTGAGGTTGTGCTTTCAGTTCCAAGTGAACATGTTTCGGGGCTCCCAAGATTACTTGAGATTGAAATAAACATGCTCGCCACCCTTCAAAAGCAGTTGCCTACTGTTGACGGTACTGCGAGGAAAGGCTAGGCGGGTGCGGGGGAAACCCACCAGAAACGGACAAAAGCAAATGAGTGCGTCAATGACGCCCTTGCTTGTCATGCGGTCAATTTAGGGATGCACAACTCCTTGGCGCCGTATGCCAACTTGGTATCCAATACATTCACATGAATCATTCGTGGCATCCAGTGAATGTGTCACATCCGATACAAATTGTGAGTTGCATATCAGTGTGCCGTGGGCGATTCGGCTGTGCGGCTTCTCAAACTGTTTGTGGAAGTCGGAAGCGTCCAAGGCAGACCTCCTGCCAGCACAAAAAGCTGTTGTGCGGGACAAGATTGATTTAAAGACATGAGCCTCAAATTTGTCCGAATGATGGAGCGATCGGGGTCCATATGGAAATGGCTGGATCATGGCTCTGGCTTATAGTGGGAGATATGCCAAGAGGGTTTGTGTTCTAGCGTTTGTTAGGCACCAAGCTCGATCAATACTTTGGGCGAAAAAGGGCTTCACTTTTCTCCAGGGAAACCGCTTCCAGCTGGCCCTCCGGGACGTTTCCCTCGGACCTGGAGCCGGCGACCTCCACTCCGCCGTGCGGCACGCTGCTCAAGACCTCCGCGCGGGCTTCGGGATTCTCGGATCCAACAGAACATCGACCTGAGATCTTGGCATTGGCTTTCCAGGCTTGATCGAGTTCTGATTTTGTGAAAGCTGAGTCAGGGCTCGAGCTTGGTCTTGGTTTGTTAGGTGTTCAACAGGTTGACAATTGGTTCCTGGGGCTTTCTGTGCAAAGGAACTACTTCGGCGCCCAGCGCTTCGGGATGCTCGATGGCAGAGTCTACACCCCCCTGCGGCGCCCCCGGCCCTAAAGCACCCCCCCTCTAATGGGAGTGGTTGGGGATCGGACATGGTCTTGCCGGCGTTGAAATCTCAGTTGACAGATGCGTGCGTCAAATGGCTGCATGTCAAGACAGATTTGACACCAAATGCCAGCAGTTGCATGTTGCTTTGTTTTCGGAAGCATCACTACAACTGGCCGGACTTTTGACACGCCCCAAAAGATTGGTGTCGTGTCGGTGTTCCTTGAAAGCCAACTCAAAAGAGCCTCCCAATCTTAGCATTCCGCACATCTCAGGCCGCAGCAGGCGAACCCCCAGATCGGCGCGGCCATTGTGCGTAGGGACTACCGGCGAGCCTGCCAGCTGATTGTCGCTTGACATACGGAAGGAAACCCCAAGGTGTTCAACGAACAAAAAGTCCTCCCGGGGGGGGGGGGGGCTTTGGGTGCATGCGTTTATTTTCAGAATCGACGCACGTCAAGCACCGAGAGGCACAACGTAGTCATGCCCCGCATTCAGGCGCGCACTATGCTACTCTCGTGGCCCACAATCAATGGTCAGCACGTGCCAAGGATGCCAATGTGATGCGTATTCGTGCCCGATGTTACCTCCTCCCCAGCAAAGCTTGGCATGGAGCCAAAGAAAGAGGTCCTCTATATGCATGGAGAGTTCTTTATGCACGATGGTGTTTCAGGTCCCATGCTGCAATGTATAAGTGAAGCTGAACTAAGTTCATGAGTAATACTACTGGCTAGTATATGATATGTTCGGCGGCCAGGCGTTCAGGCTTTCCGAGCACAGATGATGTCTCTCAGACAGGTGTTGTTTTAACAATGGTCCACAGATGATGCGTTCCGCGTGTTTTAAAGTTTGGGAGGCTGAGATGACACGCATTGATAACGAAAGCATGCCTGTCCTTGGACGACTTTTAGCTCAGAGAAGCACAGTGACCTAAACCCCATCAAACTTTGAGGTCCCTTTGTTTCCCTAACCAATGGTGAAACGTCCACCCTTGGTGGTGAATTTTGTCGATTTCGGAGTTCACCTGAAAGGTCGCCCAGCACGAAGGCCAACTTGGAGCACAAAAGCCACCCTGATGGAGGCCCCTAGGAGAAAACGCAAACCACACGGCCAGGCAATTCTGGCGATCTGCAACTTGACACATGAAGGTGTATTTCTTCAGCAGGTGAGTTCCTGTGATTGCACAGAGGTCTCATGAATGCCTTTCTTGGGTTCCAGATGGTTTCTCAGCCTGCTCTCAATTCAAGTTGTGGATTCTGAGGTCGCCATGTCGCAATTCCCCGACGACGTGGCGCGCCACTTTGCGGAGGAGCGCTTCGCGGCGCTCCGAGCCGCGCTGCCGCGCCGGGCCGCGGTGGAGCGGCGCCTGCTGCGGGCGCTGGAGAAGGACACGAGACACGAAAAGTCGGAAAGAAACGCGGCCCCAAAATGCCGGTTTTCCGAAAGGGAGCTCAGTTGAAAGGTGCTTTTGTTTTGGGGAAACCATGGCAAATCACCCTGGTTTTGCGGGGGTTGCCCGAGTTTGAGACAACCCGGATTCAGTAGCCCCTGGTTGGTAGTTTAGGGGGGAGCGACGATCATGGTCCTAATTCAATCCTTGTCAGCAGGGTAAGTACCCTCAAAAACACCGTGCTTTGGGATCAAAGCGTGCTCGGCGAAGGTGGGGGCGGCTTTCGCCCCGACTAGGTGTTTGCAGGGTGGGACGCTCGCTAGAACCAAGCTATTTCGCCCTGTAATGTGCTGCTCGTATGTCTCAAATCTGGCTTGCACACACCTGGCATGCGAAATCCCAAGACCGTTCGAACCCGTAGAAGACATGGAGAAAGATACAGGCAACCGCATTTGCGAAAAGGTGAAGCAGGTCAGTCAGATGAACAGGCGGCAGGCCCGGAAAAGTCGAGAAAGCCACTCGCCTCAGTTCAATGGCAACGGGGCGGTTTGGGGGAAAGGTGCGCTTGGTTCTAGACAGGCCTTTTTTTCCCGCAGTGTATACTTTTGAATTAGAATCCAACACATGCAGTTGATACTTTTGCAGTTTATACTTTTGCTTTTTGGTTCCCGCAGTTATTTAAATCCAAAACATCCAACATCCATCCTGCCTCTTCCCTCGAGTCTCCAACAGGATCCGACCAACTTCGAGGCAGCGCTGCTCGCGCTACCACGGCAGATGCGGCTGCTCTTCCTGAGGCGAGTTCCTGGGGGGGTTCGGGGCGAATGTGGGCATCCTGAAAAAGACACCCCTAGGAATTAACCCCCATCAGCAGAATGGTTGACACAATTTGGATGATGAGTGTGGTTAATCATGTGACCCCCATTGTTTTCTGAGAGTGGTGGTTTTAATCCCAGGGATAGATTTCGGACATGTCGAATAGCATGTGTGCTCGGTACAGAGGATCCCTTTGTGATCTAGTGATCTTGGAAGGTTGTGGAGAGGCCGGACAGCCATGCGAGAGCCTATCGGACGCATTTGATGGCACTGGGGCCAACCATATAGCAAAACCCATTTGTGAAATCCGGTCTAGGCTCCAGCGGTGAGATGTTGGAATCTTCACCAGCTTTGGTCCCACCACACAGGGCCCGTTGCCCCTGGCTGTATAAGTTGTCGCGGGTGGTTGCCAAGCAGGTCAGTGACGGGAATGCTGCAGTGGCGCAAGTGCAAATCGGCCGAAGCCGCGTCAGTGTCTCCTTTCGAAAAGTAAAACGAACTGTTAGTGATGCACAACACCCTGGTACTTAAATGCCGGTACCCAATGGAGCTATCAAATGCAAGTGAAGGGAGCATCAGTGTACAGTCTCCTGACTGCCAACAAGTTCAGAAGCCTATGCTTTGCATTTTAGTCAAAACACGGCAATGCAATTCGAACTTGGCAAGATGTCCAACGTTTATGGTCAAAATAATTAAAGCAATGACAGAAGGTTACACGGGGTTTGATCCATGTCGCAAATGCGTTCATCCTGTTTTCGGTTGCAGTTGCAAACAAGCGTTTGGAACAATTGTGGCCACCACGTGAAAGAGCGCCCAACCTGAAACCAAGACGAGTCCCAAAAGGAATCAGCCGAAACCTATTTGGAACACGCCGCGCGACTGCGCACGCGGTTTAAATCTGCAGGTGGCAAATATCAAGACCAGGGGCGCAAACCAGATCCAGATCGTGTCATTTTGCTTACCTACAGTAAAGCTGTTCGCAAGAGACTTCCCCAGTTGTCACATCCCCCTATGAGTGCCTATGAGTGCCTATGAGTGCCTATGAGACTTGGTGGCTTGATGGGAAGCATAGGCAAAGATTGCAGAAGTGTTGTCCAAACATGTCTCGACCATGCGGCACCAAACGTCGTCCATTCCGCTGGGACTCCTCGGTGAGGTCGCTTTCATCTCTGATTTGGAACCGCGTGGTGTCCTGGCGCTTCGAGCGCTTCGGGCTGGAGGTGCTGCCAGGAGCGCTCCGGGCTGCAGAGCGAACGGGCGGACGGCTGGGATGTGAAAAATCGGGCACGCGGAAATATGGTTGGTGGACATGAATCATGCAAATGATGTGCAAGAAATACTCTAATGGTCCAGCTGGTGGCTGAAAAGTGGGACCTACAGGTTGACCAACTGCTTTAGTGGCTTCGGAGGACCCAGCAGCAGGGCACGATCCAGGGGACAATTTGGAGGCTGTAGGATGAAGCGTGTTGCCCTGCAGGTTCCGCCTTTTTGTTCTGGTGTGAACGCAGGGTTGTTTTTAAGATGAAAGCGAAACAGGAATATTGTGCTTTTGAGCAAGTACTCTTAAATGAAACAGCAACATTGAGTAAGGAGGGTCTTCATAGAGGGAGGATGATCATGTCTGAACCAGTCACGCCGAACCATATCCCCAAAAGGTGCGAGTCCTTGGCTTGCCAAGCATCTTGGCACACAGAAGCTACAGAACTTGATGTTTCCACATCATTGTCATGTATTGACAAAGGGCTTGATTGACAGCTGTCATGTGGTCTGACTGACAAAGGCCTTGATAATTTGTTTGCCCAGTGCTGTTGATTGGTGTGGCGGTTTCTCAGGGTGTGTCAAATCAGCATGTCTATCCACAAGCCCGTCTAGCATCAACGTTTCTGTGTGGCCGGAGCCAAGCTTGGAAATCATTCCATGCTGCATGTGCATAGTGCAAGGGGTCAATGGGTTCACATGGATTTCTTACCTAGCCTTTCAGGGTCAAACTTGCTGCTGCATAAATATATCCTCGCAAGCAGCTCGACTGTTTGGTATTGTTTGTTCCGTTGAGCCATGCTAAGGAGTATTCGATTTAGGGCCGGTCTTACGTCGTGAGTCGGCTGGACATTCGGATGCTTCCAGGAACTTGCACCTCTTCTGCCAGCATTTGCCAATTGTCGATTTGGGCATTGCCAGTCTCCACTGTCGTTGCTTTCATGTTGTCATATTTGCGCAAAGCCGACTTTGGTGCGAGAGAGATCCAAAGGATGATCCTGTTCTGGTGATTTGGAGTCCCAGCACAAGGTTTAATGCGTACTTGTATGAGGGAATCCTCGTCCCGTTGCGCTACAGACCTGGTAGCCAGCACCTTGCTGATATAGGCTTCTCTTGCGCTACGGTTGGAATCAATCCCTAACTTTTGGAGGACACCATTGGTCAGCTGGGATTCTCCTTCTAGTGTATTCTTGGTCAAGAGGCAGTTGGAATGAAAGCGAATACCCAGAGAGCACCCAGCCGGCAATGCTCAACGGAAGCGGGCTTGCTGGCTTCACAGGTCCTTTTCATCCGCTCAGGATCTGGTGCTCGAGGCAAGGCTTCCTCGGTTTCGAAGCACTGCAAGCATGGAGTTGGAAATAACACCACGTTGTGATTATTATGTCATGTATCTATATATATATATATACTGTATACATAGATGTTCCCTGATGTCGCAGCAAGGTCAGTGCACTCCTCCCCAACAATGTTTATGTCACTCAGGCAAAGGTTTCCAGCCGGAGATGCCTCTACAAGTCTGCAGGCGTGTCGATTCAAGCGATTCGAACCTCCGCAAGGCATATTTTGCAGTTGATGAATGACTCAAACAAGTTTACTCCCTTGGCTTAACAAAGAACATCAATAAAGCAATTAAATAAACTGCACACAGGAAACCATTGTAGAATAAAAGAGTGAACACAGCTGAACCGAAGAAACGAAATGCAAGACTGCCTTCTAGTGACCCGCCCGGCCAGGGCAATGGTTTGAAAAGCCGCCCCAACGAGTCGGAGATGTCGGAGCTGTCGGAGGTGGTGCTCCCTTTGCCGGGCAGCAAGGTGGAAGTGACTCACATGCGACAGCTCTATGAAGAGGCGATTCGATGGGCCCTGTCGGCTTCAGCTCGGGAGCTTCTCTGTGGAAGCTCATGGCTGGTGTCTCTTTGGTTTCCTTTTTAAAAGAAGCCCAAAAAGGCTTCCCTAAAACAAGACGTACCAAATGGAGAGCAGGGCTGCTAGCACTACCTCTCGCTTATCCCGGGCCGGGAATCGCAATGTTCTACCTATCATTGAAGCGACTTGGAACCAGGAATTTCAAATCATCACACATGGAGGCAATCTGCCAGTCCCGACTTGTAACGATTAGGGCTCAGCCGCGGCGGCGATCCTCCGCAAGGTTGCATAGCTTACTTTTGCTTTTGACCAACATGTTTTCCCGCTCTGAAAACAACAACTAGGACCAGCAAAACTTGAACCTGCACCCTCCCGCAATGAATAATGAAGTGACATCTTGGGCAATGTTCTCTAACACACGTCAAATAAGTTCGGAACCTGGACACTTTACAGCCTCGGAAAGGGTGCCTGCACGCAACCGCACTCGCACTTGCACTTGCACTTGCACTTGCACACACACACACACACACACACACACACACACACACACACACACACACACGCTCACACGCTCACACGCTCACACGCTCGCACGCTCACACAGACTCTCTCCCTCTCACCGGAATAGATGGGTTTATGACAGCCAACTCTTTCTTTTCTTGGGGCCTCAGGCACCGTCTGCACCACACATGTCAACTTCACAATTCGCACAATTAGGATTGCCAGAGCTCTTGCTCGCAGCACTTTGATGGAGCATTCAGCTTGCCTGGCAGGTGCTGTTTGCAACAAGTTGGGAATTCAAGCACATGTGGGACATGTCCCATGTCCCAGTGCAGGCTGTCGCTTTCCAACTGAGCCCTGTTTTTTTTAGGAACTCAATGCTTCCTTTCCATCGGAACGGAGCTTGTGATCCCATCCCATCCGGGGCTGTCTAGCAACTAGCGCATGTACATTCCTGTCCCTTATCATTCAAATAGGTCCGTGGTAGGAACATAGTTTTCGTCAACATGTGCTCGTATTCTGTGTATCACTCCACTATTCAACCGCGAACCGATGGACTTCAACTAAATCAATACATATTATGAGTGTGTGTGTATATATATATATATATGTATTATGATATAGCTTTTAGTTGTCAACCCTTTTTCCTTCTGACCTTTCCACGTCACTCGTCAGGCCTGCGCCTTGCTGGGCCTCAGCCTGGCAGACTTAGAGCACGGCGTGGACCCGCGGCTCGGGCGCCTGGAGGGCGGCTGGCGGCAGCTGGTGGCCACCCCCCGCGCGGTGGACGCGCGGCTGGTGCCGTACAGGGCACGGCCGGTGAAGTCGAGTTGGGCCGTTGGACCGAATTTCTTGGGGTTTCAGAGGTTTCAATGTATGTTGTTTGTGTATATATATATATATATATGTGTATATATATATGCATATTTATATATATGTGTATATATATATATATATGTATATATATATATATTGCGGGGAGGGGGGGGGAGGGGGGGTAAGACTCAGAGATTTGCGAGATTGAAGATTGACGAAATTGTGAGATTGGAAAGCGAGAGGTGCCACACCGGAAGCAGTCTCAAAGAGCGCCCCTCTCGGTTTGGAATAGCCCGCTCGTCTTTTTAGAACACCGGTTGCCCATGTCATGCTGGCTATCTTGGTGGAACTCCGGAATTGTGTGCGTCAGCTTTCCAAAACGAACCCAAGTTGAAAACGCAGGCCTGAACGCAACTTCGATAATGTGCACAGGGGGGTGGTGGAGGATTGTTTGAAGTCGAAAGAAAAGACAATGTTCCCGAGGAGATGGCAAAAAATAGTGGCTGGTTTCTGCTCCCCACCTTGTTTGTTCTTGCCCAAGCGCAACTGACTCTAAGGGAGCAAAGGAGAGCAAATAGACCCAAAGAAGCGCTTGGAGGACACTGGCACCCTTCATGAATTACTCCATCTACCAAAGCTCGATAAGCCTGTGCTTTCCACACCAAAGTTAACAAAGTGGCCAGCCACCCCGAGTCCTAGGATGTCTGCTCCAATGATTTGCATACCATGAAGCGCTGGGTTGGTTGAGCGCAGGCGTGCTTCTAGTTGTTTGCATGATGTTCATCAATCAATTGGGCTAGACTCCCATTGTCCACGAGTGAATTCGCCCTTTCTCTTGCATCCTCAAACGTGATGGCAGCATGGCTTGCTTGAAATGCACCAGCAACTTGCATGAACATCCCAGACTAGGTTTACAACCTCCTTCGCCAGGAACCCTGCGAGCGCTTCTTCGTTTCTGCCATGGACACTGTGAAAGGGCGGCAGGCAGGGTTGGGCAAAGTGGGTTTAGCGACCAGACCATGTATGGAATCCTAAAGGACATGCAAACAACAGTACTGTATACAAGTTGTATACATGTTTGAGCAGGTGTGTTTGGCTCAACTCTGGTGACAGGTGCCACCCGTGGAGGTGCCCTGCCCTTCGTTGGATCAGCGCTGGGCGGTGATTGTGGAATTGGAGCTGGCGTCGAGTCAGTATGCGACTGTGGCGATGCGCGAGTTCATGCAAGGCCCGCCTCAGAATGACCTGAGTGAGGCCCGCACCGAACGACCGAATGGCGCAGCTTCGGAGAAACAGGAGCTGCACAGAGACTGATTTGGGTACTTCTCAGAATGGGGAACACCAAGATAGGTTGTTGCTTTTGGTTTCCCTTTAAGGCTATTCACAAAAGGCTTTTAAGACCATTCACAAAAACAGCCCCCTACTTTGAGAACACCTGATTCGACAGGCGCGATGATGAGGCTGAATGGATTTGCGGGGGCGCTGATGCAAGTCGATCGTTGAGCTGGATTCATTGTCCTCATTGAATTTGTTCAAAGGCAAGCCTCCCAAGGAGATGGGTGTTGTCTCGACCCAATTGGTGGCGAATTGGAAGGTCCATCATTTTCGCAACCGCCCGGCAAGGAGAGGGCAGATGGGCAGCCTTGTCAAAACCAGTTAGACCCTAGTGGTGGGTCGTCAAAAATGGGGGGGGGGGGGGGGTGGGACTCTGGTGTCATTTTGTGCCGCTGTTCAGGGGTTCCAAACGTGGACACAGGGATCGGTTGGTGGCCGGAGAGGCGGCGCCTGGATCTTCAAGCCCGGGCGCGCGGGTGGCGGCCGTGGCGTGCAGGCAATTGACGTCTTTCGAAATGAAACGATAGGATCCCAACTGGTTTCGATGCAACTTGTTTTCCAAAGTTTCATGAAAGAAGGGTGTCCCTGGATCCAGAAGATGATAGGAAGTCTTCTCACCGCAAACCCGCTGAAGCAGAGCTTTGTGCACTTTCGATGTGGGGTTCGATTGTCATTTTCATTGACCCGCCAATTGATGATGCTTTGACAAAGCATCCTACACCGCAAGACTTTGGAAAGTTCGGAACATCTTGCCAGCCACTGACAGTCACGTTTGTTACAAAACATAAATGACCTGGGAAGCAACTCAAACTTGGAAGTAGCAACTTCAGGCAGATGTCGCCTTCGAGTTTTTGCTCTGAAAGGCTCAAATGGCAGTGTTAAAGTGCCAGAGCTCCTTTCACAGAGGATCATCCCAGCAAGCGACACCGGCGGAAAATTCAGTGCCAGCGGACAGATCAACCATTGGATGGCATGCATACGTCTTGGCCTTCCGTGACATGCTGCAGTCTTCCAAGACCTGCAATTCACTTGGTTGCGGAGTGGAATGCCAGACGAAATGCCGCGCCCTGCATTTTCCTGAGCACTCAATGCGATGAGATACACGTGCGTCAGCAACGTGCGAACACGATTTCGCCTTGCCAGCTTTGCAGGAAAGACAACTGTCGAAGAGTCCCTGATGCCCTGATGAAGAAGCCTCCAGTTGAAGCCCCGAAGGTCCACTAAAGCAAGCACCACAACATGACATTTGTGGCCCCTCCTCCCCTAATACAATGTTGAGCTTCCAATACATTGGGCCTCGGAACAGGGGTTACGCGCTTGGCTTCAACATCGCAATTTGAGGAAGCCATGTCATCCAATTAGGTGGCACTTGCAATCTTTGGGCCTTCCGCAGTCTCATACGGTCCAGGGGGAAATTCGGGAGATGTTGGAAGGGTCCCAGTTGTTGCCGGCCTGCCCACCTAGCGAAGGTCATTCAGTGCGACAGCGAAAATCAGATCCACGACGCGTGGCAGCTGTTGCAGAGGCAGAAGACGCCATCGGTGATCAGCCAATATGTGCCTGGGCCAAAATTCATTCTGAGTAATTGGAGATTGGCGCGGGGGCACATGCGTCAGAGGAGGCAACAGCTAGTGTGATCCGCGACTAACTGTGGTGTGGGTCCATCCTTCCCCAACGGGACTACATGTACTCTTCGCCTATGTGGAAGGCCGACTGTAAGCATGGTTGCCTGCAAACAAATCACAAGCATGCAGTCCCAGAAGAACTCGTTTTGGTGGCAGATCTGGGCATGAATGAGTAGGCCAGATGGCAGCGCATGATGGAGTTGATCACAGATCATGTGGGCTCCCCAGTTGGCCCATGTGTGCAGAATTGCTCATGTTGGACAGTGATTGGACAGGAGCCTTGAACAGCATGAGCAGCTGACTATCCACTTGAGGTGCTCAATCACATGACTTTGCATGAGCTGGAAGCAAGATTTGTTGCTTGGGCTTGAGTGTCACTCTTGTCAAAGAAACTTCAGGATGCTTTGCTCATATGGGACAAGACAGCGGCACAGAAGAAGCAGCCTGAGCTGAGGTTGACAATCCATTGCTGGTTGATGGAAGGAAGGTGGATCTGCGGTTGTACGTGCTTCTTGCCAGACTAGTAGCCTAGCTTAGGGATTCAGAATACATGAATGGCATTTTGACAAACCCCTGCCTTGCATTTTCCAAGTGCATCAAGAGGATTGTTACTTGGCATGGCAACCGTGCATTTGTTGATGTTGATTGCTTGCTTGTCGATACATGCGTTGCTTGGCATTCCGGAGTATTTCAATACTGAGGCTGGTGACTTCCTTCGGGGAGTCCGCAGAGGAGATGGACCCCAGTTGTGCATGTGTTTGCATCGGCTGCCTGCCCTTGCATGCAATGTGGTTCGTTGCGAGTACGCGCCTGGGTCTATTTGGATGTATAGGGCTGTTGAAAATGGTATTGTCAGCTATCATGTTCAAGCACTTTGAACCTACAAAGCTTCGAAAGAAACCACGACCATCCTGCAAGGAGCTTTTGTGCTAAATGCCGCGTATTCGAGTGGGATGTGGAAGAGTTGCTGCATTCTCACAGGACCGTGAGTCTTCGTCTGGGATGAAGGTACAGCTGGCACCTTGATGCCGGAATTGTTTATGTTTCCATCATATGAACATAGCATGATGAGTTTCCAACTCAACGGGAAACTGGCCGGAAAATGAGAATCAAAAAACATGTTTCTCAAGTCAAGGATCCCCTAACATGGTTTTTTCCCCTTTGGCGTCCCTTTGAATGCCAACCAAAAGGGGGTCCACCATTTTGAGACACAGCCAAAGAGCAAATCCCCGGCCAGGCCTACCTCTTCTCCGAGGGCTTGGTGCGCTTCTGCAGCGAGGCCTTCACCATGTCGCCGGCCAAGCTCACGGATCCATGCGTGCACCTCACCAACAACGAGGCAAGGGCGTCCGGGGAAACAGCTCCAGGGAGACTCCCTGACAAGGTGGAAAATCGGTGTGGTGTCCTTTCCTGAAAAGCCAGGGACCAAATTTGAATTATGCCATCTTTAGCAAATGGAAACTAAATACTGAGTTGGACGTTTTATGTCTTAGCTTCCTTGTTCGTGGGGAGTGTGTCGTGTCAGAAGTAGGTGTCCGGTCCCATGCGAAGCAGGGCTTGCGAATTCTGTTTTTGTGTGGTTTATCTGCAGCTTGCTTGTCGTTCCTGGGTTTTACTCTACCTCCTGTTGTGTTACCTTCATTTCGGTCTATCTCGAAATGCTTGACCAACTGTCGTCCTTTTGGTTTCCCTTTTAAACCATCTCAAGAAAAGATACACTGACAAAAAGGCACACCCATGTCGATGTTGTTCTTCCTGGTTCTCTCCTTTTAGTTGTTCACCTCATTTGTTTTTTCTGCAGCTGACGCTGCTTTGATCTGTAGAATGTTTTGCAGCCGGAGTGTCGTCTCATTTCCAGTTCAAACAGCACCTTTCAGGCAGGCGTTGTACGAGTTTCCCGTTGCGGAGGAAGTTTGCTAACAGTGGCGGTCCAGTTGGCTCGGTTAAGCCATTTGGCCCAGCTCAACTGGTTTTAGCTGGTGCAACATTTAATTGGTCAACAAATCTGCCAGATGAATCAAAGCCTCCTGTTGGAAAACCTGATGCTTGGGTCTTTGCGTTGAAACCTGGTCGTGACAGCACTAGCCCGAGGATGTGTTATTCTTCAAGCTTTTGAGGGACCTTTGGGACGACTACTCTGAAAGGTTCTTGAAGGCATTTGATTCACACTTATCGCAGTTGGATGTAGCTCGGAGACAGCATCCGCAGGTGAACGCGCTTCTCGGCCATGCAAAAAGCGGTGCGCTGACTGTCACGCTTGGGGGGGGGGGGGGGGGCGCAAGAGCGTGGCCGGGAAAAAGGGGAAGAAGCCGAGATGTGTTTGATCTTCTCTCTAAATTCTGTAGATGTCACACTCAGAAACAGCTTGTAGATTCAAAATGATTTGCTTCCCCCAAGGCCCAAAGTGGGATCAAAATTCGACTCTAGATGTTGTACAAGTCAGAGACCAAGGATCCCAAAACGAGTTCCGCGTCTCCGAAACCGAGGCGGAACCTCCAGGGCAAAACGGCGCTGGACTGCGGCAACTGGCGTCTCTCGGAGCTGCGGGCCTGGCTGCGACAGCGCAGCTCGGGCGCAGGCCCCTCGTTTGGGGTCCAGTGAACCAGCTCATCGACCTACTCGACGGAAAAACCCGGGTCCCTGAGAGGCAACAAGATTTCACGAGAAAGTTATGGCATTGTCCATTTGGAGGGCAAAAAATGTTTGAGGAGGGAACCTTTCACGTATTCCATGCCGTTCTTGGAGGAAACCCTCCTGCCGATTTACCTGGAAGCCAAAGCCCATCATGCCTAGAGGAGGCGAGTAAGGTACCTTGGTAAGGCCCTGAGACTTACAAATTACCAGATGGGGTATGCATGGTGAAAGCGTCATGTGTCCTTGTCTCAATGGCCACAGGCCAAGCGAGCCATAGCCAGCGGAAGGTGTTAGTGCCGGCCGCCAAGCGGTTTCCTTTTAGTTGCAAGAAGATTGTTTGGTTGAATAGATGGAGTCGATGGCTCCTGGCGTTCATGTAGACATGTTTGTCACGTCAACCAAGGCAAAAAGAGCGGCGAGGCCAGCAGTGGGGACTGAAGCCGAGGAAAGTTGGCGTTGAGGATAGTAGATGGATGGCGACAGTCCATGTGATATGGGACTGCCGCCTTTCTGCTTTGCAGTTTGCCCATGGGTCCGGGACATGATCAGATGCCACTGGGCTTTTTGAGTATTCGCAAATCTTAGGTGGGAGTCTCGTTTAATTGGCGGGTGCTGATGGAAAAGGGCACCATTAAGGGAGGATGGTGAACTTCCATGGCATTGTGGGTTCCAAAGGGTGGTTCTGCATGAACCAGATTTGAGCCAATCGCCACAGCATTAATCAGATTCTGTGTTGGCCTGAAGATGTTCAAATTGTCCCAACACATTGCTTTCCACAAGAAGTATGTTGCACCAAGCAAGTGCGCACAAGGCAGCAAACAGCATCATCGCATACAGATTGCCTGGGTCTGAACACTTGGTCAGATGGAACGATTGTCAGAACCACATAACTAGCTTTGTCATGGGGGAGGATCATCTCAACAATTGGCATAGCATGGTAGTGTGACTTTGTACGTATGTGCAGCATGACCCATCCCGTCGTTTTTTGCATGCTCCAACCTGCTGAGAGGCGCCACGCGCAAGGGAGCACTTTCTTTTTTGGTTCAGTGTATCGAGCCACTGGTGTTCCCGCCAGGCAGTAAAAGGTAGATCCTGTTTATGCCGTGGGATTCTGAGTCACACGGATCTCTGCAGTTTTGCTGATCCTGCGGGAGGTTGTCAAGCAAATACCGACCCTGTTTGAGAATTTGGGTCTCATGTTGGCCAGGCCTGAGAGGGGGCTCAACAAGGGGCCGCTGAATCTAGCAAGCCTCCCATGACTTGCGTGAAATTTGTCTCAAGCCTTCCAGGCAGAGCTCTGGTCCCATTTGAAGGCGTTGGCGTGGGAAGTGCTGGACGCGGCCAGGCGGGACATGTTGCTGTCGGATGTGGTGCCGTGCACAGCAGAAAGGCTTACAGCGCCAATAACACCCTGTGACGCCTCCACCACTTCACTGCCTTTTGTCCAAGAACTCAAAGGTTCAAGCTTTGGTTCTTGTCTTTAGCCGTGACTGGGACGGTCAAAGTATAAAACCCTATGAGAACCGTTCGGGTTCAAACTGTAGCCTAATCGATCATTCCCAATTGCTGGCGCGGGCACAAGCGCCAGGCCAATGTCCAAATGGGATGATGCTTTGACGAGAAACTCTTCGCAGGGGCATTTTGGGCATTTGGACCATTCAAACCTTATGCCGATCACAAGGGCAGATTTGGCAAGTTGGACGGGGAGCAGTCTGATAAGAATGGTTCCTTGGTCGGGCTGATGTTAAGGTCAGTCAAAACGGGTTTCCGTTGGCTATCACTCAGGCCGAGAATGAAGTTTGCGGCCAGTCAGACCCTCCCAAGCTTGTGAGACACGTTTTTGAATCCACTCCCATTTGAGGCCATCAGATTTGCCATTTCAACCTCTACTGCCACTCTTTTGGGCCCCCAGTCGCTCGGTTGCATCTGCAATGTTGCGATGGAAAGGAGCTGCAAAACAAATGGCAGCGCCAGTTCCCCCCATAGCAAATCATGCCAAACCTCTTTCCTGTGCCCTGTCGCAGGCCGGTCATCGCCCAGGAAGTAGGGCGGCTACCGGAAGGTTCCCGCGACCGATGCTTTGAGCTTCTCAGCAAGATCTTTGGATCTTGGCCCACAGAGGGTCGCTAGAAGGGGCTTACTTGCATAAAGCTCTTCCCCAACCAAAGGAAAGCAAGCTTTGGAGTTGGTCTGCGCATCCTAAACAATGCCCCACTGTTCACAATCCAGGTGGGCCGAAAGTATGATGTTAATTGGGCGTTCTCGTTCAGCACCTAGGACACCAGCAGGGCGCGCATCCTTTAAATACCTTTCTACGCGTCACTGCGCGCAATCTCGTCGCATCTCTTTGAGCAGTTGGCTGAACAATTAGCAATATGTTGTTGCCTCTCCTGCAATCGCCCAAGACGATCCCAACAGGCAACATTCTGCATTCGCCGCTGCGTCACCAAGGGTTGTAAGGATCCCTGTTGAGGAAGCCAGAAGCATGTCCCACAGGTGGCGGAGGATTCACCTTGGCAAACAACAGGAAACAAGTCGGCCAAGCTTGGAAGCGTTGATGTGGGCAAGATAAACAGCAAAAAGGAAGTGCAAACGACATCAAACACACACACACACACACACACATGATGAAGTTTCCAGGAACGTGTCGAAACATGGGAGCCATGTTTTATTGGGCGGGTTTGCAAATCAGGCGGAAGGGCAGCCCACCACCATGTGAGGCATTGAATCCACCACTGAGGCTTTTCGGATTTGACGTGCTCTTGGACGCGCCTTGGCTTGGAATGCCCGATGGCCAAGTGGCCAAGAAGAGATGCAACAATCGGATGGCAATGACGATAGGCTGACCTGTGTCCAAAAGCTTTCAGTGTTGATATCCAGGAGGCTCGGAGGTTGGCATCTACGCCATAGGAATGCCGTTATTTTTCCTGGCCGGTGCGGACAGAAGCAAAATAATTGTTCTGGGAGAGCTGTCTTGAGCCCACAGCTGGCATGTTATGTGTTTACCTTTCTTTTTGTTGGTGTGTGTTTTCCATGGCCTCCGTTTGCTTAAGCCCTTTGGAAAACAAAAGTATGTGCAATACTGACAGGTTCCCTTTAAAACCAACCAAGGAAATAACACATATTCTTTGCAAATGGAAGACGGGACACACCCACATGATTCACGCTTGGCTTCCCCAAATATACTTGATGGCTGTCCTGACTGGAGCGGTGTCAAGCAGGACACGGGCCGAAGGCCGACCCACCTAAAGTTCAGCTGTTCTTCTTTACACAGGAGCACTATTTCTTGAGCCAGTTGCACCTTGCTGGGCAGATGCTTAAAGTGAAAAGTCTGGGGAGGGTCCCTAGGTCCCTAGCTTTGCTGGGTGTGTATCATAAACCTTTTTCCTTTTGGCTTGGGGACAGCAAAATGAAGGGCTCCCCAATTTCGAGCCCACCCTGGGCATCCCGTCCGCGAGGCAGATCTGCGGCCATGGCTCTGCGAGGTGAACAGCCAGCCCTCGCTGGGCGTGGGCGGCAAAGTGGACCTCGCGGCCGGAGGGCCGGAGGGGAAAGGGTAGCTTTGCATGCATTAGTGCCCTTTTAGGTTAGTTTAGCTAGAAATAGATGGCACTGGTTCAGATGAGTTTTATTCCATTTACCAGGGCCATCCATTTGTCCAAAAGGCCACCTATGTTTGCATGGCGAGAACACAATTTCTCTCATGGTATGATAATATGGAAAGCTGCCAAGCGTGGTTGACGGGCCCCGCGCGGAAAGGGCCCCACTTGCATAGTCCTTTCTGGTCTCGGGTTTATTGAAAGCGGATTCCACTGGTTTCAGCTAGGTTATGAGCATTTACCGATGCCACCTGCTTAGCTTGTCCAACAAAGGACACCCTGTGTCGGTTTTGTGCCCTGATGGCATCCTGTTTTCCACTTCTCATGGAAGTGGACTGGCCTTGACTTGAGGTGGAGGTCCTGTTTGCTTGTAGTGTGTTGAAGGCTTCAGTGTGACAGAACAGCCAAACTTGTCGAGGCTTGGGACCCCACAACGTCTCTCCACACAGGCCCCTAGAGTGCATGAGTTCATGCCCTACAGTTTTCATTGCTCCAAAATAGCCAATGCCCCTCAATCACAGGCTGCCAGATGTGGCATGATCAAAACACCTGTGTACTTGAGATTGGTATGGTTGCTCATCAAACCCCTAGTACAGATTTTAAATTGCCAATGTAAGGGCTCATGTTCAGGGAACCAGGATGATCAGCCTATGAGGAGTTATTTGACCATGGCAAAGACAACAACAAAGATCGAAACATACAACTCGTTTGATATGACAAGCGGTAATTGTATTCATGTGAGGTCCGAACCTGATTGAAGCCATCTGGTATATATAGTATAGTGTATAGCAGTGTATAGTATCGTACAGTATCGTACTGTATAGCATGGTGCGGTGTAGTGTATAGTTTAGTGTAGAGTATAACGCACAGTATAGCAAGTGAAGTATGTTATAGTATAGCATGGTATAGCATAGTATAGTATAGTATAGCAAATGATAGTATAGTATAGTACAATTACATGGTTGTTGCCCTTCCCGATTAATATCCATCCACGATACAAGTCTTCAGGATTCCTTAGAGTTGATTGGTGTGACAAGGATTGATGCCTGAGGGCCTTCCCGTCGCCTGCCTAACGGAGCGTGTCATGGGTGTGTTTCAAAGGGGAGCTCACAAACTGGTTTCCCTTTCTTTCCCTTGAAACCAAGCCAAACAATACCCTCAAGTGAAGATGAACTCCATGAAGCTGCCGGCAGGTGGATCGCGCGATGCTTTCGTCCCTTTTTCAACTGGTGCGATCCAGCGCTGTGCCTCGGCAGGTTTGGACTCGGATTCGTCAAACGGGCATCAAAATGACCTGCACTTGAGAGGTGCCTTGAAAACTCCGTGGGTATGCCCCTTAGCATTGACAATTTTGGTGTGATGCTTTCTGTTTTGAACGGAATATCAGGTTGGGGCCTGTGAGTTGGTTCATGGAGCTAAATTCCCCTGCGTGGTCCACGTCGGCGCTCGTTTTGACTTGGAGTCCTTGGTGTGCTGAGTACATGATCGCCTTCTTGCAGGGCACGTAGCTTGGTGAGTTGGCTACAGGCAGATGCCAATGGTGGTGGCGTACTGTTTCATCAGACGCCTCAACCCGTACTGTTTCATCAGACGCCTCAACCCAAGTGGCCGGCCCTAAATCAATTTGGAGCCTTCAGCCAGTTTGTGCCCCTGGTAGGCCACGCATTCGTCACGGGAGATTATACCAAAAAGATGCTTGAAGACCGTAAGCCCCCCACCAACAGACAACCCTTCCCCTCTACCAGCATTGCATAAGTGTCGAAAGTTCTGGTGCCATGTGTGGTGGACTACTGCAAGTTTGTTTCATGGTTCACTGCATTATCGCAAAAAAACATCCACATATCAAGAAAAGGTCAAGCCAGTAGCATTTGATCTAGCGTTCTACAGTTTGAACAGTGTCCAAAGCTCTTCCCTTTTAGAAGTCTCTAGGAATCCGTTGGGCCAGCTAACATGCTTCACTTTGCAGCAGAAAATGGGGTAGGACATTCACTTTGCACAATGGATATCCACGCCCCTGATGCGAGATAGTTCCTCCCGACGTTGCCTTGTGGTTTCCTGTGAACGCCACCGCAAGAAAAGGACCTCCAAGTCCAACTGTCCAACTCCCTACAGCTCAAGGCTCCTTTCGCCCATTTACTAGGTGCCTGGACTTGCCGAGGGAGGACACTTCGAAGAGCTGGCGAGTGCCCTCCGATCGACTTTGGTTTGTTCTCTGTGGGGGGAAATGCCCCCCCTCAAGAATCCGAATGTAGTGGTATGCAACCATATTCTCTACTGACACCAGGAGGTCATGTCAGCAAGGGCGAAGTGGAGGCTAGAGATTACCCATGGAGGTTTGATGTGTTGGACCACGTAGATGTTGGATTTAGGTTCTGATTACGACTCACGTGACCTCGCAGTGGTTTGTCTCTATCCGTTTGAATTTGGGCAAGGCAGCAAGTGAATGTGGGGCTGTTGTACTTGAGTCGCTATTGAGGCCGCGTTTCTTGTCTTGATGGAGTGGAGGTTGTGAGTCTGTTGTGGTGTGGGCCCAAGCGAGAGAACAAATTCGCTTGACATTCCACAACGCGAAACCATCTGAGCTACTTGGCAGAGCGCGTATTCCAAAGATGGGGAGGAACGCAAACAGCTAGTGCGAGTGATTGGTGTTTGCCCGTCTCAGGAGTGGACAGTTCATCGGCATCTCAATCAAGAGCAGCCGGGAGTCATTCTAACAAAAAGCTCCATCTTAGCAACTCCATTTTTTCATCTTGAATCAGGCATCAAAAGAATGAGATAGACGCCCATGAGAATTGTTGGCAAATTATGTTCACGTCATCCCAATGTTGCATCCCGAAGCCAGCGAGCCGTCTTGAACCCAAAGCCCACTTGGAGTTGGGTGAGGTACTTCTTCAGCTGACGCAAAGCAACCCCATTGCCGGGCCGAGGAAAGCGCGGAAAAAGGGCTGGAGTGGTGCTGCGGCATTTGGATTTGAGTGCCTCAAACATGTTGTATGGTTTGCCAGCAGCTGTGTGCCATTAATTGAACAAGCTTGCCATGATTGATGACGAATCGACCAGCTTTTGGTAAGCGATTCCGAAGAAAATCGTGAGCTTTGCTCCCATCCGTTTGCTTCTGCAGTGCAAACGTGGCCCAAGATGTGTTTCTGATTTCGGTCATGGCCACTCCGGGCCATTTGTCCATGAGGCCACAGGCGCGCCTGGCGCGCCCGTTCCTCGAGGTCCGCCCCGAAGCGCGCCCGCGGGTGGCTCAGCCAGGTTTTGGTGCCCTGGGCGCCCTGGGCGACGAGCGGAGCGAGCGGAGCGAGCGGAACCGGACGGGGAGGCATTTTGTGAGCGCCCTCGCGCTTGGGGCCTTGGCTGCGCGTGCAGCACCCCGGCGACCCTTCGCAGTGCAAGCAGAAGCCGAAGGGGAGGGTGGAGTGACCACCAAGGACCGCCTCAACCCATCCTCAAGGACTGGGCGTGCTGGCACTTGGGGCTTAGCCTGAGGGTTTGGGCTGGTGAACATCGATTTTCTGACTTCATGGTGAGAGCAGAGCTGATCATTTTCTGGTGAACCGGCTATGATAAAATTAGGGCTCTGTTTGGCAACAGGAAGCATGGCTCGGCCAAAAGAGAATGCAGTCCAAACTGGGGGAGGACAAAACCAAGTTTATGTGTGCTTGTTTGGCAAATGAATGTGGTGATTCAACGTTGTCCTTGTGGTTTCCTTTCAAATGGATATAAAAGTCCAGCTGAATCCCATCCCAGTTCTATTCCTTCAAAAACTGAGATCATATGACAGAAATGAAATGTGTATCTTTTCAGATTCGATTGCCCAATTGTTTGGCTTTTGTAGTAGCTTCCTGTGAAAGCTATCAATATTCCAATGAGCTAGTAACAGTTCACCCACGTCCAGCCATTCAACAACCACGAAGCGAACAGGGTGTCCAACAAACGTTGAGCTGATATCCCCCAAGTGTGTTTGCGTGTGTGTGTGTGTGTGTGGGCAAACAAAAGGAGCCCAGTCAAGCATAAACAGGGGTCCATCAGATAGACGAACATCGTGTCCTATCAGCCAGAGAGGCAGCCGATCAACCAAATACGGTTGTTGATCATAGACTATCAACTAAAATACTAAAACTGGGGGTCCACTTAGCTGCCAGGCTCAGAAGAGCGAAACGCTTCCTTCTGGCGTCCACCGTGGTGACCATCGGCCTGGTGCTGCTGCTATATGCCGCCTGTCCAAACCCAAACTGGCAAAGCGGTTCGGCGTGTATCATTTCAATACCGGACCTGTTTTACCACCATCTGGGTATGTGTCCAAATATAGAGTGACCCCGCAAAATAGAGGGTTTCTTGTTGGTTTCCTTTTGAAGCAACAAAATGGGTGCGCTCAAGGAAAGCACGTATCACCTGTCTACTGATGTGTTGCACTTCCGGAATACCAAACACATCGCCACAGCAACCACGCTGTCACCAAACCCGTTTGACCGGGCGAAGCCTTGCGTGAGGCCACCAGCTTCGTGGAGATGGCCATGCACAAGCTCTTCGCACCCCCAATGAAGGCGAAGTCCCCCGCCATCGCGGCTCGCATCGGAAGCGGATCGGGTGGGCCCGTGGTTCGATGGGGAATGAGAGGATGACCTCGAGCCTCTAACTATTGCGTGTGGGGTCGTGGGTCCTTCAAGAAACGGACCATTCCCAAGATCCCGACTTCGATTCCCTACGGAAAATCCGCAGGAGATTGAACAGGGAATGCTTGATGGACGCGAATCCCTGTGTAACAATGTCCACCAAGTTTCTCAACTAGATTTCACACTCGGTTTGGATTTTAAGAGTGACCCTCTTGTGGATGGTGTTCAAAGGGAAGCTGAAAGCAAACTATTTGTTTGTGGTCCCCTTTGCAAACGCCATGGCTCGCAAAACGAACTGAACATGCCCCTCCCAAGGCCCGGTAACACGGCCCAGGGCAACCAAGTCTTTTGATACCGGGTGTCAAAGGGCAACCAGAAAAGAAGCCAAGCACAAAATTGTGGGCACGACAAATGAATTGTTGAAGTTGAATCCTTAACAGATACATCAAAGAAAGGGATTGGAAGGCTTTCAAAGTAATACTCGATTGAGGGGTAGTTGTCGAAAACAGGGCCATTGTTGGGACCCTAGTGTTCTTTTGTGGTGGGGGTGGGTGTTCATGCAACTATGTGCCGAAGAGTCTGGTCAGAGAGTTGCTTGTTCGGTGAATAGAGACAGTGGGCCAGCAAGCCACAAGCAAGCAAGCAAGTAGGTAAGCCAGGCAGGAGCATGATCTCTTGCTACTGGAGTGTCTCTCGAGTGGTTCCCGAGCAATGGTCAACTGCTTGAATGCATGATTGTTCCTCGCCTTGCTGATTCACTTTGCTCCTGAAAATGGCATGACTGCTTTGTGGCCCCGTTTGTTTACAAGATCTTTGTCAAAGCTGGTAATTTCACGATCTCTGTTTCATGTGACCTTGCGCAACGTCATTTCCCTGTGGTTCCCTTGAACCCTGGAGCAATACTTGGGCCCGCCCCTTTCAGCATGGAATCTTAGTGTTTGTGCTCGAGTCAATCTTCCGTTTGTGCAGGTCCAAATCAACTATTCTGTCAGGCTTAAGCCCGTCCACCTCCCAATCAGCCAGTGCTCACCATTGCCTTTTTTTACGTCTTTTCAGGACCCTGCTCTGACATGAATCTCTAACGTCCATGTTCTTCAGAATATGGATGTTTGGGGCTACATTTTGAAGTCCTTCCTTGGCTCTCTCAGCACCAGTTGCCTCTTCGCAGCATGTTGAGTTTTTGCCATGTTGAAATTTAAGAATTTGAGGCTTGCATGATCGGGCTGGCGGTGGGTGGCCTGCACACGGTGGCGGGCCCGGACCACCTCGCGGCCCTGGCGCCTTTGGTCATCGGCAAGCGCCGGACGCCCTTCGCAGCCTTCGGCCTGGGCGCCCTCTGGGGCTCCGGCCACGCCACGGGGCAGCTGGTGGTGGGCCTGGGCTGCCCGGGACCCCGGCCGAACTCCGAAATCGCAAGGCGGATTTCCCTTGGAGCGCTGGTGCCAAATCACAAGGTGCCAAAGCAGGAGGGCCCGGCTTTTGTCCCCAACCATTCCGTTCCTCTGCAAGATTGGGCCAAGGTCATTTCCATGGGAAGCAAGCAGCATTGTCAATAAGGGAGGCTTGGGGGGGGCTCACCAGACGTGTTGCAGAGGCTAAGAGCTGCCAAAGAACATCCCAAACATCAAACTACTGAAATATCCACTTGGATGCCCGTGGGATGCCATGAGGTGCTGCATAGATAGGATATACCCTGCGCCATGTACGTCCATGATCCACTTTGCGCTGCTAAGAAGTGTGCAGGCAGGATTGCCAATCACGAGAGATGCACACCGGAAGATCCAGAGTTCTGGCTCGGTCTTCACGGGATGTATTTTGCCTCCTCCTTGCTTTTTGTTCGGCAAACGGATGTGCAGGAGTTCGTGTACGTTTGAAGGGTCCTCACGTCTTTTGTCGAGGTGGCCCGGGCTCTTTGATGTGAGTCATTTGAGCACCTCTAGGTTTGTCTGCAAATGGGGTAAGACGCCAATCACACCCAATCATCGAAAAGACACCGATGGCCAGGGAAAACTGTGGATCGAGGCCTTGCGGTGCACCTGGGCATGCTGAAGATGCATTGGGCCACTGTCTTGGAGCAGATGAGCGGCTTGCTGGTGGGCGCCTCTTTGATTGCGATAGGCCTTCTGGGCTTCAAGGACTGGCAAAGGGGAGCCTGGGTGGCGCTTCCCTCTTTTGGGGCGGGTTTTCTGTGATTTTGAATGATCCCCAGAGACGATGTTGGATGCAACTGTCAGAAACCGCCTTTGACATTGGGGAGCTTGTGCGTGCTTCTTTTTGTGGTGGTTGGTCTTCTTGCCACCAAGGCAAGGGTAAGGAATCTGGCCAAGGGTTTGGGAGAGCGGCTGGCGCAGATAAGGCGACCTAGATTTGGGCCAAGGAGATGTAAATGCGAAGTGCTGGAGTTCTCAGATTCCTGGGCTGACCTTGCCGCAATTCTGTAAACATCTAATTGGGAGATGCATGACCATCGCTCACATGCCCAGTTTTGTCCACGCAATTTGTCAGGAGGCCCAAGACTACGACCCTGCAACCGCCGCCGAATCAGATGCCGGCCGCTTCGGCTGGGCCACCTACGCAACGGGCGTGGTGCATGGGCTCTCCCTTGATGCCATAATATTCATACTCCCCGCCTTTTCCCTTCCCCACTTTGCTGCCGTGGTGCACGTGATCGGGGTCGTGTCGGGCACGCTCTTCTCGATGGGGTGCTACACCACCGTGCTGAGCCTTTTCTTCCGGAAGTCGCCGAGACTGAAGCTCATCTCGGCCAGCGCATCCTCGATTTCCCTGATCCTGGGCGTGTGTATCATCATGTCGTTCCTCGGCTTCAGCTTGCATATTTGATATTTTTGTCCAGTTGGGCAAAGCTTCTTGATGCCTGCAGAACATACTGATTGATAGCGGGGTGTCCACTGTCCTGAGTACCATGGGCAAAGCAACAAACTCACATTACAAACAGGGTCATCAAACAGATACTGGGAGCGTCCAGTTGTTTGGCTGTGAACATATTGGCATTAATTGGGCATCAGCCAAGGTTGTTTGGAGTCACGTTGCCCCTGCCCGGACTGTGATACCGTCGGAGTGCTGGTGGGCGTGTTTCGAGCCCGTGGACGTGTTTCAATGAGGAAAGAGCTGTGGAAGAGTTTTGCGCAAACTGTTGACTGGTCTCAGACAGATCAGTTGAAAATGAAGAAATATTCAATGATACAAATCTAAACTGGCATTGGGGAAAATTTCTACGTTTGGCAACAAAATATATGTTGGTCATTTGTGCTCAGCACGGTGCGCAGCACGCATTTAAAAGTGGTGTACAGCAAAAATATTCAAGAGTTTGCGGGGCAACATAAAATGTCTAATCATTAGGAAATAGGATGAAATAGGAATATATGAATATAATATGAATAAACATCATTATGACAATAATACTTGGTTGTCGTATAATTATGGTTTAATTATATATATATGATATATATAATATAATTTTATATATGTTTCTTTTTGATGATAGTTATATTATTTGAAATTGTTTGTTGTAAAAAAATGAAAATATTAATATATTATAAATATATTTAGAATATGTATTTAAACAAAAAAAAAACAAGTATGAATTTATAATTGATATATATTAATATATAAAAATTAATAATAAATTAATTTATTTAAATTCGGGAATTAATTATGAATTAAATATTAATTATATTGAAAATAGTGTAATAAAAAAAAAATGTAAAGATATAATATAAATTGATAATTTATAGAATCTATTTTTTATATTAAAAATTATATTAATAGAGTAAAAGAAACTAAAATTATTTAAAAAACAAATATATATAGAATAGTTTAATTATAATGATAAAATAATTTATAGTGTTTATTTGATTTTCTTATGTTTGTATTATTTTTTAAAATACGAAATGTATAATTTTGTTATGTATATTTTTATTTTTTTATATAGGTGTTAATAAAATAATAATGAATATATGAGATTATATATATTTTTTTTCCTTATTCTATATTTTATTTATGTATATATTTGTATAGTTTTAAGAATATAAATAATATATATGTTATTTAAGATTTCGAATATATGAATATGCTACGAATAATATTAAAATATATCTAATTGATATATAAATATATAATATAAAATAAATATGATTTTTATCAGTATGATATAGCATAGTGTAACGAAAAATAATATTTCTTAATCGAAAATTATATTATTTTCTAATATAGAAATTGTATTTGTCGATACAAAGTCGAACGATGACAAAAAGGAAAAGTGTTAATCCGGGATATAAAAAAAGAAAATGGTATAAATAATAATTATATAATAGAATAAAAAAAAAAAAAAAAAAATCACAATATAATATCCAAATTATCTTCCAATTGAATTTCAATTATTCAATCTAATCCAAATACAAGTTATTAATATATATTAAGATTATATTTTTAATAATCAATAAATCAATTATAATAATGAATTCTATAATAATATAATCTAAGGTCGATTATGCAAAATATATCTTTATATCTTTAATTTAATTAGAATTGTTAATATAAACAGATTTTTTTAAAAAAAAAGGTAAAAATTAAAATCAAGATAATAAATAAAATAGAAATTATTATAAAAATATAATAATATATATCTAAATATTTATATTAATTTAAAAACAAAAATAAATAAAAAAAAAGAAAATAGAATTAATTTAAATTAAAAGATGAAATTAATTAAATTAAGAAAATAATTATGTCTAATTAATATGTAAAAAAAAAAAAAAAAAAAAATTTAATAAAAAAAACAATTTTAAAAATAAATCCAATCCAATCCAATTCAATTCAATCCAATCAATCAATCTATATCAATTCAATCCAAATCATGCATTAATTCATCCATTCATCAAATAATTTAATTAATCAAATAATTAGTAATTAAATAAGAAATCAAAATCTATCTATCTATCAATTAATTAATATGTAATCAATCAAGAAAATCAAACCAATCAAATCAATTATTCAATTCGAAGGAAAAACAAAATAATCAAATTAATCAAATTCATCAAATCAATTCAATCCAATCAAATAATCCAACCAAACCAAACCAACCCAACCAAACCAACCCAACCAAACCGACCAAACCGACCAATCCAACCAAGCCAACCAAACCATCCAATCTAATCAATCCAATAATCCAACCTAATCCAATCCAATAGAATTAAATCAAATCAAATTATATAAAATCAAATCAATCAATCAATAATAAATTCAAATAACTAATCAAATGAATAAATAAATAATTTACTAACCAAACAAACAAACAAAAAATAATTATTCATGCAATCAACTAATCAATCAACCAACCAACCATGCAACCAACCAATCAACCAGAGACAAAAATAAGCAGACCGAGCAAATGCTTTAAAAAAAAAAGAAGGAAAAAAAAAAAACGGAATATTTCGAGAAAATAAATATTTGTGATTTTGAGCCTTTGCCTTAGACCCTGCCCAAGCAAAGGATTTCGAAAGACTACGCACTACATTACAGTAGAAACCCAATTCTAAAGACCCAAATATCTAAAGATAAATTGTAATAAAACACCTCAATATATTTCCTAAAAGATTACGAGCGATACACAAAACAACAGTAAATGTCAAGTGCCCAATACCAACGAATCAAAGAAAAATAATCGCATAAACAAGAAGAGAATGAACCAAGAACCTCAAAAGATCCATACCCATACACAATTACTATAACGTATACGAAAACACCATCGAACACAAAATATCCTAACTATAATCAAAACCGAACTAATTTCGGTCAAAACATTAGGAAAAACACAACGAATCACAACAATCGATTCTCATATCGTCAAACTCTCACAAAACGAACACAATAGTTCAACAAAAAAATGCCTAAATACATTATTCGTTCAATCGCCCAAAAAAATATTATTCATAAGTATTCCAATTTTAAAACAAATCATTCCGATCCTCTAAAAAATTATGTGTTATTCTTCCATAAATCTTTCAACCAAAACAAGTCCATATAACGTATCCAAAAACCAAAATAATTACCAAAAGAATTTCGAACTTCATACCCCGGTAACTCCTATCATTATTCTCTAACATCAAATTATTCAATTTTTATATATAATATAAATCATAAATATCCTCCAATATCCATCAAAATAATCCTAATTCTCTCAACAATATAAAAAACGGGTCCTAAACTTTATAAATTCATAATAACTAACCTATGCAATATAAATTAAATTTCATAAATTCGTAAAAATTAGCCTATATAATATCAATTTCAAACAAAACAAACCAACAAACAAACATACAAACAAACAAACAAACAAAAAGAAAGAAAACAAAAAAATAATAACAATGACAAAAACAAACACAAACACAAAGACAAAGACAAACACAAGAACAGACACAAACACAAACACACAAACACAAACACAAACACACAAACACACAAACGCACAAACACACAGACACACAGACACACAGACACACAAACACACACACACACAGAAACAGAAACAGACACAAACACAGACAAGGACAGAGACAGACGCAGACAGACACAAACAGACAGACAGACACAGCCAGACAAACACAGACAGACAAATAAAGAAACAGATAAAGACAGACAGAGAAAGAGACAGACAAAGAAAGACACCGACAGATAGGATTCTAATATCGACATGCCACAGGCTTCGCCTGCGCACGTGCACGCGTCCGACTCCGAGCCCGAGAGCCGTGATACAGACGGGCTGCAAGCACGCGCGTGCGAGCTCTCGGCTGCGCGTGCCCCAGTTACACGCGGCCGCTGGCCGCTTGCCCCCTGGCAACGGTTTGTTACGCGCTTGTCTTGGCGCTGCCCCGCCGCTCTCCTTGCCCTCCATAACGGCTGTATTCTGGCCCGCGGCCAAGAGGCGGTTGTAGGTTTTCGGCGGCCTCTTTGCCCGGTTTGGATTAGTAGTTTGGATCGGTGTGTTGGAGGCTAGGGAGTGGTTTCCCACTCAACATGATCCAGGGGATCAATTCCCAAAACACAAATCCAAACCAGCAATTAGGGGTAAGTTGAGGCGGGTGCCAAAAAAGGGCCGAGCAAGGTCCAGGCCGTGGTAGGTGTGCCAAGAACAGAGAAAATCTTATAGCGTCCGCGCCGGCAAGACAGGTTTTGCATTCAGGCATTTTTTTTTCATCTTATATATATCAAAAAATGTATACTCGTCGCATGCGAAAAGCACCGTTCTCCAAACACAGGTCGCGAGACGCACTGAGGGCCGGGCTGGTCGGGATAAGGTCACGCCAAAGAATCAATGAAAGGCGGTCGCCTGAGCAAGACGGACATGCAGATATATGCCCCGACTCTTTATCTAGAAGACGCAACGGTTTCGTTCAAAGCCCGGACAATTTTTCCGAAATATCCCGAATATATCGATAATCGCACTCCAAAGCATTTGTCCGAAATATTCCGGATATTTCGACGATAACATTTCCCGAAATATTTGGAATATTTCGGGAAAAATGGTCCCCGAAATATTCGAATAATACTTCGAGAAAATGGTGAATAACTAGGATTTATCTAGAATATTTCGGGAAATTGGTCCCTACAAAAAATGAAGCCATTATATCTTCCGTACATATGCCGGAGTAACCCAGACAAATTTAGGCAAGCAATCTAAAAGAAATATGAAGCGGTTATATCTTCCAGGGACAATCCAAACCAATTTTCCAAAAATATCCGGGAATTTTCGAAAAAAACAAAAAATAATCCATAAAAATACATACAAATATAACGAACAAGATTCATAATTTCGTTTTAGAAAATAAATATATATATATATTATTAATTTATAATTTATAATAATAGTAATAATAATAGTAATAATAATAATAATAATAATGTAATAAATAATAAAATATTCAAATAATTAATTTATATTAAGCAATATCCTATATATACATATATTTATATATGTATATATATATATATACATATAAATATGTACATATATATAATATTTAAATATATATATATATATATATATATTATTATAATATAATATATTATATGTATTATAATATATTATAATGTATATATAATATCAATAAATAACAATAAATTAATAATTTAATTAATCAATATTATATTGTTCTATTCCAATTTCATTTTTATCAAATTTCAAAAAAAAAATGTGTATCTATATATATATTAGTATGTACATATGTATATGGTATTTCACAACAATGTCATTAATCAAGCCTGAATCGGTTTTTTTTTCGGAGTATCAAAATATCTACATCTCTATGTCAAACACGTGTTTACCGGCTCTCTCTCCTTCTTGCGAATAAGAAAGCATTCAGGGAACTTGTGGCTCGCGTGACAAAACGGTCTGTGTTTGAAATGTGTTGCTGGTTCTGTGACAGCCTCACTTGTGCGGTGGCAAGGTCGTACCTGGCAGAGCGCAATGTTGACCCCAATCAAGAAGCATCTCAGTCTGGGAGCTCTTCTGCTCGGTGGGGATTTGGTTCTTTCAGCAGGGTAATCACTTGCTCTTTGAATGTGGCTTCTCCAAGAATAGCAAATGCCTTGCAATTAGCTTTCATACCTCCACCTAATCTGCATTGGAACACAGTTGGGCTGTAGAAGAAAGATTGTGGCAAGCCAATTGATAAGATTTGCTGGAATGATTATGATTGCGAAAAGATGGAAGAAGGGGTGCAACGGCCAGAGGGATCATCAAGATGTGTGCATAGCAAGATTTTGAACAAGGGTATCAGAAGCTGCCTAAAAACAAGTTGACATGCCCTCAAACCTCTCACAGCTGCAAAACAAAGCACATATGACACACACATCTGCCTGTGGCTGGGTCGAACTGCCACGGCTGCCTCTCGCCCTGAGCGCGCAAGGTCAAGCTGACGGGCAATGCGTGCGTGCTGGCCCATGTGTTACAAGTAAGTACAGACTTTTTCGGACAGTAGGAGGAAGCGAGGAAGACAACAGCTACTTGAAGCGGTGTTCAAGTATGAGACCTTCGCAAATGTTGACGCCGAGTTAATCTACTGAGATATGCCCGTTTAGGCACTTTAAACTGCGAGGTGGCAAGTACTTCCGGATATGATGCCGATCCGACCAACACGATACTTATAAGGCTGCTACCCATCTCCAACACAGCTTGCCTGAATTATTTGACTCTCACAGCCATGCAAACCGCGCCCAAACTTGGTGCGTTTTGGAAGCCACTTCTCAAGCGGCCCCTCAATGGCAAGCGTCCCTCAATCCTGTTCATTGCCTCAAATATTCATTGGCCAAGCCCCACATTTTGCCCCTTCTTCGTCACCTTCTAGCTAAGGAACTTCACGATGCAACTACTTCTCATTGGTACCCTAGCACTCAGAACTAGCAGTATAGGAGTACATAGTACACAGTAGCAGGCTTCACAGAGAAAAGGAAAAGACAAACTTTGGGCGACAGCTGGCTCAGCTTTTTGCTCCATCAAATCAAAGGAGAGCCAGCCCCCCACAGTATTCCCATGTTTTTTCTTCGCGCTGTTTGGCCATGTTTTCTCCATTTGAAATTGAGTTGGAGCCCTCTTTGGACCAGCCGCCCAGCTTTCTGGGAGCCCTGTGCCATGACCACTTTTTGGCGGACCACTTCCACCCCTTTTGCCTCGTCCTCCAGCACCTCGATGGAATCCACCGCCGCCTTGGCCCGGGAAAGAACCTGCGCGAGAGCTCTTGGAATAGGGCGCACGGGATGGCCTTCCTCGTTTGGGTAAAGACTTATGGGTTGCATCCTTAACATCAAATTTAAGGTGCGTCTTACAAGACGTTGTCCAAACTGACACCTCTCCCCGCAAGGACGGCCTGATCGAACTTGGCCAGCTCTGGCGCAACCACCACCTGGCAACCCATTTTGACAAGGTGACTTTCAGGATTGGGTATGCCTCAGATCGCGAACCTCTGGGAAGTCTAAGCGGCAACTCAAAAACTAAGCACCTTCATGGTCAACTTTGATATCTGTTGGTTTCGGAAATCAGCCCCCTACCAGTACGCCGAACGCAAGCCACGTCTCACGATCTCAGGCCCGGATCTCAGGCACTGGGACACGAACTAGACAAATCACTTACATCAAACCAGCACAAGGCTCGCAAATCATAAGCATGCAAACTGGGCCCATACCAAGCAATACATCGAGACCTGAGGCCTGAGAAACACCTTGCAGAGAACACTTGGACTCTGCTCCAACAGGCCAGCACTTGCGAAGACCTTTGCAGTGACATCGTGTTGCTTTGCGCAAGTCGTCCCTTTCCGTTCGGACCCAAGTGGTGCTTTCTTGGCTAAGACCCGCAGAAGGCTAGAAGCCTCGCAGTCGGGCTTTGGATTCAACTTCAACCAAACAATCTGAACTTCAGAGAGTCGAAGACCTTTGAAACTCGGTCAAGAGAGATTGTGTGCCGATTTTGGCAAACCGGGCTGGTTGACCATGTCTGTCTTGTCGTAGTAGGAGCCTGAGCAGCCAGAACAAACTACAGAAACCAGGCAGTCGCTTGTTTGCTCCTGAAGGGCAACACGACGAAGGCATGTTTTCATGCACACGTTCCAAACGGAAGTGTAATGATGCAGGCCCTGCACTGGCATTGGGTTGCAGGTTCCAAATGTATTTTGAAGGCCAGCATTGCGCCAATATCTGCGCAGGCATGCAGTGCGAGAAGCTGTGCTATGGCAGGTTGCTTCTCCTTCCATAATTACCCCATCCTCTATCCATCCATCCATGTATCATGTCTCGGATGCACAAACGGCGTGGCAGCCTTTCATGCCCTACCCCCTGCGGCGTTCCCTTGAGCAACCAGAAACCGTCGAGCATCGCCGCAAGCAGATTGGCGTTGACGAGCCCCAACTTCCACAGAAAATCAAAGCCGTCGCACCAGGCCGAGGTGTCCGAGCTCAAGTTGGGTTCCCGGCCATCTGGCTTGAGGCCCAGGGGCTGGATCACCACGCTGGGCACCTCCGTCACCTGCCCAAAGCGAAACAGAGACCTCCGTCACCAGCCAAAAGGACACGGCGCAGAAAGCGGCGGCGCAGAAAACGGCGGCAGTGGACGTCTGAGAAATCCCCAATGACAAAGTCTGTCAAAATGATGGGCCTCTTGCGGTTCTCAAGAACACTGTGCACACGATGACGAAAGGTGCAGAGAGAGGGTGCCTATTTCTAGCACTCCAGCCTCCGCATCGTAGGCTGCCAAGGGAGCATCGTCGACATCGCAGGTATAGAAGCTGTACTTGGGGTAGGAGTTCGCCATCGCCTGGGCGCGTACGCATCACCCTGTCAAGCCGAGTATCAGATTCTTAAAGGCAACTTCAGAGCTTCTGAACCGGCCACTCTTTGACCAAGCATTCCCCTGCGTCATGCACGCCTTGCAAGGATCGACTGCAATCTGCGAGACGGCTGGCGGAACAAGCTGAACTCCACATGTTGGGCAGGCTGTGTCGTCGGGAACCAGTGCGAATAATCAGCAAGGGGCTACTGTTGCCACAAACATGTTCTTCCGCCCAGTTCTCCCTCACTCCAAACGTCCCGATAGCAGCCCTCAGCCCGCAAAGAGAATGAAGAACCTGGAGGAGAAACTCAACTGGCACCCACGGCCTGTTCATGACCCGCTTGGTTCCCGGATTGTCTTTTGTGCCATAGAAACCCAGAGGAATACCTGCATCTGTCATGCCTCGGCATCTGTTTCTTCATCTACGCGAGAGCAGAGAAACTGCCTGGAATTGGCTTTTGGACAGAGTAGACAGAGTAGACTGACGCTGCATCCGGTTGCCATCATTTGTGGTGCAGCGGTATGGCTCTTGAACTCTTGTCCTGCAGCAGACTCACTTTCCAACAAAGAGAAAAAGAAACTGAAGCTAGAATAGGTTTGCTTGCCAGCAGCCCGCAAGAGGAATCAAAATGAACAAGCATCCTGATGGGCCAACATCCTTAACACACCCCTAAACGCAATTCTGTTTACTTTGGCACGTGTAAGGGCACCACCCCACCTGAATGTTGCAAATGACAGGGAGACGTCAGGCACAGTGAGTCGCGTCAAAATCGGACAGACATGGGACTGGAGAATTTGACCCAAGCATCCAGCGGCTTCCTCCGGAAAATGCGCCTGGAACTGCTCCTTGTACATCTTGCCGGCCATGCTCCAGTGGCCGGAGAAGAACCCCACCTCAACCACACACGAAAGCGGCGAGCGCGTGCCCAAAGGGCCTTCAAATAGTGAAGCACCACTCATCTGAGCCGCCTTGCTCGACAAATCAGGGCTGTTCCCAGATCCCCTACTGAGTAAAGAGTCGCCTTGGCAAGCAAAACTGCGGCAGCAGCATAAAAAGCAATGACCACCACCACCACAACGCCGACGACAAAAACAATGGGCAACAATGAACACAGTTCAACAACAGCAGCAACTATCAATAACTACTAACGCACGCAGGCACAGACGAGCGGACGCAAACAACAAAAACACACACACACACAAAACAAAAAGAGAACAAAGCAAGCAAACAAACAAACAAACAAACAAACAAACAAACAAGCAAAACAAACAAACAAGCAGACAAACAAACAAGCAAGCAAGCAAACAAACAAAAACAAAAAACAAGCAAAACAAACAACAACCAGGCAACCAACCAACCAACCAACCAACCAACCAACCAACCAACCAACCAACCAACCAACCAACCAACCAACCAACCAACCAACCAACCAACCAACAAACACAACCAATGCAACCAACCAACCAACCAACCAACCAACCAACCAACCAACCAACCAACCAACCAACCAACAAAAAAACAAACAAGCAAGCAAGCAAACAAACAAGCAAACAAACAAGCAAACAAACAAGCAACCAACCAACCAAACCAACAAACAAACAAACAAACAAACAAACAAACAACCAAACAAACAAACAAACAAACAAACAAACAAACAAACAAACAAGCGCGCAGCAAACCAGCAGGCTTAGTGGGCCGCTGATTAACCAACTAACAGCGTAACCAATTGACTTTCACAAACTGACTAGTCAACCCACAAACTAGCTAACCAACTAACTTTGGCGGCTTCAAGCTGTTTGCCCTTATGAATCTGGAGCTCGTTTTTGAGGGTGGGTGGCTTCAAGTTGTTTGCCCTTATGAATCTGGCGCTCGTCTTTTGAGGGTGCCCTGGTTTGGTGGCTGCAAGCTTGTTGCCCTTATGAAAATCTGGAGCTCGTCTAACCAACTATCTAACTTGACTAACTTACTTACTGACGGACTCACTAACTATCTAGCTGACTGACTAACTGATTAGCTAGCTAGCTAGCGAACCAGCCGCTCAATTGTGAGCCAAATCTGCAAGCTGAAACGTGGAAAGTCCAACTCTTAAGTGCACGCCCGGACATGGTGCACCATCCGGCCACAAGCACAAGTGGTACCTACCAAAACGGTCAGGTTGGCAGAATACGCAGCAGGGAAGAAGGCTCCCTGACAAACTACTCCAAGACGCAAATCGTTCCAAAGATTCATGCAGCAATGGACAAGCCAAGGCAATCTAAGTTGATGATAAGTGAAGCTTGGCCCTTTCAGTTGTATCCAAAATGTATGCAAGCGTATGCTTGCCTACTCAAACAATGCATGACAGTAGTTTTCAGGCGAAATATTGGGTCTTGTCTGACAGACCCTTGGGCAAATTCACAAACGCGCTGATTTTGTCAACCAGCCCGCTTTCACTGTCAAGGGCCCGACCATCATAGGGGCCTTGGACGTCTTGATTGCCTCGTACTGAGCAAAATCCTGAGCTGGGAAGGGAACGGCCCGGTGAAGGAGAGGCTGAGCTCTGGAAACAGGCCTGACCCATCCCGCATGCCCGGAGAAAGAAAGAGTAAGAGCCGGTGGGAGAAACTTTCTGGAAGCCTTCGAAGCGCTTTCCGGGAAACATGGCCTTCGGCCGGAAACACTCACTCACAACTAATGACATTGCGCAACACATGCGAGCCAAGGCTGCTTCCTTAGAAGCAGGAGAGACTGTCAGGCCTGATACGAACAACAAAAAGGTCGACATTTGTCAAATCAGCAATCGCCACAATTTCAATTCAGCTTGCGTGCGTGCTTGATGCTCCAAGTGCACCACCAAAGAGGTCTGCTCAAGATGGAAGGATCTACGAAGCATCCGATTCTGCCGTTGGCTGGGAAAGACCTGAACCAACCCAGGTTTTGGTTATGGATCAAAAGGCTACTGAGGCTGGCTAGACAACCACTTGCCTCTTTTTGGGCTCTTTGTCTGGCTTTACTGAGCTGAGAGTTCAGGCCCTATTTGAGGTCTTGACATGCTGTTTTGGCGAAATGCGCAGACCCTTTAGACACTTTGTTCAAGTGTCGCGTTTAAAACCTCACCTATCACAGTGGCGCAATCGAATGGAATGCTAGTCAGCAAACGAATGTCAGAAATTATATGTTCCTTGAGGAACTCGAATGCACTGCAAAACAGGGCTCTTGCTCAAATCTGGGCAGAAACGTGACATGCCACGATTTACGCTTTGAGGAATTCTTGTTCAGGTCTGTTGCTAAGATTTGACCCTACGACGTCGAACCCAGCGCCTTGATGGCGGGCACGCTCAACAAGCGGCGGCTAAGACGCACAGCCTGGCAGTTCCAAACCCTGAAACAGCCAGCTGAATGGCCACGAGCAATCTGACGGCGATCTCCTTTGATCATGCCAAGATGCCTCAAACCCTGAAACACATCCAAAACAAACCTTCAAACAACCCTGACACCCCAAAACAATTCTACGTCGACCCAAAAGCAAGCCCAAACCGAAACCAACCCCATTCGTTTCTAATGAAAAGCAAACCCCCGAACGCACTGAATGTCAAACCAAGAGGGAGGAGAAGAACTCGACTCCAACCTGCTGGCTTTAGCACCTTACCACAGGAAACAAACAAGCAAACGAGCTTTGTGCCTGCTGCTCGTCCTGCTCAAGAGCAGGCCAAGCAGCTGGAAACGCATTGGAGAGTTTTACGCCATGACTCGTCTATTTCAACTTAATCTCTCAACATATTCAAGAGACTCACCAGCCTTCCAACCACGCTTGTTCCCAGAACCCAACCCACGTTGTGTTCGAGTCTGAGGCCCCCAGCCATGACGGGCCAGCTACCAAGGTCCCAATCGCTGAGTTGAGACTGGAGCTTGTCGGCCGGAAGTTCAGACCGGAAGCAAGAGCAAACAGTCAAAGCCCTAACAAACATGCAAAATGCAAACGGGCAGCGCGGTAAAGACAAAGCTGCGGCGCCGCCTCTCAAGCGCCCATGCTTTCATCAGTTTGTTTCTGGCCACGAAAGCACCAATTCGAAGCATGCAAAAACCCAGGGTTTCTGAATACTCTCATTTTGGGGGGGTTGCATTGAAAGAATCAAATGACAAAAAAAGTGTCTCGGTGAAGCAAAATTGCACTTTTCGAAACGGCTGAAAAAGTTTGTTTGAGGCGCTCTGCTGAAACAGTTCATTTCACTGTAAGTGGATTTGGTTTCAAAGTATTTGGGGCCAACCAAATATTGTTAATGAGGTAGAACTTGGTTCCTACTGTCCGAAACTAACTTTATCCATGGTGAAATAACTCAAGAGATGCTGTGCGAAACGCGTTTCTGTTGCGCGAGGAAGCTTTTTACCCTCTTCTCAATCCCCGAACGCAGCCTGCAGTCATGGGGCTGCCACAAAACAAAAAGCGAAGGATGCGACTCCTGAGAAAGCATGCAAGCGCCGACTTTTTGTTGTCCTGACATGCAGGCCCTCCTTAAAACTTGAAACGTGGCAACCCGTCAGAGCAAATCGAAGATGTGTAACAGGCACGGCAGGTCAATGTCTGTCTTTACAAACTTACCACATGTCTGTAGCCTGCATATTCACAGGTTCATCTGGCATCGCATACACCAAATATGGGTGTACCAAAAAGCTGCCAATCTTCGACGGTCACACATCCAAAGCTCCTCGAGTGCCAGCTGGAGGCTTCAAAGTGGCCCCACCCCGACTTGAGGCTTGCCGCCCCAGGTTCAATTTTGCGATGAGCTACGTTCAGGATGCAGTTCAGGGCGCAGGTCCAAGCAAACGACTCTTCGGTGGAAAAGCCATCAAACCGTCGCACACAAACATTTCCCCCGCTCTTGGCCCCGTGGTGTGGCACCTTGGCCCCCTCAGCGGACTCGCCCAATGATCAGCTGCCTTCCTGGAGGCCCCGACACGAAAAAAAAATCCCCTGCGCGCCTCACCTTAGATCTGACATCACGCAGCCCGAAATGTTGGCCACTTCCCGTCGGTTCCGTTTACTCTAACCCCAAATGAAAAATCCGCCGACCCCTTTGCAAAAGCCAAGTTAGTCTCTGCAAAGGGGCGAGGCGTGTTCTAAGTGGTGGTTAGGGGAGTCTGAGGGGGGGAGGGGGGGCCCCGCGGCGGATTTTTGACACGCCTAACCTCTAACTAACCTAACCGCCCTAACCTCTAACCCTAACCTCTAACCCTAACCTCTAACCCTAACCTCTAACCCTAACCTCTAACCCTAACCTCTAACCCTAACCTCTAACCCTAACCTCTAACCCTAACCTAACCCTAACCTCTAACCCTAACCTCTAACCCTAACCTCTAACCCTAACCTCTAACCCTAACCTCTAACCCTAACCTCTAACCCTAACCTCTAACCCTAACCTCTAACCCTAACCTCTAACCCTAACCTCTAACCCTAACCTCTAACCCTAACCTCTAAACCTCTAACCCTAACCTCTAACCCTAACCTCTAACCCTAACCTCTAACCCGAACCTCTAACCCTGATGATGACGAAGTCGATAATGATGATGATTGATAATGATGATGATGATGATGATGATGATGATGATGATGATGATGGATGATGATGATGATGATGATGATGATGATGATGATGATGATGATGATGATGATGATGATGATGATGATGATGATGATGATGATGATGATGATGGATGATGATGATGATGATGACGATGATGCTGATGATGATGATGATGATGCTGATGATGATGCCGATGATGATGATGATGATGATGATGATGATGCATGATGATGATGATGATGATGATGATGATGATGATGATGATGATGATGATGATGATGATTATGATGATGCTGAGGATGCCGAGGATGATGAGGATGTGGTGATGATGAAGATGATGATGATGGTGGTGATGATGGTGATCATGATGATGGATGATGATGATGATGCTGATGATGATGGATGATGATGGATGATGATGGATGATGATGATGATGATGATGATGATGATGATGATGGATGATGATGATAATGATGATGATGATGCACGATGATGATGATGATGGTGATGAGGACGATGTTGATGATGGTGATGATGATGATGCTGATGATTATGATGATGGCTGCTGAGGATGATGACGATGATGAGGATGAGGATGGTGATGGATGATGATGATGATGATGATGATGATGATGATGATGATGATGATGATGATGATGGATGATGATGCTGATGATGATGATGATGATTATGATGATGATGCCGATGATGATGATGATGACGATGATGATGATGATGATTGATGATGATGATGATGATAATGATGATGACGATGATGATGATGATGGATGATGATGATGATGATGATGATGATGAATATGATGATGATGATGATGATGATGATGATGATGGTGGTGGTGATAATGGTGATCATGATGATGATGGTGATCATGATGATGATGGTGATCATGATGATGATGATCATCATGATGCTGATGATGATGGATGATGATGATGATGATGATGATGATGATGATGATGATGATGATGATGATGATGATGATGATGATGCTCCAACCTTAAGCTCTAACCCTAACCTCTAACCTTAACCTCTAACCCTAACCTCTAACCCTAACCTCTAACCCTAACCTCTAACCCTAACCTCTAACCCTGACCTCTAACCTCTAACCCTAACCTCTAACCCTAACCTCTAACCCTAACCTCTAACCCTAACCTCTAACCCTAACCTCTAACCCTAACCTCTAACCCTAACCTCTAACCCTAACCTCTAACCCTAACCTCTAACCCTAACCTCTAACCCTAACCTCTAACCCTAACCTCTAACCCTAACCTCTAACCCTAACCTCTAACCCTAACCTCTAACCCTAACCTCTAACCCTAACCTCTAACCCTAACCTAACCTCTAACCCTAACCTCTAACCCTAACCTCTAACCCTAACCTCTAACCCTAACCTCTAACCTTAACCTCTAACTCTGATGATGACGAAGGCGATAATGATGATGATTGATGATGATGATGATGATGATGATGATCATGATGACGATGACGATGATGATGATGATGATGATGGATGAATGATGATGATGATGATGATGATGATGATGATGATGATGATGATGATGATGATGATGATGATGATGATGATGATGATGATGATGGTGCTGATGATGGTGCTGATGATGATGATGATGATGATGATGCTGATATTGATGACGATGATGATGATGCCGATGATGATAATAATGATGACGATGGATGATGATGATGATGATGATGATGATGACGATGACGATGATGGCGATGCTGATGATGATGATGCTGATGGATGCTGATGGATGATGAGGATGATGATGATGATGACGATGATGATGATGATGCTGATGATGAGGATGATGATGAGGATGATGACGGCGATGATGATGATGATGATGATGATGATGATGATGATGATGATGAATGATGATGATGATGATGATGATGATGATGATTGTAATGATGATGATGATGCGGACGATGATGATGATGGTGATGGATGATGATGATGATGATGATGATGATGATGAATGATGATGATGATGACGACGACGATGATGGTGATGAAGCTGATGATGATGATGATGATGCTGGCGACGATGATGATGATCGTGCCGATGATGATGATGATGATGATGGATGATGCTGATGGATGATGATGATGACGATGATGATGATGGTGATAACTCATGCTGATGATGATGATGATGCTGCTGAAGATGATGGCGGTGATGATGATGATGATGGTGATGATGGATGATGTGGATGATGATGATGATGATAAGGATGATGATGATGATAAGGATGATGAATGATGACATGATGATGATGATGACGACGATGATGATGATCATGATGATGCTGATGATGGATGATGATGATGATGATGATGATGATGATGATGATGATGATGACGCTGATGATGATGATGATGATGATTAACCTCTAACCCTAACCTCTTTCCCTAACCTCTAACCCTAACCTCTAACCTCCAGCCCTAACCTCTAACCCTCACCTCTAACCGTAACCTCTGGAGGATGATGATGATGATGATGACGATGATGATGATGCCGATGATGATGAGGATGATGATGATGATGACGATCATGATGATGCTGAGGATGATGACGATGACGATGATGATGGTGATGATCACGATGATGCTGGTGAGAATGATGATGATGATGATGGTGATGATGACGATGTTGATGATGATACTCATGCTGATAATGATGATGATGATGATGATATTGATGATGACGATGATGATGATCATAATGATGATGATGATGATGATGACGATGATGATGAATGGTGATGATGATGATGATGATGATGATGATTATGATGATGATCATAATGATGATGATGATGATGATGATGATGATGATGATGATGATGTTCATGATGAATGATGAGGACGATGATGATCATGATGATGATGATGATGATGATGATGCTGATCATGATGATGATGATGATGAGGGGGATCATGCTGATCATGATGATGATGATGGATGATGATGGTGATGATCACGATGATGCTGGTGAGAATGATGATGATGATGATGGTGATGGATGATGATGATGATGATGATGATGATGGATGATGATGATGATGATGATGATGGTCATGATGATGATGGGGATGATGCCGATGATGATGGATGGATGATGATGATGGATGATGATGATGGATGATGATGATGATGATGATGGTGATGATGATGATGATGATGATGATGATGATGATGATTGATGCCGATGAATGATGATGCTGATGGTGATGATGCATGGTGAGGATGATGCTGATGAGGATGATGATGACACTGATGATGATGATGATGATGATGATGATGATGATAATGCTTTCGTTGCCTATCTTATCTGGACACTTGTTTTAATGTTGGGTGATCTTCATTCGGGTACTCTTTTCTTTGATCCAAGATTTCGAGGAGATCCAGTCCATCTTTTATTACACCTTAGAGTTACTTCTGTCTTCTTCTTTCTTCTCTTTTTGCGAATCTCGCCAATTAATAATAATAATCATCATCATAATGTTTACCTCGTACCTCGAATTCTTAAAACAACATTTAACACAACATCAACAATAAAAGCACATTGGGGGTCGGCGGCATCAGGCGTCAGCCTGCTTAATATTCCATCCTGTCCAACACGCAAGCCAGAATCTGCCAATCCCCAGCCGGATGGCTCGAAAAGGTTGGTTCTTGAGATTGCAGAGGTTGAACCGAGGTTGAACCTGGTCTCCAATCATGGCATCAACACAATGGCGCATGTTGCTCGAAATGTTGCACTGTTCCTGAGATGGCTTTATGTTCTGGTTGCATTCGATAGACAGCTCTAACGCATTGGCCAACGTGCAAAAACGCCATGCAGTACTTGGCGGCGAAGAGCTTTGTTGCACCACAGAATTTCATGCCAGCATGTCCCAGAATTGCGGCTGCGCTGGGGTCAGAGACTCAAGAGAGAACATAAAACACGGGCAGCAGCACCACTCAATGACTGCTTGCTCCCCAGTCCAAAAGCACCCCAATGAAGGGTTGACGATGGGGAGTCCAGCGCCCGAGACGATTTGCTGCCAGAAAAATATCCGCACTTCGTGCAGGACATTGGACAGCTGTCTACAGACACACCCTGGGGCCGGAAGCTCTCCGCTCTGCCCTGGCCAGACTGCAGAGTCGAGCTGTTTCCAGCTGCAAAGGTGGGAAGTCTCCAAAGGGAATACAGCACACTGCTTGCGCTTTTGGCCCCCCCCCCCCGCAGTCATTGCTGATTTCAATATTGGTTGTAAAGGCCCACTGTCACGCACCTTGCTCCGAACCAATTGTACACCCCAGCATAGTTTCTGCGATTTCCAAAACGGTCCTGATGTCTCAGAATATTGTAGGTTCAATGGCCAAAGGGGCGCATGACATTGTCCTTTGACTCGCCTGTTGCATGATTTATTTATTTTTTTAACGAAGTGTCATAAGCCCAAAGCTGTAAGCCACTCTTGAAACCGAGGTACAAAATAGGGTGTCAAATTCAGGAAGGGATTCCGGGATCCCCAAACTTTGTCTTCTGGAAATGTCTTCTGCCTGCCACCTGAGTAAAGCTTGACATAGTAGAAGCAATACGATACGATTGAGGAGTTCCTGCACTCCCACTTGCTTCTTCATAACCAAGTTGCGCGATACCAAAAACATCAGCGCATGCGCCCATATTTCAGTGCCGTCCGGCAACCCCAAACAAGTCCCCCGGCTCTTGGAACCCATTCCTCCGAAACAAGCAACACGCAAGCTGTCATCGAAAAGGACAAGCCATAAACCACTGCCAGCAATCCGATCCACAAGCCTCAAAAGGAAGTGTCACGCTTCCTTTCCCCTCCCCTCAAAGCTCCGCTGAGTAATGGTGGCAGGAATTCTTGGCTTGCTCGTCTGTTAGACCCAGCACAAACCGAAACCAACAAGGGCGACCGCACCCCGCGTGGGCCTGGATGTGTCGGCCTGTCGCAACACAAGCCAATCTAGGGGTCTTTCCTTCTTTGTCAAACAACCATCCGAATGGGGCTCAACAGACGCTCCTGCACCCTTTCGGGAAATGCCCTGCAAGATCGGCTCCCTACTTCACAACAAGTCAGGCCACTTGGCCTTTGACTCTGTTCCCCAATCTTCCATTCCTGTCAGCCAGATCTGAATGCTTGCCTCCACGGGCTTGATGCGGGAGCGCCTACAGGAGACGCCAACACTTTGTCAGCAAAGTCCAAATCGAAAAGGCTTGCGTCCAACGTGATGTGCTGCTACTCCGGCAACCATGAAGCTGCAAAACAAGCGTACGGTCACATCTACAGCACTCATGTTTTCATCCCACACCCCAATGGCAATTCGCACAACTGCATGTCCCCCCGAGCCTTAGTACCATCGTTCACCCAGTGGGTTAATTGACAACGTAGCAAGCACTGCCCTTGCTTGGAAATACCTGCTTCGTCTATTGCTACCAATACCAAGTCCTGGGCCTTTTCGCCACGAGCCTCTCGAGGTCATCCGGCACGGTTTGCACCAAATGCATGAACTTTTCCAAGACTTCCACCTCTGTGTGAGGCGCAGACGGAGAATTCACATTAAGTGACCTTGGGCCAATTGAGATCATGTCCCCCAAAGTGTCAGAAAGACTGGTAGACAAAACCCAATTCAGAAGACCGCAACTGGCAAAGGCACAAAGACTTCTTCTCGACGAATAGCAAGCTGAGCCCGGCACGTGGCGCTCGTGGCAGCTGCGGTCTGGCGCCGCCGCTGGGCCCAAGCCCTGGTCGGGGCCCTGCCACGAGTGCCGAGGCGTCGCTTGCCGCGAGGGCAGGGCCTGGCGCGAGGCTGTTGGCTAGAGAGCATACCCTGCGTCCCGCCCTTTCTGAAACTCACCTGAGACCCTGAGGACCCGCCTCTGTGTTTGTTTGTGCGATCTTCAAAGCGCGCCTGCGGGATGTCCTTGGAGTTGGGCGGGCTATGGATGCCCGGTGCCTGGGAAACAATTTCCGACTGCTAACAAGAGCTGGGAACCTTCTTGAGGACAAATACAAAATTGATTATGGGATGTTGTTTTTTGCTAACATCTTGTTGAATCCTATTCGAAGCACCTAAACAAAGGTCACGATCATAAGATGTTCAACCGAGGGAAACTGCCCAATCGGTACCTTTCATCAGTCTAGTTCAAACTGCAAACTGCAAAAGCATGTTTCTTGTGAAAAAAATACACGCTGTCCCCAAGCGCACGCACTTCCGGGCGCCTGTCGGAATCGCTGCATCCCAGGTGGGATGGGCTTCCAGGACAAACCATGCCCACGCTGTGGCTTGCGCGCCTGCGCGAACCCACCCTCGGATCTCCAATCGGGCCCGCTTTTAAGAAAGCTAGTTCAATGTATCATGTCGGTCCCTGGGTTGTGCAACCGCTGCGACTGCCCTGATTTCAAGGTCGTCTCAGTTGAACTGTCACCACAATTCCTGCCTGGGCAATCACTCACAAGCGTCAAATCAAATCGCGAGCCTTCACAACTGCGCAGCCCATTGCGTTCAAAATATGCTAGCCGCAAGCCCCTCAGCCAAAAGCTACGCATAGCGCTCAGCAAAGGCATATGTTGGTGTAGAACATCAGAACCACACGCAACCATGAATCAACAAACACCCAAACATCATCAAACATCCACTTTCCCTCTCGGTCTATGCCGTTTTTTGGAAAACCAGCAAAAAGAAGCCAGCGACCATATTTTTGCAAAGGAACTCAGCCAAATGCGTGCGACATATGAAGCCCATACGGCGGGCAACGTGCTGTGTGGCAGGGGATTCTGACAATCCCTTCAAGGATGTCTTGAACCAGACACACGCACACAAATATGTTTCGGTAACAACTTGTAAATTTGTGGGAGCACACACATACCAGTAGAGCCGGCGAAGCCGGCGAACAGAAGTTGCAAAAATATGACAACTATAGTTATCTTCCCTTCCCGTTTTTGATTTCTTGTTTGTCGTTCCTTCCTTCTTATTTTTTTATGTTTTTTGTCCACCTCTCTTTCTTGATTTCTTTCTTTCTGTCCTTTCTTCCTTCCTTTCCTTCATGCCTTCCTTCCTGTCTTTCCTTGCTTCCTGCCTTCCCTTCCTTCCCTTCTCTTTCTTTTCCTCTTGCCGTGTGTCTTTCTTCTGCTCTGCCTCTTGTCGCGTCTCTCTTCGTACTCTCTTTCCAATCTATTTCTTGTGCGCCTGCCTTTTCTTTCACAAGACATGCCTGACCCTCCGCGTGCCCAGCCCACACCCAGCCATCCTCGTTGTTAGTGGATATTGTTTTAGCTCTCAAGCAGGAACAACACGCGGGCCAGAAAGGGCACGAGCGTATGCACACCTTTCCATCCATCCATCCATCCATCCATCCATCCATCCATCCATCTGTTTGTCTATCGATCTAACTAACTAACACCAGCGACCCTCCAGCACAAAACCTGCAATCTGCTGTGCCCCCAAGCGAAGCAATAACTTTTTGCGCAGATCAGCAATAGCAATGATGTGCCGGTACGACGTTGGCAGCTGCTCCACAGATGGCAAGTGCCTGGAGCAGCGGGATGCGACCGCAATAAAGTGGCACGATGACATGGAAGTGACAAGGTGGCTCGGGGCGACAGCTGCTTGACTCCCCTGCTGCGCTGCATCGAGCATGGGCAACTATGGGCTCCTGACCATGATCAATCGCGTTGCCTCCGAGGTTGCACAACACACACAATCTGAAAACAATTTCACTGTAACAAGGCCCATTACATGTTATATCGCATCAGCTGTATCAGAACTCAGGAATTTCTCCACCGTTCCAAGCAGTGTGGCACAGATGGGCTATAGAATCCAGCTGTTTGCGTACGTTCTGGAGTTGTGCAACGAAGGGGATCTAGCGCACTTTGCAGTGGTGAACGATTTTGGAGACGGTGCACCAACAACTTTATCTTTAATGCCACGAATGTTCTTGTCCCTGAGGTTCACTGTTTCTGGTCGCAATCCGTGGTTAGCTGCGGCGCGACCTTGCGGCGTCTGTTGTTGCCTGCAATGCACTACCAGGACGTGGCCCATGAGACCTTCTTGTTTGTGCCTTCGGACCGAAAACCGCGCTCAACGGCGTGCGCGTTTTCAGTTCGTTGGCAGAAATCAGAAGCATCGCTGATCAGCACACCCGCTCACGATTACCCGTTCAGCACTGCAGTCATGCCTGCCACATGATCAGCACACCCGCTCACGCGTACCCGCTCAGCACTGCAGTCATGCCTGCCACATGATCAGCACACCCGCTCACGCGTACCCGCTCAGCACTGCAGTCATGCCTGCCACATGATCAGCACGCCCGCTCACGCGTGCCCGCTCAGCACTGCAGTCATGCCTGCCACATGATCAGCACACCCGCTCACGCGTACCCGCTCAGCACTGCAGTCATGCCTGCCACATGATCAGCACACCCGCTCACGCGTACCCGCTCAGCACTGCAGTCATGCCTGCCACATGATCAGCACGCCCGCTCACGCGTACGCGCTCAGCACTGCAGTCATGCCTGCCACATGATCAGCACGCCCGCTCACGCGTACCCGCGTACCCGCTCACGTGATCAAGTGGGATTGCTTCATGAAGCTGTGAATCACAGCAAAGGTGAATTCGTTCGTGAAGTTCTAAGGGGTTCTGAGAAAGTCTCCTGCCACACTGGCACCATTGACGCGACCTGGACAGCATGCAAAGCATATGTCCCGAATTCGCTGTCTTCGCAATCGCCGCTGCTGTATCTCTATGTAAAGTCTTGGCAGTGGCGGTACATCTTGCGACAGCGAGATGTGGAGACGCAGACTGTGCGAGCCCTGCGCCGGAGGTGAAAACGGCAAGGCAGCAGAGTGGGCGAGATAACTCGCGTTTCGCCTAGGCGAAACGCAAAACGCATGAAAAACTGACCCCTGTTTTCGGCCTCGTTTTTGGGGACACAGTAAGCGTTTTCGCCTAGGCGAAACGCAAGTTTTTTCCAGAAATGTGGCTAACCGCAAGCGCGGTTCTCGGTCCGCCGGGTTGTTTGTGCGTTCAGTCTCTCGATGCTTTGCGCAGGCACTTCGTCCGCTGGCCAACAGGCCCATAAGGCGTTGGGCCCGGGCGCAACAAAAAATTAGTTTACGCAGGCACTTCGACCGATGGCCAACAGGTCTCCACGTTGGACGCACCAGAATCTTCCAAACCTCTGACACAGGAAACATCGAGAAGAAAAAACGGCTCCGATGACGGAACATGAAATGGCCCACCAGAGCTACTAAGTGGCGTAGTTGGGTCCCTTATCGAGGCGGTTGGCGCCAGGCAATCGCCGCTGCGGCCCAAGTGGCTTCAGTGCAGAAGGCTCTGACTCATTCCGGTGACAACGCTCCTCCTTACATACACCTCGACATCCATGGCGCCGCACATTGTCGGAACTCGCGCCTTTTTTACACGCATGACTTACAAGACCTTCGACCAACTTCGTCGGGTTCTCAACTTGCGCCTGCTGTGGCATCAAGTAAAAACTGCAAGCCGCCTGAAGCATAATCGCCGGTCAACTAGCAGAAAGTCCATGGTACAAAAGAGGCTTCAAAGAAGCGCCATGCAAACAAATTCCCTAATTCGCCCAAGGTTCAGGGAACACGGGGCAAGAAGGCCAGGTACACAGCACAGCCTTACTAAGGCTGTGTTTTCCCACATGTCAAAAGAAAACAAAGGAATGGAAGCATTCGGCAAAAGCCAGCACCCGAAGGGTAAAGGCAAAGCAAGAGGTGAAACACTGGCCCTATGCCTGTGAGAGACCGCACACCAGGCCTCCTTTCTCACAGGCCCACCAAGAATACTTGCTGCACAAAGCGCACAGCCGAAATAGAAGACTCCAGCAAAATCGCAAGCATCCGAAAACCGACTCACCAAGATACATTTCACCGCGAGTGAAAAGGATTCTAGAAGATACAATGTGAAAAGGATTCTAGAGGATTCTGGGAAAAGGGAAGGAGGAAATGGTGGACACCTTGGGCGAAGGGGGGCTTAAGCCCCCCCTTAAGCCCCCCCTTACGGTCCCACGAACAGAAGCCAAGGCTTGAGCCCCCTTAAGCCCCCCCAAAAAAAAAATAGTGAAAGGACAATTCAAGGAATTGTCCTATTTACTTTTTTGTTCTAACAGCAACACATAAAATAGCAAACAAAAATAAGAACAACAAGCAAACAAAATAAATAAGAACAACCAACAAACAAAAAATAACATCAAAGCATACAACATTAAATAATTCAAACAAGCATACCAACAAAACCGCAAAACTAAAAACCATCAAAGAACACAAACTCAAACACACACACACACACTAACAGATTTCAAAGCAGCATAACAAAAAAAAAATATCAGAAGAGTATCAAACAAAATAAATACAAACAGCCAAACAATGAAAAACACAAAAGAGCATGCCAAGTTCAAACAAAGCACTTTGAAAGAGGTAGGACAAACGGAAACTAAACTCTCCCTAATCCCCTAATTTTGGGTTTTCCCGTCGTGCCCGCCCGGCTTCGCGAACTACAACTACATCTTGTGGAGGCGCGATTGTCGCTGGGTGTTGTTCATTTTGGTTGTCAAGGGTTGAGACAAGAGAGGTGCGGAAGCATTTTGAAAGGGGTCGCTGATTATGACTTCTTCTTTTTCTCAAATGGACGCGATTAGCGCATCCAGCCCCTTTGAGCAAGTCGGTTAGTGTGCCCTTTGCTGTCATGGCTTTGGTGTTCATGCTGACTGACAGTGATGAGGGGATGACACCCTACTTCATCCCAACGGGGAGAATCCTTGATGGCAATGACATCAGCAAGTTTGCTGTGAGCGATGCTGATGCATTGCAGGAGCATTTGATGAAGATGACTAAGGAGCAGATCACCGAGACATTAGCAAAGTTGAGCTTGAAACCGAACAGGAAGTCCTTGACCAAGCTTAACCTTGCTACGCTGATTGCTGGGAAGATGACTTTCTTGAGCAAGAGGGCATCTAGCATTTCTCAGGCTTCGTCTTCTGCTACACCTGTTCATGGATACTCCGCCAAAGCCAAGAAGAATGACGACATTGTCATTCGCGTGAAGCCCTACGACCACAGGTGCCCTTCCCTTGACATTGGAACCATGGAGATTCCAATTCGCCTTGACATGTCGGTCTCAACCCTGCTGGTCAATGTCTCTGAGAAGCTCAGCGAGATTTTCAAGGACTACGATTGGAAGTTGGTGTTGAAGTTCAAGGATGAGTTCCTCACCAACAGTATCCATGCCCTGTGGTATGTTGGCTTCACAAAGGACAACTGCTACGCCGTCTTTGATGAGAGTGACCCCAACTACCACAAGATTTTTGAGGATGTGGTCAAGAACGGGAAGGTGGAAAAGCCATTCACCGGTGTCAGTGATTTCACCGTTGAGGAGGTAGAGACCAATAGCGAGGCGAGTGAGTCAGTGGAGGAGCAGGAGATTATCGACTGGTTGGCTCAGGCAGAGTGCAACCACTACCAGAACTCAGCCATTGACTTCTTTGAGAATGTCAGCACTCTCTCTGTTTGCGACCACTCAGGTGATAAGGTGCTCTTTGACATCCCCATTGACAAGGACTTCATGAGCTTGAGCATGTTGCACCACGAGATTGAGAACCGCTTGACCTTTGTCACGTCCAAGTCTGAGAAGAAGGTGATCACGGAAAGCGAGTTGGACTTCATCATCAGCGCCACTTCCAAGCACAAGACAGTCTTGACGGACATGAATGACATTGAGTATGACAGGATGTATCTCTTCCTTCGCATCCGCGGAGGCGGCAAGAATGCAGACAAGGTCATCAAGACCTACTTGAAGAAGGACACTCCAACAAGCTTGGGTGGAGAGGACAAGTGGCTGTTCGACAAGATTGTCGGAAGTTCCCCCATCTGGAATGCCATGACAGCAGATGAAGTGCGCCGTGCCTTCAACGACCTGGACTTGGCAGTGCTTCGTGGGATGGAAGACTTCCTGAAGCACGGCAAGGTCACTAATGCCAACAAGCCCCAGATGATGGTGGAGATGCTTCCGGCTATTCAGGAGATGGACACGGCGATTGCCAAGATTGTTTCCAACAAGAAAAAGGTGAAAACCATTGTCATGGACTACATCAAAATGGTTTGTGGGGATGAGGAGGGCTCGGTGAAAGTGGTAAAGCTCGTTAAGTTCATTGAGGGTAGGATTGCCGTGAAGCTTGACAAGTTGGCCGAGACCGAGAAAACGGGCGGAGATGTGAGTATGTGAAAACCGCATCACCAAGTGTGGAAAACACATTGTGGAAATCGCATTCCTCCCAGCCCTATGTGAAAACCACATATTGGTAAAGGGAGACGCATAGGTTGGAATGCGATGTATCCATATACCCTGTAGCACAGCTCGTGCCATTGAAAAAGCGCCCGATCTTGTACTGCTTCTGAGTTTGCACGACCCCCTTTCCCCATGTTTTTTCTTTTGTTTTGTTCTTTGTTTGTTCCTGCGCAGGTATGATGACGGCGACTTCACGCATCGGAGCCTCATGGGCGGATTGGGTGGTGCTTTTGGGGCTTCCCTTCAAATACTCATTAAAATATCACTGATAAGCTTTTGGGGTATTCTGTATAAGTCTTCTTGTTTGTGTTTGATGTTGTTGTCCCCCCACTGTTCCTTGGTTCCACTGGGTAGTCTTTGAGCTGTTTCAATATGTTTCCCATTCCTAACCTTCCCACAATCCCTTTTACACAATGGTCGGGGTTTCCATGTTGTTAGGTTAGTCCAAATGCGGGTTCTTTTCCTACAGTGCATTCCATATTTGCAATAATCCACATCATAAAAAGGTAGTCCTTTCATGAACTCCTGTTCCTTCAAAAGGCCAGTTTGTTAAGGCATGTTGCACTGCTCCTAGCTTGAACCCAAACAAGACCACCCAAAAGAACAATGCAAGTCCGAAGCGGCCGCAGTTCTTTTTACCGGGATTGCTGAAAGTAGCACTGCTTCCAGGGCACGGATGCGCCTGGAACTTAAAGGCAAGACAACGCGTGTCCTTGCAAATGCGTGCAGTGCGTGCATGGCGTGGCAGGCGTGCCCACGCCCATCTGTGGTTAGGAAGGGGCAAGCTGCAGCTTGCCCAAACCTGCATGATCCGGAGACCATGTAGTCCGGAGACCATGAGCGGTCCGGAGACCTAGTGGTCCGGAGACCGTCCGGAGACCATGAACGGAAGTGCAGAGCGTCTGCAACTTCTCATCGCAGAGCCTTGCATAAGGCAGTGCAGGGTGGGTGGGTGGGTTTCAAATGAAACAAGTTTGGGCCAAGGCTAGGAGCAAAATGGCCACCGCGTAGGTAGATTCACAACATGCCCTAAACACAAGGGAAAGAAAACCCTAAGCGAGGGTTCTCAAGAAACCAGTATTCGGGGTTGAAATAGTCAATGATTTCAAGGGTTCTCAAAACAATAGCATTTGCATGTTCAATTTTCCTGACCCCTGTTGTTTTTGCTTTGCTGTATTCAGTGCAAGGTGGAGAAGCCCAAATACATGAGAAGTGGTTCCTATCAAACTGTTTATAACCCCATTTCAAAATATCAGTATGTATATCAGCATTTTTCAAATCCAATGAAATAACATTGAAACCCATTGCTTTTGCAACTGTTCCAACACTGCTTGTCCCACTAAACATCTCTAATAAGTTCATTATTAAAGATATTTAGATAATATTATCTATGAATAAATCCCTGTTTTTTCATCATCGTCAATCTGATAAAATGTCATAGTGGAAGACGTCGGTTCTTAAATTTCTTTGTTATTAAGTTTGTTTAAATAAATATTTCTTGTATTTTTGTATTCACCATTGGTTCTACTTCTTTACTTTGATAACTGTTTGTTAATGGTTTCTTCTTTTCCATTTCTTGCAATATTTCTAAAATATTATTATTCTGTTCTAAAACATTTTTTGGTTGTTTAACAATCGTATCTAATCCTTCATCCATGTAAATATATATATATATATATACTAAATTATAAAACTAATTTTTGAAAAACTAAATGTTGCAATTATGTTAAATCTACTCTTTAAATACTATTTTTTCATCATTTCACGTATAGTTTCCTGTGTTTCCTTATCACCATTATCGGATGGAGTAACTCCCCTCCCAAAGCGTATAGCAATACTATGAACATCTGTTTTTAAGTTGAAATAATGACTGAACCAGTTGTTTCTTCAACTCGTGAAGAAAAAGAAGAAATTGTTAAAGAAACATCAGTTATTGAGTTTGCTTGTCCGATGTGTAAAAAGATGCTAGAAATGAAAAATGAATTAGAAATGCAAAAGAAAGGAAATTGTAAATGCTCGTGTATTCCAACAAGTTTGGTAAAACTAAAGACAGTATCATTCCCATCTACATTAATATCTATATTTTGAATTTATTGTGTCACAAACTTAATTAATTCTAATGAATGATGACAGCATTTTTGGTTCTATTATCAGTTATAACAACTTGTTCTACATTCTCTACTTCATCCATTGTATCAAGATAATCTGAATAACTTCTATTCATATAAAGTAACGAACATAAAATATTCTCTAAATAACTTTAATATTATTTTATTACGTCAGATGTCCCAATGATAGAACCACTAAACATGACTGATTACGATTTCAAACAATCTAACTATGAGCACGTGCCAAAACTACCATTCCGCTCCATCGTTGTAGCATCAACAACAGGTGGTAAAACAGTTTTAATCCAAAACCTTATCCTAAATGTTCATAGGGACTGCCTCGCCTGTATATTCATTTTGAGCCCGTCAGTTCATAACGACCCTACCTTTGTTGAAGTCAAGAAATACCAAAAAGATAATATGAAGGTTGATGATGAAAAAGAACAGTTATATTATGACACCTACCAACCTGAAGAACTGGCAGAAATAATTAACACACAAAGAAAGATAATTCATTATATGAAAGAACAGAAGATGAAGAAACTACATTCAATTTTTGTAATTGTTGATGATTTTGCAGACGACCCTAAATTTGTTAGATATAGTAAGTTACTTCATGGACTGGCAACGAGATGTAGACACGATGCCATTAGTTTTTGTTTACGCGTTCAAAAATATCGTGTCCTAGCACCAATCATTAGGTTAAACTCTGCCATTGTTGATAAGGAGCAACTGTTAAATATGTATCATAAAGCAGTAGATGATGCACCTTATAGTTTCTTCTATGTTAATATGAATTCCAAAGATGTTAATAGTGTGCTTTATGTTAGATTTGAGAAAGCTTTTAAAATAGAATAAATCTATTATATATTACAGAATGTCAAAAATAATTCAAGAAAGAATATATGAAGAACCAGTAAGGTGACGTAGTCCCTCATCAGGGCAAAGCAGTGATGACATACCAAAACAGATGCAAGAACACCGAAAGCAAAGACTTCAACAATTAGTAGAGCGAATGTGGTGAAACCTTTTTAATAAGGATGCTCCTAACCATATTGCAAGTAATTGTCATATTACTTTTAAGGAAGAAGAAAGAAGAAGGAAAGAATGAGAAGAACATTTACGTATCGAGAATGATACTGATAGTGAAAATGAAAGTGATAATTATAATGATGATGGTTAAAAAATAATTAAATAGGTTTGGATTGAAAAAGCATTTAAAATAAAAAAAAATTAAATATATTGCGATGTTTTATGATTTACCATTAGAAATTAAAAACCTTGCATTATCTTATAATTTAGGTGATGTAGGCTAATAAAATTAAGAAGTAATATTATTACTAAAAATTATGTTAAGAAATTTAGACCAGTGTATAAGTCTTACAAATCAAAATATATATTTAACAATACACATTATTTTGAAATTGACAATATTAATATAAATAATAAACTTTCATACATTTTTAACTTAAATCAGTTAGATAAATTGCATCAAAATCATAAACCATTAAAATTATCAATTGGCTACGTTATGTTTATTAATACTGAGTCAACTAAAGTCCGTGTAAAATTACTACTCGTAGTTTAACATCAAATGGTGTATTTGAGATTTATACATCAAAAAAACAAATACATTTTAATGTATGGTTCATGATTTTATTTCATTACGATTGAAAAAAATTAAAGGACCGGACAACCCCACATGCGCATTTTTTCAGTGAATGGTTCTCTGGCGGCCATGCGATAATGACTGAGTGAGTGAGTGAGTGGCCACGGGGTAGCGCTCGGTCACTAGTAGAGCGCTCTCTTCTTTTTGCTCGCGAGGCAGAGTGAGGCGCTAGATTATTCACGGCTTCCTCTTCTTCAGACAGCTGGAAGTCTAATAAGCCTGAGCTCGAGCTCCAATAAGCCTGAGCTGGAAGTCTATAAGCCTGGGTGAAAGTGAGTGAGTGTGAATGAGTGCAAGTGAGTCTGGACGAAAGTGCTGCGCCTGTCACGCAGATTGAGCCCCCGAGCCGCGCGCGCCACAACATCCAGCCTCTCTAGACAGCAGCCATATGTTGCCCCTGCCACGCAAACACACACCTAGATGCAGAAAACACTGCGCCTGCCACGAAATCTATGCCCCGTCTCCAAAGCGCTGCGCCTGTCACGCAGATTGAGCCCCCGAGCCGCGCGCTCGACAACATCCAGCCCCTTTAGACAGCTGCCATATGTTGCCCCTGCCACGCAAACACATACCCAGATGCAGAAAATATTGCGCCTGCAACGAAATCTATGCCCCGTCTCCAAAGTGCTGCGCCTGTCACGCAGATTGAGCCCCCGAGCCGCGCGCTCGACAACATCCAGTCCCTTAGATAGCTACCAACTGCTGCCCCTGCCACGCAAACACACACCTAGATGCACAAGCCATCTCCAAAGTGCTGCGCCTGTCACGCAGATTGAGCCCCCGAGCCGCGCGCTCGACAACATCCAGTCCCTTTACACACCTACCAAACGCTGCCCCTGCCACGCAAACACACACCCAGATGCAGACAAAACTGCGCCTGCCACGAAATCTGTGCGCCATCTCCAAAGTGCTGCGCCTGTCACGCAGATTGAGCCCCCGAGCCGCGCGCTCGAAGACATCCAGTCCCTTTAGGCAGCAACCAAATGCTGCCCCTGCCACGCAAACACACACCCAGATGCAGAGAATACTGCGCCTGCCACGAACTTTGCAAGCCATCTCCAAAGTGCTGCGCCTGTCACGCAGATTGAGCCCCCGAGCCGCGCGCTCGACAACATCCAGTCCCTTTAGACACCTACCAAATGCTGCCCCTGCCACGCAAA